GACGGCTCCCTGGGGGATCCCCCCATTTGGCGACGCGCGGCCGCCCAGAGTATCCTCCGGTTCAGGCTCGGATTCAGAGCCGTTCGGTTCATGCGGTGCAGATACTTGGGTAGTCCGGGTTAAAGCCATCGGTTGCATGGATGAGCGTCTCGGCCTATTTTTGTAGGAATGCATGATGAATATCGTTAGTCATTGGGCGCTTTTGGGCCCGCATCGCTTACCGCTGTCTTTTAGTGAAAGCGTTCCCTTTATAAGCATGGAAGCACGGCTACGCTTAAGCCGGAGTGCAGTTTTATGATAATCAACATCATAATGAGGCGGATGACAGATTGCGTTTGTTTATATGAACATGACTGATCCGGATTGAGATCCCGCGCAACAATCGCGTCATCAAATAAGATCGCCTCGCGGCGCTTCTAAGCAAAACAGTTCTATACATTCCTTTAGCGAAATTGGCCAAAGGAGAACATCCTGTACACATGCCGAATAGGCTTTTCCCCGCTTTCCCTCCTGACAGCTCTGTAGCTGATCAATTGGCGCCATACGCTATCAGACTTATCTAAGTTGCCTTTAAAGGCGGCCAAGCAGCCCTCGATTGTCTACTTCAGTTAATGCTCAGAATGGTCCTTCCCATTTTCGCCTTATGTACAGAAAGTTCATATCACTTTCTAATCAGCCCTGGATGCCAGCATTCTGGATAGTCCGCCTACGTTCTCCATCTTCACTATGACGGAAGGCATAGTCGCCTTGGCTCTTAGGTGAGCAAATCACCTCTCGCCGCCTCTCCGGCGATCCGCCGATGGCGAGCGGGAGCGGCTGCGGCCGCGGCGCCCCCGGTTACGTCCCCTGTCGTTCCGGTCTCCGCGGTCGTTGCGCCCTCCTCCCCCAGAATTTCTGGGAATTGCAAAAGATCGAGGTCAGCTGCCCCTCTTTCACGGAAAAAGGAAGCTCGGCAACATTCTGCCAGCTTTTCCAGGTTGATGCGGCAGCATTCTGCCTGCTGACGTCACGCCCGCATTCGGGCAACTCGAATTTCGAGGCGCACCCTCGAAGTTAGGAGTCCGCTCCGAGGCGCGGAGATGCTGGATGTTGCATGATTCAACAACAGAAACATGGAGCGCTTTTCTTACAAGAGTGGCTCAGGACGGCAGCTTTCAAAGCCGTGGAAAAGGTATCACAGAATGACGTCACCCGAATCTTGGCTACTTACCTGTTCCGGTTCTGCCCGGTCGCTCCGCTTCCACTTTTCGCCATCATCTTCTCGGGCCTTCTCCCCGCTGCTTGCGATAGAACTCCCAGATCTCCGAGTCGATCCGGGCTTGCTTCTTCTCTGTCAGGTCTCGGCCCGCATCCTCGCACTTTTGGCGCGCGAAGGTGAAAATCGCGTCTGCCAGGAACGTCAGGCTCATGTTGATGGCTTTGAGCACCGTTCCGAGGCAGATGGCCAGCGCGAGACTCGGACCCCACGTGCTTGGGGCCGACTGAATCGTTGCCGCCATGTCGAACTGCGCGTTGAGGTCCCTCTTCTCCGGCGGGATCGCCGCTTGGAACCTTCGCAGTTCCGCTTGGATTCCGCTCGCTCTTCTGTCCCGCATCAGGTCTTCCACGTGGGCCACCAGCGCGCGTCGGGACAATGATCGACTTCTCCCAGGCGTCCGAACTGGCTGAATCGCTAGACGTGTCGTAATGCCTGCGGGGCGTCTTCTTCCGCTTACTTCGCGCCCGGTCTGCGGCGCCTGTTCCGGGTCCCTACCGGGGAGTCCGACGAGGAGGAAGAGTAGGAGGGACTGCGCGCTCGCCTCTCCCTGCGACGGCTTCCCCGGGGACTCGGCGCGCGCTCCCGAGGACGCGAACTTCCCGCGCGCTCTCTGTCCGGTGATCTGCCTTCAAACTCCCGCCTGCTAAGTTCTGACTTTCGAATGAAAGCAGACCGTTCTCCCTGATCGTCTACAGCTGGCGCGGAAAACCTCGGCGGTGGGTTATCTCTCCGCTCTGCTTCCCGTCCGTCGCCTCTTTCGGACGCGCCATCCCTTCCGGCTGACTTCTGACGATCTTCCGGACGACTTTGCTGTTGTCCCGCATTTTCCGGCGGCCCCCTTCTCACGAATCTCGTCGTCGGTAAACCGTGGTTCTCCAGCAGCTGCAGGATTGGGTCATCTGGATTCCTCGTTGCAAGCCCGATCTCAAACTCCGTGAGAAGAAAGCCCGTTGCAGTCGGCTCACGCCCCGAAAGAACGTCTCTAACTTGAAACCTTTGCGACTCCTGATCGTAACTCCGGACTTCGTACAGCCTGCTTCCATCAAGAGTAAGCGTTCCGTAAAGTCGCAGCCCAATTAGGTTTTCCGGACCCGCCTTCCTAACTAACTCCTCTAGAATCCGCCGTTCCGCTCCTTCCTGGCCCCCAAACCCCGACATGGCTCACTATTCTGAAGCGGAGAAATAGACGGATTCGTCGTCCGTCTCGCACTCTGTCATCTCCTGGTCAGGAACTTGCGTCGACGGGAGCTTCGCTGCCGCGGGCGAGGATCTGAGGCTTTGAGAGGCGGTTAGGATACCGCGACGCAGGCTGCCTGCTCTCGAACTCGTGCCAGGAGATTTCCCTGCCGCTCAGAACTCTATCCCTCACCAATCTGACGGCCGCCTTCTCTGCCCTTGACAGGACACTGACTTTTGGGACGACGATCTGGATCGAGTCGTTCGCGCGCGCACTTGTGTCCAAGATCTCCTGAGCAGCCAGCCGAAAGAACTCTTCGTCCGTAAAGTTATTGGGGAAGCCAGACTGAGAGAGTTGGGACCTGACCAGCCAGTTTCGACCTTGCCCTGCCAGCAGTCCAATCGCGACGGCGTGAGCGTAAGCCTTTTCCTAAACTGACACTCCAGGCGGGGAGACCGGATCCGGGATATGCTCTCCTGTCCGCACGAAGCGCGCGCGCACTGCTGCCTGTTGGGCTTCGAATTCCGCCCACTCAGTCTCTAGCACGTCTTCCTCGTCTTCCGGCGGAACCCCTTGGGCTCTGAGGTCTGGCCTGCGCTTGTGAAAGAAGCCAATCTTGTTGTGCTCTCTGCAGGTGCGGTTGAACTGCGCCCAGGTGCTGTCCTCCCTCTTGCACTTTTCCCTGAGATTAATCTCTATCCTGGCATCTTGCGTGGCCTCTTTGGGGACTCCTGCGTAGTCTTCGAGGAACTTGACCAGCTGGAAGAGGAACTGGAAGTCGGAGGCCCTGATTCCCGCAGTGCGATAGTAGAGCTCAGCTGCCCAGGCTATTGTGTTCAGGAAGCTGGCCTTGTTCTCGCCATGCACGAGGTCAAAGAAATTCTGTCGAGGCACCCAGCCGGACGTCCTTCTGCTAGACCGCAATGCACGCTGACTGCGTCCAATGAAAGCCAGAATCAGCGGTCCGAAAATCTGGTCCCTGTGCAGGCCTGCAGGAATGTTGACTCAGTTGAACTGCGAAACGCTGGCTCCCCAAGGCTCTAGAATTTCTCCGAGGTTCTCCACCGACGGCTGCTGCTGAGGTGAGCCCATGGGTGCTTTCTCTTCGGTTGCATGTCTGTATGGGGACAATGCCGCCCAAAAACTGTACGAGAAAACTTCAGGGCGCCCTAGCGCCTCCAAAGCTCCTCCGAAGAGGCCCCGAAAAAAAGGGGCGAGGTCTTGCGTTTGCTGTCGAATGAGCTTAAAGTTCATCGAACGTCAGCCGTCCGATGAATCTAAAATCCTCTTGTCCAAATAACGAGCAGTCCACTAGCTTGAGTCTAGAAATTGGACGCTTCAGCCTTCACTCACCGCCCCTTCACCGCAGGCAGGCTGGCAGTGGAGTGGCGATGCCAGGCCATGGTCACATTATGGTGCGTTGACAATGACATTGCTCAGTGAAAGTCGATAAGGTGTTGGCTTTAAAGCGGGCCTAGCACTAGAAGTGCCCAAGCATTGAACAAGTTGCCCAATGGCACGCCTTGTTTCGTTTCTGCTGGGCGTCCTGGCCATTGCCATTGGTACTGCCCTGTATGCGCTTCCACCAAACACGTACAGCGCGGCTCGCTTCTTCTTCAGCCAATTCTTCGAAAACAATCAGTCGAGGGGGCAAATCGACAGCAGGGAGCGTGCCTTGCTGGCTCACGTCAGGGCGACAGCTGGCAACAACCCCGAGTCCGTATTGTTTGCAATCGACGACTTTGCTCAGTCGCAAGCGTGGCTTATGAACATTGGAGACACCAAGGGCAAGGTATTAGACGAGGTAGTTGAGAAGCACCGGCCGCTTTCAGTTCTCGAACTGGGGACATATCTTGGGTACTCAGCCATCAGGATCGCGTCCCGGTTGCCCCCGGGGGCCAAGCTATACTCTATTGACATAACGGCAGCAAATGTGGACATTGCGAAACAGGTGATTGCTCACGCGGGACTGAGCAACCGGATTGAACACCTCGTGGGGACCCTAGATGACGTTGTTGAGGTCAGTTTCGCTCTCCCCCTTCTCTCCTAACGTTACTTGTTTCAAAATTATCATGCTGCTATGAACTGTTCTTATGATTCTGGGAGGACCTGGGTAATCTGCGTTTCTGGAAACGTTATATGCCTCTTCTTCGCATGATGTAAGAAGATACATAAGCCGCTCTGTGGCAGCTTCCAATTTTACCCCACCATTGTGGTACACCTGCAAATCAGGCTTCAAAGGTTGGCGGCGAAGAGAGCTGCCGGTTGGACTCGCTGAGAGCTGTGTGAGATTGCGCAGCTTATGTACTGGAAGGCTTACTGGACTGAGGAAAGCGAATCGTCAAACCAAAGCCCAAGCATCAGGGTGGCGATGCCAAAATCCTGTGGACTGATCAAACTGCTATTTTCTACAGGACTTGAAGAACCGATCACCAACTTTTGACATGGTTTTCATTGATCATCACAAAGCTGTCTACTTGAAAGATCTAAAGACTCTTATGCGGGAAAGTTTCTTAGCGAAGGGCGCTGTAGTTGTTGCTGACAATGTTTTAGTACCTGGGGCGCCGGACTATTTGGAATATGTCGAGGGCCCAGAGTTTGTCACCACTCGGTATGAACATACCCTTGAGTATGTAGCTTATGTTAAAGACATGGTGACAGTGTCGGTGTATCAAGGCTAAACCATGCCAGCTTGTAGGTGCAAGCATGTGAAAGCATGTAAGTAAAACTCTAAAATAGTATATGCTTTCGCAAGGATATGAGTCGATTTGGTTCTACATGAAAGTCAGGGCAACATTGGCGATAGTATCGCAGCTTAAGATGAATGAGACACCATGGAGCAATTGTCGATCTGAGACAGGAACGCTGTTGCGGCTGCCAACTGCAGTGTCATTGACAGGAGGACAACAACGTTCTAGCCTAGTAGAGCTCTGAGCGTGCACAGGTTTTAAACATACCCGACCAGGGTTTCTTTAGACTTGCGAGCTAGTCCAACAGGTGATTGGTTGGGTTAGTCGGGATGCACATATCCACATACTGAAGCTACTCGACTCGATCACTCAAGTTTATTAAAACCAAAGCTGGCTCACGCGACGTGCCAGATTGTCATGCAGCATACGGTAAATTGACGATTGGATCGTCTGCTTAAGCTAGATTCTTAGTAGCTAACGTCACCACACTTAAGTGCTATTTGCCTACTAATCATCCCGCTATCATCAGTAATATGATTGCAATGATCGTAGCTTGGCGATCGGAAGTTAGTCCTCATGCATCTAAATCTAGCTAGCTCTTGGGTTAAGGGGAATCCATATCATATTATGCAGGCCGCCGCAGCGAGCTCTCTCTGGCACAATTTCATTGCGCATGCGCCAGGGCGCCGCGCGGCAACTCAGTGCGGCTGTGGCCAGCTACCTGGCTCACCCGAGCCCTGGAGGATTTTCAGCCTGTACGATACAGGCTGATACTTAATTTGCCGCTAATATGCAGCAGGGGCAATGTATTCTGCAGCTGGGCCTCTAGGAGACCGTCGTGGGCACCCATCATTCATCCTCTCGAAGTGAAGGGCTAAGTTCAGATGCATCATCCTGCTATAACATAATCATTGAATCATATCGCATGGGACGAGCACCACAGAGCGCCGTATGCGACAACCTGCCCAACACACATCCAACAATCAAAAGGGTAAGATAACCACGGCTCCACAAGTGCCAGACTCCACTGTGGCTTGTCGTGGTCGCTAGATAACCTTTAGGATGTCATGACTGCGTTTACTTCGTATAGAAGACATAACGAGCTCACTAGTGTCACAATGCAACAGCTATATCCTCGTCACCAGCAGCCCTGTCGCTCTCAATCATCGACTTCACATAGAACTCCCCTGCCTTGTACGAAGAACGGACGAGCGGGCCAGCAGCGACGTAACGGAATCCCTGCAGGCAAAGAATCATAATCTCAACGAGGTACTTAGGCTTTCAGTCGTTTAGGTTCAGAATACGGTCCTGCCAACCCCAAGCCTTCACGGCCTATATATGCAGTTCGCCTGCTCTCGAGCGCCAATTACAAGGCGAAAAAAAGTCGCGAGCTCGTTCTATGACGCAGCTTTCTTGAATACTAGGAAGAGAACCAAGCACAGAATCACCCAGCGACTACACACGGCAGCAAACTTGAGACAAACCAATACAACTCCTACCCAACAAGAGATCGAAACGAGTGAAAAAGACACGAAGGATGACCTCACCATGTCCTCGCCGAGCTTACGCCAGGTCTCGAAACCCTCCGGAGTGACGTACTCCGAGACCGGCATATGCCGCTTCGTGGGCCGCATATATTGTCCGAAGGTCATGACGTCCACGCCGGCTGCCCGGACGTCCCTCATCGCCGCCTCCACCTGCAACGGAACGGAAACGGAACTAAGTCTGATGACGGACATTGCAGATCGTCGCAAGTCGCTCCAGTAGTAGTGCGCTTTTGATGGTGACTGTCATATGAAAAAGGAGAGCTCACCGGATGATTATGCTTCTTCCCGCTTCGTCTTTCCCTTAAAAATTACTAAAGCAAATCGTCCACGGTGCGATCCTCTGACGGCCTGAGGCGAAAGCTTCCACCACTCGGTACACGAAAGGCAACGGATATCCGAAGTCAGGAGCTATACAACTGCACAGAAAACGACACACAAACGGCACCAACCAAACACCAACCAAGCAGACTGAACGCTCGGACACCTGTTCCCAGTGCCAGGCTAAATTGAAAGAGAACTCTACTGAGGAAACAAAGTTACCTGTTCCGGCGTCTCCCCGCAACCCAGCATGATCGACGTCTTCGTTAATGTGCCCCGCGGCGCATACTGCTTGGCTAGCCGTAGCACCGAGAGCGACTGCTCGAAGTTGGCCCGCCGGTCGCGAACCGTGCTCTGGAGATCGCGCACGGTTTCGATGTTGTGGGCAAACACGTCGAGGCCGCTGGTCGCGACACGGCGCACGCACTCGGGGTCCCCACGGAAGTCGCCGACTGCAAAAGATGAAAGTGGGAGTTTGAGCTTTTCCGAAGAAACGGGGGTTGTGCTCAGGATACAAGTGGATGTACAAGATCGGGGTTGTGAGTAGACACTTCGAGGCCGCTCGTGGCGACGTGGCGCACACACTCAGGGTCGCCACGGAAGTCGCCGACTGCAACAGATTGAGTTGAAGATTGGAGACTTCTGAAATGAACATTGGCTTGCGGAACTGAGGGCGACTAAGGGGTAGAGTGAACTGCAGCGATTATTGAAAATCAAGGACTTCGTTGACAACAAATTGAATGGCGGAAGCGAGCTCTCCAGAGATGGACTCATTCTATTCAGAAGTAGCATAACTGGAGCATGGTGCATGGAGTCTGTCTTAATGAACATCAGACAGAGAGTCTGTTCAAGGAAATCAATCAGAAGCAGAACCTGTGAGTCAAAGGCAGGGTGTTCTAGCAAAGAGGACATCTGTGGATCAAATCTCTATTGTGGACGACGAGATCGTTATCAGAACAGACCCTGTCGCCCGGGACTTGAGGATCAGTAGAAGCAGATGCTGCCTTCAAAAAGCTTCCTTCGAAACAGCACCTAGTATCGGAACAGGAACTGTGTTCTGTCGGAACCATTCATTTAGTCTTCGTCAGCTGGCGGACCAGGACAGCAAAGTTGGCGTTTCAGACCTTTTCAATGGGAATAGAAAGGCATGGTGTCGAAATCTTGAAAAACGCAACACAGATGCCAACCAGAGAGCATAACAAAAACATCGGAGTCTGTATCAGGACAGATACTAAAAGTGCAACGAGTGGCTCAGTCTAAAAGTGAGTTGGCGCCTCACCGAGAGCCTCCACCAACATGCCAGGCTTTCGCCTCTTGAGCTTTGTTATTGTCTCTGCAAAGTGTGCGCTGCCATGGTCCGACAAGTCATCGCGGTCGACGCTTGTCAGAACAACATAGTCCAGGCCCCACTCTGCAATGGCTTTCGAGACATTCTCTGGCTCGTTTGGGTCTGGCGGGGGGGGCGTGCGGGACGTCTTTACAGCACAGAACCTATCAGATAAAGAAAAGATCTGACTTCTGTATTCTACTTGCAATGACTTACGGTGAACAGAAGTCATGTGAGAATTAAGGCAATATTGCACTCTGATCCTGATTGACAGAGTGGTGCAGTCCTGACTCTAACATTCTTGAAGCTGCCGCCTTCTCTTCAGAGTCTTGTCAGTGTCGCCACGGCACAGCGTCCCACTCTTGTAAGGCAGAGCGGCTACAGACGAAAACAAATCCTGGATCTATCTGTCAGCATTACAAACCAGCGCGTGTCTTGTTTAGTCCTCCTTTGAAAACATCTGACTTATAAACTTGTGCAAGTTGCTGAAAGTTCAAGGAATTTCTCCAGCACCAATTGGCGCCAGCCCCACATGAATACATAGAAACCGCACAACAGTTCCCCAATTAGCCAGGGTTACGAGCAAGACCAGACCTGCAACCCCGCGTGCACGTGTCCCCCAAGAGCATTATAGTAGCGGTCGCCGTCCCATGCTCGCCGCCCCCCCAGCACTCGCCGATGTTTGGACACTTTGCCTCCTCACAGACCGTGTGCAGGTTTAGGTCCCTCAGCTTTGACTTGATCCTGGTGTAGTTCTCCCCCCCTGGGATCACCCTCTTCATCCAATCTGGTTTCCTTTTCTTCTCCTTTGGCTGGACCGCCTCAACAGAGTATCCCAAGGGGTAGCTACCCCCAACAAACTCTCCAAGGCTGGGGCCCTCAGACGCCAGCCTCTCTCTTAAAGCTGCCAACGCAGGCGTCACAGAAGTTGCACCACTCTTTGCGACGTCCACAGACGGAGACAGGTTGACGGGGCTGCCAGCCTTGGTAGAGAAAGTAGCGGCAAGAAGGGTCTGGATCGACCTCGCTCTGGAGAGGGCGGAAGAATAAAGAAGCCGTTCGCGCAACCGAGCCGCCATGGTGGCAATCTGCAAGGGTTAGACAAACCCTTTTGCAGCGCCACAGCAAAGTAGCCCCCGACTTAGGCAGTGATGCTGTACAAAAACCTGAGCACTAGATGCTCTCAGAACAAACAGCAAACATCAACTCTATCCTTTTTGTGCGTCTTCCTCCGCCTTGTGCCTGATGTCAGGTAAAAGCCGGAGCTCGTCACGTACTCCTCATGAGACTCAAGAAGAGTTCAATCCTCAAGGGTCAAGGCACGAAGAGGCAATTTCAAAGTTTTAGGGTTTACTCTAAACAGATCTCTTGCATGAAGGCAGAACTTCAGCTGGCGCTCATGACTTGTGCAGCTCGTCTCCTAGTAGTAGTAGCTAGAGCCGCCTAGAGCTGTTCATGGTGCTTCTCCTTGATATCCCCCTTTCCCTTCATCTGCTGAGAAGAGAATGTCGTGAGCTGACTGGTCGAACACTCCTTGTTGGCCCCTTGGTTACTGTGCGGGTTTCTGCGTTAAAATAGTGCGTAGCTGGTTCTGGGGGACCAGTTTTGAGGAGCAAGATGGAGTTCATAGACATGATCAAGCGCTCGGCAATGAAGCTGGGGCGAGGTCTGAAGCATGTGAAGACTTCCAAGGATGGACACCACAGCGAGGATGAGGAGAACAACAAGAAGATTACCGTTGGGATTTGTGTGCTGGAGAAGAAAGCTCTCTCACCACCAATGACGCAGGTCAGTTACACAAGCAAATCTACACATCTTACATTTAACGTCTGGGAAGAAACCCTTGATGCTGAATATCGTGTGCTTTGAAAGTTCTGATGGTGCAAGGAGCAGAAAGCTTCCACTCTTTCAATCAGAATTGTGGCAATGCTCATTTGCAAAATGCATTTTTTTGCCCCACATGGCAACACTGCTTTCTGTGATCCATGAATTGACCGACATTGATCCCTGTGAAATGCTGCAGATTTTGGATCGGTTGAAAGCATTTGGGGAGTTTGACATCAGTATGTTTGGCGATGACACCATCCTGAACCAGCCAATCGAGAAGTGGCCTGTAGTGGAGTGCTTGATTGCCTTCTACTCAAAAGGCTATCCGCTCGACAAGGTCATCAAGTATGCCAAGCTGCGGAAGCCATTCCTGGTCAATGAGTTGGAGTCACAGTATCTCCTGCACGATCGCAGGAAGGTGAGCAGGAAGAAGATTGAGGCGCAAACGGTTTTTATGCTGAAACACCGGAGCGGGTTTCCTTGCATACACAGGCAGGACTTGATGGGAAATGATGTGCTGGCTTGCTTTCAGAAGAAGACCTTGCCAAGGTTTCACAAACGACCTGCTGCGAAGTTTAGCTAGGCAGAACAGTCTGTGCCTTTGTCACCAATGACAAAGGCAGGGGTTTGCCCTCTCACTGGTTGAAGAACACTCAGGTCAAAAGAGAACTAACTTATCAATTGAAAGAACCTTTCTTTGCCAAAGCAATAAGTTCTGCCTGAGTGACCTTTCAGGAAGGGTCCTGTGAAGCTTGCAGCATTGTTTGGTTACTATATGTGGCTGCTATAAGCTGTCTGTCGGAAGGCATGTTGAAATAAAGTCCAGACTTCATTTGACTAGGCGTTGCATGAGCAGAGCTTGACACTACTAGAAGTCGGAGGACCGATCCTACCTCAGGCGAAAGTACCACCCATCGGGGCCAGCTTGGTTGGCATTAGTAAGATCTGGGCCGTCAGATGAGATAACTCATCAAAACTCAGATGCACGAGTGTACCTTGAAATTAGACGCCCTCCTTAACTATCCCTGTGGCTGCTCGTCAGGTATATGCCAAACTGGAGGAGTATGGAATTGCTGTGCCGAACTACGTCGTTGTTAACCGGGACCAGCCCAATGAGGACGTGGAGTCGTTTGTTGAGGACGAGGATTGGATCGAGCTGAAGGGCAAACGAGTACACAAGCCGTTTGTGGAGAAGCCTGTTGATGGTGGGTGAAAGCTTTCTTCCCGAGCTTCGCTATCTTGCAGAAACGTTCGTGATTTTGGCACCTCCGCGAATCATCGGGCATGTTTGTTCTCAGCTTTGTGAACTGATTGTGTCTACTAAAGCAAGTCCGGTGTGATGTGAAACGGCTTGCATGATCGGCTGGGTCGATGTGGTTGAGCTGGGCCTGCATATCCTGAATCTAGAACTGGCAGGAAATAGACTTGAGGATCATGCATAAGCTTTCTGACGCTGCTTTGTCTAATTTTGCAGGAGACGATCACAGCGTCATGATCTACTATCCTAGCACGGCTGGGGGCGGGATGAAAGAGCTGTTTCGAAAGGTGATACCGTTTCGGTCCCTTACCTTACCGATTGCAGTTAGAAGAATGCAAAGATCATCACAGACTCGATTAAATCTCTGCACATCGCCTGAAATCTTTTGAGAGACACCCGCTGCTTGTATTGTACACCGTTTTCCTTGGTCGTGAGGCTGCTCGAACAGATCCGCCTGAATTTCTTTTTCTGCAAATTTTCCAATCTGCTCGTTGCAGAAGAGGGCCTTCTGTGCAATCAAAGCAGAAGCCATGATGTTTTTTCCCGCTTTCGTGCAAAGATCCAAGCCTTATCCTTTCAATGCTAAGGCACGGGCCACCAATAAGGGGTACCTGTCGCGTTGGATTCAGAGATCGTTCTGCTGCATCGAAGCTCGAGTATCGGGGTCGTCGCTTTTGAAGGGCCGCGGCTACCTGCCCTGCACACGCCCATTTTACCCTTCCCGCAAAGGGGACGTACGATCGCACATAAACTAGGATGAGTACAAATCTGAACCGAAAATCAAAACGAAGATCTCGTCATCCAGGTCGGCAACCGGGCCAGCGAGTTCCACCCCGAGATTCGGCGGGTGCGGCGCGACGGGTCCTATTTATACGAGGAGTTCATGCCGACAGGCGGTACGGACGTCAAAGTGTACACCGTCGGGCCGGATTATGCGCACGCAGAGGCGCGCAAGTCGCCAGTGGTCGATGGAGTGGTGCAGCGGAGCAGCGACGGAAAGGAGGTGGGTTGTCGAGATTAACAAAATGTATATTGAAAACGTCCGGGAAAGTGTCTGTGACATTGTGATTGTTGCTGATAGGTTACTTCGGTACTCGTGGAGAGCATGCGTTGGCTCTGCACTTCGGAGCACGAGAGCAACTCGACAGTCTTGAGTTGGCTGGACTTGTTGCTGGAACGGGGGCCAACGGACTCGTTTCTTATCTGTGACGAAGCTACGGTCTTCGTTGGACACTATGTACGCTGATAGGTTTGAACTGCAGACAATCTCTCTTGCCTGCCAAGGGATACTACTTGAAGCTGGATTACGGCTGCGTGCTTACCTCCTCTGTCAGGTACCGCAGTCTAGTTTCACCGTAAACTCGAACTCCCATATTTTTCCAGGTTCGGTTCCCGGTGTTGCTGAGCCCTGAGGAGAAGAGCATCGCCCACGACGTGTGCACCATGTTCGGGCAGGCAGTCTGCGGCTTCGACCTCCTCCGCTCGAACGGCCGCTCTTACGTCTGTGACGTCAACGGCTGGAGCTTTGTCAAGAACTCGTACAAGTAAGCGCGCGGAACTTCTCAAAAGACGAACTCAAGCGACGGTGTCGACGAACATCTGCGTAGTGGGCGCTGAACTGCCTGTCGAATAGTGCTGACGCTTCAATCGCTACTTTCTTGGCTCAGCATCTATGACTAGTATTGCGGATCCGTTGGTGTATGACGGACCTACGTTTTTACCAAATAGCTAGCTCTTGCGCGCATTCGTATGCACTCAGGAGGGGTAAGGCCTTTCAAAATGCTGCGCATCCTTTGACCCCGCATAGCCCTGTCAGGGCCGACAACGGTCTGACAAGCTCCGATCCGACACAAGAGGTTGCCGAAAAAGAGATAATTGTTTGCTGGTCTGTCAGATTGACCAGTGTCCTTGTTTTGCTCAAAAGCTGTCCTCGAAAACAGAGGACAGTGAGCGAGCTTTTACGTGCTCTTCTCTGGAATGTATCCACCTTACGCCCTATTTTCCATCATCTGATCCGCCGCAGCTCACACCAGTTTCATAGACACGCGCCCAGGAACTCTTCTCAACCCTCTCGTGTACAGGTACTACGACGACACTGCGTGCGTCCTGCGCTGCATGTTCATCGCCGCCGCCGCGCCTTTCCAAGACATCTCCCTCCCGCCCACCCTCCCGTGGAAGTCAAAAGGCAACGCGTCGCCCACGATCGAGCGCCATGGAAGCTACGGCCCGAGCACGTTCGGACGTACGGAGGAGCTGCGGTGCGTGATTGCGGTGATCCGGCACGGGGACCGGACGCCCAAGCAGAAAGTGAAGCTCAAGATCCACAGCGAGCGGCTGCTGAACCTGATGCTCAAGTACAACGGGGACCGGCCACGGGAGGAGGTGAGGGACGGGTAGCCTGCGCTCTGAAACACCGGCGCACTACGACTGCTTCAATGTATGGTCAACCTTCAAAATATGAATGTTACGAAGTCGTTCTGGAGAAACGGAGTTCAAAACGGTGAAAGGATCGGTCCGATTGGGGGCAAAGTGGACGGTCTGGAGTTCTAGGCGGTCAAACTTACACACTTAGTGTTTCACTGTCTTGCTTACTCGCAGAACTTACACACCTCCTGCTGTCCTGTTGGGCCGACCACCTCATGGTTGATTCACTTGTTTAGGCCGACTGTTGGTCGTGTAGGCCGCATGTTGGGTCTTCTTTCAAAGCTACGCAGTTTGTATCTTTTCTTTTGACGCTTCTAACTACGTCCCGTTTGGTTGCAGGCCAAGCTGAAGAGCGCGGTGCAGCTGCAGGACCTGCTGGACGCGTGCCGGCAACTGATTCCGCGCATGCGCACCGGGCGCGAGAGTGACAGCGAGGCGGAGGACATCGAGCACGCCGAGAAGCTGCGCCACGTCAAGGCGGTCCTGGAAGAGGTGCGTGGATCGTCCCCCGGTTCTCTTATGTCTCTTATCTCAGGCCCTTGCTTTTTGGATCCGAGTTTTGATAACTTTTTGTACAGACAATCACCTCAGAACGATCGCGGGAGCGCTTGAGGGCCTTCGAACTTCCTCTCCGTGTGCCTGCGGCTTCATCAGAAGATTCCTGGTGTCATTCTTGGGTTTATTGGACCGTTGGCAAACCCGTGCCTTAGCTCTTGTACTTGGAACCGGCTCGACGCCGGTCGCAGTACCGCTTGAGTGCTGAGTGCAGCCAACCCTCTTCCGTGCGCTCTGTCTCTGAAGGGCGCCGCAGCTTTCCCAAACTCGAGACGAAAAGTAGCCCTTTAACGTCACCCCAAACAAACACGCTCTTCTTCCAGGGGGCCACTGTAGCTATATGCTATAATAGAGAAGCGACGCTCTCAATGATATTAACCCAAAGAAAGTCACATTTCCTCTTCAGGGGGGCCACTTCTCGGGGATCTACCGCAAGGTCCAGTTGAAGCCGCTGAAGTGGGCGACGGAGGTGAACGACAAGGGGGAGACGGTGGAGCGGGTCACGGAAGCGCTGCTGATTTTGAAGTACGGGGGAGTGCTCACGCACGCGGGGCGGCAGCAGGCCGAAAGCCTGGGGAAGGACTTCCGAAACAACATGTACCCGGGTGAGCTGCTGTTGCTTTTGCTGTTGCTTTGACACTTTTGGCGCTTTTGAGCTTTCGTTTATCTCCGTCGGGCCGGGGAATATTTCTCTCTAGCAAGGGGTTGCTGTCCTTTATCTACTCTTCTCTGTCACTCCATGTCGATATCGGGCATGTCAGAGGTAGGGCGAATTGGGGAAAAGGGAAAGTAGTGAAGGTCGAAGGTAGGTTTGTTGAGCCCAGGAATCGGAGAGACACGGAGGGCTCTGGTTTTCTTCAAAGATAGCACGGTAGATTTTGACATCCAAGATGCCGCCAGATCCGGCTGCCTGATCCCTTTTATGAATGCGGTGCCGTCAGATGGCTGAGGATATGTCATCAGATGACACGACTTCTGGTGATTGACGTAAGCTGGTGAAGCGAGCAGATTTGACGAAGTTTTCGTGCATCATTCTAGCACACCCCAACGGAGCGGATCCAAGGCCGTTATTTACACATCCCATCGTTTCTTCTCACAGGCGAGGGGACCGGACTGCTGCGGCTACACAGTACGTACCGTCACGACCTCAAGATTTATACGTCGGACGAGGGTCGCGTCCAAATGTCCGCAGCTGCATTCACCAAGGGGCTGCTGGACCTGGAGGGGCAGCTCACGCCAATCCTGGTGAGACACGTGGCGGCTGGTGTAGGCTGCTGCAGTGTAGAGATGCAGTGCGACGGCTCTGCAAAGGTTGCCGGGGCTTTTGAAAGACGGGGGCAGCGAAAGGTTTTGAAATAGCCGCCGAGGGTTACGGCGGCAGATCGCGGGTGTCAAACGATCTTTCAGGGGTTTCCTTTCATCTGCAGCAGCAAGATGCAATGTCTTTCTGGACGCTGAAGTTAGACTCTTGTGCCTGCGAGCCACGATCTAGGACCTTGTCCTCGACCCGACGTGCAAGACCCAAAAAAGTGCTTGCCGAGACGTCCTTAAGAGTCCGGAAAGCTCGAAAAGGTATCCAACCCTAAATTCTCCAGGGTGAGCTTAGTGAGCTACGACGCTGTCATACTGGACATTGTAGACTCATGCGCAGACACGAAGATGGAGACGAGCACAATTTATCTGTTAGGCGCTCAGCACAGACCCTAATACCTCGAAAATTCTGAAGCCACGACATTGAACCGCTTTCGTTTGCCCAGGTGAGCTTAGTTGGTCGTGACGCTGCAATGTCAGGCATCTTGGACCCCGATGCAATCCAAAGTGTAGATACGAGCAAGAAGCTTGAGGCATACAGCAAAACTGTACAAACCCTACAGTAGGTCTTAACACGCCATAACTCTGAAACACATTCTCCCGTTTCCAGGTAAGTCTCGTAAGTCGCGACGCGGCAATGCTGGACATCGTAGATCCCGGCGCGGACAAGGCGATGGAGACGAGCAAGAAGTTTCTGTTCGAGGCGTACAGCAACAATCGGGGGCCCGAGAAGCCGGAGGAACCGGCCTCGCCCTGGATGGTCGACGGCGGGGGGATCCCCGAGAACCCGTTGCGGCTGCTGCAGCGCCTGGTGAGTCGGGAATACGTGGGTTTTTGAGATTTGAATCACGTGGATTCAATTGGTTGGTCGACGGCAGGGGATCCCGAGAACCCGCTGCGTCTGCTGCAGCGCCTGGTGATCAGGACATGTGGGCTCTTCATTATCGAGACACGTGGCTTCAACTGGTTCGTCAACGGCGGGGTTTTCAAATAACCTGCTGTAACTGCTCCAGCGCCCAGTGAGGGAACCAAGTGGTCTCCATGAAGTAGAGACACTTGGCCTGAGCGATTTAAGGTTAAAGCAGAGAGAGGTGAAGCGGCACTCAGGATCGACGTCTTATGTGTGCAGTCCATTTTCGAATTGCGTTTTCGGGCTTCGGTTGATTGAAAAGCTTCGAATCAGTCAGAGGGTGCGTTTTGATCCGAGCAATATACATCTGGCTTGAAGGTGCGTCTAACCATCCCGCGCCGGTGGTCTCTCAGAAAGCGTCAATCGAGGGAAGTGGAGCCCAGCTAGCTAATGAGCGGACGTCCCTTGATTTTTGACTAAGACAAGGTCTATTACACACAGTCAAACCGGATTGTTTCCAATCTGGACGACGCTCATCAGGCCGCTCTTCCTTTTCCAGGTGCAACTGACCAAGCTCCTGACCGCCCAGATAAAAGAGCTCTGCAAAGAAGAGGACTACGCAGCCGGTTCGACGAGCGGCAGCGAAGACGCAGCGTGTTACGTCAGCTTGGAGGCACGTGCCCTAGGGAAGGCCGATCTGGACCAGGACCGAGTGGAAGCGGGGCTGCCGTGCGGGTCCGAAAATTTCCTGCTCATGTTCGCGCGCTGGAAGAAACTAGAGCGGGACATGTACAACGAGCGCAAGAACAAGTACGACATCAGCAAGATCCCGGACATCTACGACTGTGCCAAGTGAGTAACTCCGAAGCCCTGAGTTTTCATGAATCTGAGCCGCTAAAAAGGGTTTAAACAACGGGATTCCTGGCTGTCGACAGTGTGCGAGGTTCTGCCTTTCTCATTTCGGTTCCTTTGCTTCTCAAGTTTTGTGAAGTATCTTGGTCTTTGCCAATCTTGCCGAGAACAGCTCTGTAACGCACTGCCCGAGGTGCAAGCATCGGTCCCACTGTGCTTATTTTATCGCAACCGCAGAAGTTGTGGACACGTCGCCCAGTTCATTTTTTTTCCTTTTCCGTTCCTTGGTTCTCCCCGCTGCCGCTTGTCGTTTGCTCCGTAATTCAATATGTGCCTGCTCATTTCCATCCCCGTTCATCGTATCGTTCCTCCTGCATTTCTGTGTTCACTCCATAGAACTCGCTGGTGGATAATTCCTTTCCCCCTGTTCTCTTGTCCTTTCTATTTCGCTATCTTTTTGCCGTCACACTTTCTCTAGGGACGACCTGCTTCGTAACCCGCACCTTAACCTTCGCATCGTCCCCCTCTTCTTCCTACTTTGTTCTCTCGACTGCAATACGGCCCTCTTGCTGCCCCCTGGCGCGATTCGCCCTCATCTCAACTATAATCCCAGTCTACCTGAACATAAGACGCTTCTTCGCTCGACCACTCTCAACTCATCGTAAGCTCTTCGTAATCCCAACTGCCTGTCTCCACTCCTCCAGGTACGATCTGCTGCACAACCCGCACCTAAACCTGGTTGGCCTGGACGAGATTTTCTCGGTCGCCAAGGCGCTCGCGGACGGCGTCATCCCCAACGAATACGGCATCAACCCCGTGCATAAGCTCCGAATTGGATCCAAGGTGGGCTTTCCCTTCCTCTCAAAGCAGTCAAGCTGTTACCAGAGAGATGAAAGCTCTGAAATGCAGTTGAACGGCAGTAAGACAAGCTGGTCGGAAGTGGTTACGTTGAGCCTTTGTCTCAGTGGCACGGGGAATTTCCTTGTTGATGAGTGCAAAAAGATGAATCAGGCTCTCGCGGCTGGCTCATTCAAGTATTGGTTTTTGGGGGAATTCGATATGGGTTCAGGATTCCAGGGCCGCTTTTTCTCTCGCCCCGACGGCAATTTCCCAACAAACATTAGGTGGGTTTGAGGCAAAAAAAGTAGACAGAAAAGAGAGGGGAGGCGAAGGGCAAGCGCGCAGACTCACCTCTGTTCCCACTCGCCTGCAGATCTGCCGGCGGCTGGTGGGCAAGATTCTGATCGACTTCTGGAACACGCGGGAGGAGACCCTGAGCGTCGCGAAGCTGACCAGCGAACCGAGCGGCCACTGGAAGCCCGCCAACAAGGCGCCCTGGCGCCCCGTCAGCAGCACCGCCAAACTCTCGTCTCTTGCAACCTCCGAGGCCTCTACCGCGCGCCTCGGGAACGCCGACACGTCAGCAAGCATGGTCAGCCTCGCGCCCAGCGAGTCCAGCTCGGCGGCCGCCGGGGCGAGCCTCCCGGGCGCGCCGTCGCCCCTGGAAGTGGCCGGGGGGATCCCCCTGGCCGCGCCGTCGCCCGTGAAAGCGCCCGGGAAAGCGCCGTTGCCGGTGGAAGTCCCCGGGGGGATCCCCCCGGGCCAAGCGGAGGCTCCGGGAACCCCCCGGTCGAGTACGCCGAGCATTATGGTCGGGGAGAGCGCCTCAGGGCCGCCTACCGAGGCAGAATTGGTGGCAATGAACTTGGGGAGGTTGGAGGTGGGGGATAACCGGCGGGTTAGCGAGAGGGTTAGCGACCGGGTTAGCGACCGGGTGGAGAAGCTGGACGACGAGCCGGACAGCCCGTCGGCAAAGAGCGAGGGGCGCGCAGAGGAGGCGTCGTACCGACTGAACCCCAAGTGAGCGCTTGCAAGCCTTTCCCTACTTTGCTTGCCTGCTCTCTGGAACTGTGCTGCAAAGAGACGCGTCCAATCAATCAGGATTAGCCTTGGCGGAAGCAGACCAGACTCCGCCTGCATTTTTGAGAGCGTCCAACCTATTCTTCCCGTTCCATGTTCTGTCAGTTCTAAGAAAAGCCTTTGTCTCGCAACCGTGGCGCTCCGCATTTGAGAATTACAGAACCGTACAAGTGTTGAGACTTTAGCGCTCCGCTTTTCCTTCTGTGGTTGTCAACCGAATGAGCCCACCGCATCAAGTATATTGTCCCTCCGTTCCATCCGTCTTTTTTTCCTCAATCTTCACTAAGGCCCCGAAACTGACGCCTTCCGAAAATCCCTATTTACTTGGTCCCTGCACGCTTCCTGACCCGCTGCCACGTGTCACTTCCAGGTACGCCAACGTGAAGACCCCGCAGCGGCACGTGCGCACGCGGCTCTACTTCACGTCGGAGTCTCACATCCACTCGCTGATCAATGTGCTGCGCTACTGCCACCTGGACGAGAAGCTGGCGGGGCAGGAGCCGCTCATCTCAGATGAGGCGCTGCATAGGTTATACGAGACGAAGGAGCTGGACTACTTGACGCACATTGTGCTGCGGCTCTATGAAAACACGGAGGTAAGGCATATTGAGTTTGCAGATTGCGGGTCTTTGCACTCAGGTTCCCCCACCGCTTCGTTCGGCCCACCTTTTCAGTAAAAAGCACTGAAAAGCTGCTGTTATGCATCTTCTATTACCTGCCAAAACTTCGTAGTCACGCATGGTATGGGTGATGAGATCTCACCTGGGAGGCTGTTTGTTGTGCTGTGTACTCAAATGAATAGGCTTTCATTCTTACCGGTTGAGAAAGTTCCAGAACTTTGACAGTGGCAGACAGCTCAGTAAGAGAGCAGCAGCATAGACTATCTCGTGTAAGGTCTTTGGCTCGACATCTTTGCCGCTCAAGAACCCGCCGATACGAGCTTTTGCCTTCGACAGGTGCCGATCAACGATACGAAGCGGTTCCGAGTCGATCTGCAGTACAGCAGCGGAGCCGCACTGAGCCCTCTGGAGGTGAGCACGGACACAGTTGCAGCGCCACAGTTGCAGCGCTTGCCCCTCTAAGGTTTCCGCATGCAGTCTATGCGGATCCATGTAAATCAATGTTTTAGCGGTAGGCGAGCACACACTGGACCCAATTGTGTGCATTAGTCTCTGCCTATTCGCAGCGGTCCAAAACCGGCTCATCAGTTTTTGCTCGTGAAGCCAGATAGTCAGGACTTGTCAAGCACTTCAGGTGCGTCATTTGAAACGGCTCGAGCAAAGTCTTTCTTTCGCCGGATTCTTTCCTTCGTTCACTATATCAACTTTTCAATCCAAGTCTTCACCTGCCGCGCAGGTGACCCCTCGGGGCCGCGACCATGTTCTCCCGATCCTTCCCCGGGAGCCCCTCCAAAACGTGGGCACTTATCTGAGCCTCGAGCAGCTGGAGGTGATGCTAAAGCCCTTCGCCATGCCCGTTGAAGAGTTCCCGCCCCCAGCCGGGTATCCGGCGGTCCAGCATGACTCTGGCGACAGTCACCACAGGCATCGCAACCAGCGGTCCAGTAATACTGGGTACACGTTGCAAAAGATAGCTGTTTGACGCATGCACTGAAAACGATTTGGTGATGTTTTATGGGTAGGCAACTGCCGTGAATCTGAGAAGGTCGATAGAACATATGCTTAGCTGTCTCGGCCAAGCTTTGTGGCCGGTTTAAATATTAACATACTTCCTGAGAAATTGCAAGGTATACAACCTTTCAAGTTGCCCCACTGCCAATATGCAATTAGTGCAGCATATATGGCCTTGCAGCGTGTAGAATAATTAAGAAGGATACATATCACGCATGACACCATACTATCATTCATTCTTTCATGCAATGCACATGGGACCGCGCGAGGCATAACCCCAGAAGTTAAATTTCCTAAGGCTGATCCTTTCACCAATCGAGCCTTCGCCGGATCGTTCCAGCTAGCTATTAGTACGACCTGCATCATGATTGGAATCGGCCGCCGACTCATGGGCGCACTGCGTGTTGCGACAAATTGATCTGTTGTCTGGTGCGCGACAAAGACATTCAACGATTGGCACGCATGCAGTTTACGTTTGCCAGCCATTATCCATGGGGGGCCAAGTCGGAGAGAGCTGGTTGGGATAAAGCCCTTCCGCAATTGAATTGTACGACGATCATGTGGTACCATTGCGACCCTCTTCGAAACCTTCTCAACAGCAGCGATGCAAGGTTGTTTGCCCCTCTGATTACGTTACTTGTTCAGGCCTCGTGGTTACCTGTTTCTTTAGTTCTTCGTTCCGGTCACAAGCAACCTGCGACAATCACAGAACATGGTTTAGAAAATGGTTTGACTGTCACAGATGACACCAAGCTTTACCCCTGATCTGGCCAGACCGTTTCGATCAGGAGGGTCTGAGATGCACGTTTGATGCCCGAAAGTCGGAAAGCCAACCCAGGTAAACAGGCTTACGCCAATGGACAACACGTTCGCGCTTTGCGTCAAACCTGGTACCAATCAACGACAACCCTTCCCAACCAGTAAACCTCCGGACGGCCCAACACATAACAAAACGAACGGCCCTAATAGCGTCGAGAAACCCGCGTTGGTTTCTGGTGACCAGTACCAGGTTCGACACAAAGTCTGATATTCCCCAGACTGTCCAGATACGAGAGATACGACTGAAGCGGAACTGCGGCTCACCTGAAACTCTCTGACGCGTGTGTGGTACAGTCTCTCTGCGTCCAGCAGCTGCGCGTGCTGCGCCTGCAGCGCCGTCAACGACCGCCGGTCCTCGTCCAGCCTCTGAGTCGCCTTGGAAAGCGTCTGCGCCAAGTATCACTAAGAAACGTCAATCGTTACAAAGGTTTACGATCGTGAGGGGATGGCGTTTGGTGATAAGCTGCCTCGGGACGACTCCCCCGCCCCTTGGTTAGCCTTACTTTCTACCTGACCTTTTGTTCGTTGAAAAGGGGGCGAAACTGCGGTTTGATGTAGGATTCGAAGCTGACCACCAAAACAGTCTCCGTACAAAGGCCCTGGATTGGACGTGGCCGACAAAAGCACCTCTGGCACAGCTAAAAGATAGCGGTGAACGAGATATCCCGTCAGGGCCGCAAACACCAATCAGGGACGGATTTCATACGTCAGTCTGAACGCAACATTGAACAGATGTGAGCAGCGGAACCCTTGCCTGCTTCACGCTCGCCGCAATCCCCTCCATTGACTCGACGAGCTTGGTGCGCCCCGCAGGGAAGGAGATGGCCTGATCAAACTGGAGTGACCGAGAACGATAAGGACGATTTCAATGACCGAAGTGACCCAGTTATATTCTTGGACTTTGCATCTGCTCTGTATCGTATTCGCAACTTGATGCCACTTGAAGACTGAGCTCAGGCACTGTGAAGGCCCAGTGATGATCTAGTACGTTAAGCTGCGAAACTCGGGACAGACCTGGAGACACGTGAGATTTTGTCCCTGCCCATGTCTATCGCCCAATCAAGATGTTCACTACAAGTAAGATTTGATGGAAGTTTACGCTAACGGGATTGATCCAACATCCTTACAACAGCTGCGAGAGTATTGAAGGACAATACCCTCAGGTATTGCGGTCAGAGAGACGGTCGGAGGGACCGGAGCTTCCATACCTGGCCTTCTATGGAGTTCAGTAGAGACGTCTCTTTTTGCGTGAACTTGCCGACGTCCGTGAGCGAATTGTACGTGTTGTAAAAGCGCCGTGTCTCCTGGAGCTTTCCCTGAAGGCATACGCAAAATGTAGCAGCTTAAGATCAGCTTCTTGAAAACTTGAAGTTCCCTCTCAAAGAGTGCAAGAAAGAAGGGGACTGCAGTCAAATCAAACGGCAGTCAATCCGTGGCACAGGCGAGAGGGCCGTTTCAGATAGTTTTGATGCAACGGGGTTTGGAGCATGTAGTATCAGAATTCTTTCAAAGGCCTGTCACGGAATGGTTTGACATGTTTCTTTCCTCAACTTTGACGTCCAAGTCAAAAGGATAGGCATACAGATTGTTCAACCCAGACTGAGACTGCTCAGTTTGTCAGTATCAGAAACCATAGCTAAGAGGATCAGCGACAGTCTCCTTAAGTCGGAAGACTGCAGTTTCCTCAAGAGAACGGCCTCGACTTTTCTAGGTGACCAATATCCACGCCGGGACGAGAACTTCATGAAAGCTGTGGCTTGGTGAGATCCTGAATAATTGACAGCTTGAACTTCGATAAACATACCTGTTCCTGTTCGTATAGCTCCACGAAGCGCTTCTCGTACTGCATCAGCTCCAAACCTGACGGAATCTCGTCCAACTTCCGCTCAAGGAGCAAGATGCCCCGCAGCTTCTTGCCAAGTTCCTTCAAACACCACAAAAACAAGTCAAGACACGGCCAAGAAGCAAACCCGAAAGGTGAAAAGCAGACGACAAAAGCCATCTTAGAAAGCTGAGCGCAAGTTGTATAAAACGATGGCTCGCTGATACCTTGCACCGAGCTCAAGAAGTAAAACCCGCTCCCACTTGTTCTGAGATGCTGGAACCCAATGCTGGAAACCAGAGTCTGACTCAGTCGTACTGCAAACGTTGAACCCAGGCGGCAGCTTTGTTTCATCAAAATAGAGTCTCTTCACTCACACATGAAGCCCTAAGATCAAATGTCTGCCCACTCTTTTCTGAGCCATTGAAACTGGTTAGTAGGCAGCGCTCCGCTTCCATCAAGCCACCTCTTGACTCGCAACCGTTGATTGCTGTTCAGACACTTACCTTTTTCAGTTCGTCTCTTTCTGCAACAGCAGCTTTCCAAGCCGCCTCTAGTTCCTGACTGCGGCTGTCCGCCTCTGGCTCTGGGGGGTTCACTTTCAGGTCCTCAATCTCATGCTCCAATTGCACCCTCTTTGCTTTGCAGGAAGCCTTAAACGCTTTCTCTTCTGCTGCAAGGCTGGCCTTGCGCCTGACCAAAGGAAGCAGCTGTTCTACTGCGTCTTTCACCCCATTAGCCTCTATCTCTTCTTGTAGCTTTTGCGTTTCTGTGACCGCTCGTGCGTTGTACGCGCGCTGTACAATCAGAGTATGAGAAGGAATGGGGGGTTGACCGAATGTCATGCTGTCCGATAAGAAGCAGATCTAGAAAGGACGCAGCTAGTTCACTACGTACATATAAGATGGAAAGGTTGTGGCACTCGATTGCCTGCTGTCTGCTGTACCGATTGCATTGTGCAAACGGTGGTGGATATGAAACATTGCACAACAATGCTGAAGCCTTCGAGCTGGCGCAAGCACATTACTTCAAAACCTGCCACCATGCAAACCACTGAACTTTTCATTTTGGTCAGAGGGTAAGGAGGCAAACAGAGCATCCATGCTGGCTGATCAGCAAAGATCTTGAGTTGGTGATGCTCAAGATTGCAGTTCAACCTGCAAATTCTGCACTGCTTCCGACGAACAATCTGACCAGCTTCTAATCTGCACTTGTGTATTCTCACCTTGTTTTCAATCTCGTATTGGCCTGCATTGAGCTTCCCTTCGGCAATTTGCACTCTCGCTTGCAGCTTCTCCAGCTGCTTCTCTATATGCTCTACCTGAGCTGCGAGGGAGGCGGTAGGATTGCTTGGGACCGCCATTGCAGCACAATATGGGAAGATTCAAATGAGAATGCAGAGCCTTTCTGCCACTTTCTTCCCCCCAAAGGAAAAAGGAAAAACCCTAAATTCCCTATAAAACTGCAAAACACTGAACCCGGCACTTTTACCACAGGTCTAACCGCTTTCAATGGCAACCCGAAACTCATAACTCGGCTCTGCGAAGCTGTGTCTGCGTGCGAGCAAAAGTATCAACCCACATACGAACCCTGTCAAAACCCAAACCCTAATGCCAATTTGGCAAAAGGGGGCCATGGCTTCAGCGGTTGCATGCAGAGCTCTGGGCAAATGGGAAGGGGGCGCCTCATGCAGGCAGATTGTCAGCAGCATTCAGCAGCATTGCGAACATGGCGGCCAAGGACCTTCCTCTCTGAGCTTGAATGTTCAACCAGGTCCGTACAGGTCTCCAACAGATGTTATCTAGGCCGCTCGCGCAAGCTCTCAGGTCCCCGTGCTGGTCCTGCATGGCGGCCACTCTGGTGGAACGGGTCACTAATGGTCCCGTTCCTATGCCTTTGGCTCAATCAGGCAGACGACTTCATTCTGCAGCCACGTCTTGGCCTCCGTGGGATCTGCTTGAAACGTCCATTCTTGGTAAAAGGCAACAAGCAAGTTGGAAGAAGGTTTTGCTTCCGCCACTGCTGTCTCTGAGCACAAGTCTACCTACTTGTTATTTAGAAAGAACGAAAGGAAAGAAGGATTTACATGTAGCTGGGAGGGCCGGAGTGCACATGGCAGCCTCAGGGGGGAATGGGGAAAGCACCACAAAACCAAAGGTAGGTCGATAGAAGAGATCTTTGGAGCGGTCTCATGATTTGAATCAATTGCAAGCTGTGGATGGACAATTGAGTCCACTCTGGTGCAAATTTGGATAATTAAAGCCACAAACTTGTGTGGAATGCAGATTAGACCACTCATAGACGATACGGCACTAAAAAACGTATGCATTCTTAGCAGTGAAGCTTAATCCTCTGTCCAGGTATACTCCACCCCCATCAACTTCTGTCCATCATGTGGAGGACAAGTTTCAAAGCAGGTTCCTGAAGGGGAGGTTGAAGAGAGAGCAGTCTGTACCCAGTGCCACAAGGTCCACTATGTCAATCCCAAGATGGTGAGTTTCGGAAGCACCAGACAATAACGTCACCGGAAAATTTATTTCTTCGCTCGATCATTATTGCTCGACGATGAAGAGATTCAAAGGAGGAGAGATGTTGATGGTGGTGTCACTTATTGCACTTACGTCAAGCGACCACTCATCCTGAACGGTAAACTGGTACTCAAGAGAGTCAAGTGGTGAAAAGCAGGAATTGCGGGGCAAATCATTTATAATGGAACAGTGGTCCAGATTTGGCAGGCTAAGTAGTTGAGATCTTCTTTTGCAGCATTCTGAGTCTGCCGCTTCAATTCTATGCATTTCGTCTCCCTGGAAAGCTCTTCCTCTAGATAAAACAGCAGGCGTTCCTTTTACCTGCTTCGTGCCGCGATGTCCCTGCTTTGAATGTTGCCCTGGCTCCTGCCAATCATGCTCTTCTGCGTTTCAATGTAAGATAGCGAACTCTTCTCTGCAAGTTCGATCTACAACGAGCCTGCTAACTCCCATTGTTACTGAAGAAAGGATGGCCCGCAATTGTCTGTCAACTTTCTGTAAAGAAATTAGTATCTGTGGCCCTTGCAGGTGGTAGGATGTGTTGCGAGCTACGACAACAAGGTCCTCTTGTGCAAGCGCGCCATCAAACCTTCGTTGGGCCTCTGGACCCTCCCCGCGGGTTTCATGGAGTTGGGAGAGTCGGCAGCAGAGGGCGCCGCTAGGGAAACGCAGGAAGAAGCGCTGACAATTGTTCACATTGTGGCGCCATATGCGCATCTCGACATTCCCCTGATAGGACAGGTGGGTGTGACCCACGTCGCAGCGCCGTTGACTGCCAAATGTCTCGAGACTGTGGCAACAGAATCGTCCTTGTGTCCAAGCATTTGCAATCAGTAGACAAGTTGTCAACAACAACTTTCCGAAGTGTGCTGGCGTGGAAAACTGAAGCCCTGCAAGAACATCAGGATCGATAGTCCAGCATGATCGGCCCCTTTCGTAGAGCATCTTCTTGTCATTTTGGCTAGGTTCGAGACGGTTTTCTGAGATTCTCTTTGCTCCTGAAACCGGCAATCTTTCCACGCAGAGCAGAGCTACATAATATTCCGGGGCGAGCTGGAGAAGGCGGACTTCAAGCCAGGACCAGAGTCGCTCGACGTCCGATTGTTTGCGCTGGACGAGATCCCCTGGGACTTGCTGGCGTTTACATCGGTCACCGTCGTGCTGAAAAAGGTGAGCTTGTGCACGATAGTTGTAAGCTGTTCGTGGGGCTTCTCAGATTGCCCGGCAGAAGTCTCTCTCAAAAGGGTCCTCCTTTTCGCATGTTGCATGAGCGAGTCTTATGTTCCGGGTCGTCTGTTATGTAGTAGCCGGACGTCTACTTCGTGGGGTTTGTGTTCGACAATATGGAGCAGAGTTTAGATCCTTGCAGTTTGGACACGAGGCCAGACTCAGCGGTTCCGTTCTCACCCGATTCACGATGATCTGGCACGTTCTCTCTTTCTTAAGGACATGGAAAAAGGGGTGCGAATCTGGCATAGAGAAGTGTAAAGACGGAGTTCAGGCCCGTCAACTGAATGGCTCGGTTCGGTATCCGCAGTACATCGAAGATATCGAACGAGGGGCGTTTGGAGTTCACCACGGGGTCATCGAGAAAAAGTGAGTCTCACAAAGGGACGTACTCTATCTGTCCCTTCACCCTTTGATCAAGCCTACAGATTCGGAGGATCTCGTCAAATGTTTGCTTCTTCCTCGAATCTGAATAAGAGTTTCAAGCCAGAGCGCCAATTTGTGGAGTCTGCATTCTTGTTCAGAGGTTGCGTTTTCATTGGAAATAAGCAGCAGAGTATTCTCATGCGGCCCAATGTTTCTCAGAACCATCAGGCAGGGGTCTTGGAAGGTTCGGATTGGGGTTTGCCGCTGATACTGGAGTTCTATGTATCCTGCAGGCCTGGATCCAGTCCCTCCGATCCTGACGGCTACGTATTACGCGACCACATGGTCGTGCCTGGCCCGCGATGACTTGGAACCTCTTTTTCTTGTAGCTCCTTATCATAGATAAAAGCAGACCGTCTGGTACGTCATCATGGCATTCTTGACTAGCGATTCAACGTCTCCCATACATGCGCACGGTTTCCATATTCTCGTCGGAAGTTCGCAATTGCTGGTCAGCCTGGACCACATGTCTGCCTCCCCATTCTAGGCTTCCGGCATTGAACTTAGTCATGCCAAACTAACCGTTGCAAACTTATGAAGGATCTACACACATGTGCACTTGTGTGGCGATCATGCTCAGTGGTACGGTATGCCGAACCGACTGATCAGGGTTCACCGGCCACTGTTTGCTGGCATGCCTGGTGCACCAGCTTGCAATCAACTTCCGACACGACATCCATGTGCGAGCTAGTACATATGCTCTCATGCACGTACTAACATGCTGGGGTACAAAGATGCTCAAGTTGTTCGCTGCATGCTTGCAGTGCTGCATGGCATAGAGGTCGCACGTGCCGGGAGCTGCAGTGCAACGAATCTACATGACAAGCTGCTAGATTGACGGGCTTCACTGAGTCAAGTTGCGACTCCGGCCCTCAGGCACGCGTCCCTAGCTTATTCATGGACTCCGAATCTTACTTTTTTGACGACCTCTGCAATAGTGCTAGCTGGCCGCCCTTTCGTAACCTCGACGCTAAGCCCTTACCGTGCCAGCCGGGCCACTTACATGACCCACTCTACACCGGCTTCAGCTTCTGCAGCGTTATGTTACCAAGAGTATCTGCAAGCAAGGGAAAAAGAAGATGCATCAAGTGACGTACAGTGACGTCAAGAATTTCCCTAAGCCGAATCGGGAAACGAACAAGCAATTGACACAAGACAGAGCCTGCGACTTTCCTGGATGCAGCACAAGCTTTCAAAATCTGATTGTGGCTGAAAATTTGCTCAAACGGCTCCGTTTCTCAACCGACCTGTCCAGTCAAGTTGCCCATTCAATCCTTCCTAGCATGGTGATTCAGCATGACGAGCCGGCAGACAAACGAAAACGTCCGACTCACCAATCTCTCTGTGCATCAACCGCCCAGCCGAACCAAACACAATTCCGGCCTCGCGCAGGATCCGATTCAGCTCGGGAACAGGAAGGCATAGCCGCCGCCGGATAAAGTGCAGCACGGGAAGGAGGCAGGGATTGCTGCCGAAGATGGACGTCTCTGCATAAAGACCATTTCTGACAGTTTGATTTGATGATCCATCCTGCTATATTCTGACGTATCCCAGACCCTGTTCTCGATGCTGCTGAAGGCCCCAGAGAATTAGCTCTTTCTCGTGGAGGATAAACCTTGAAACAAGTATTTGGAACAGTACTCAAGGGCTACTTCTTTCAATTAACGGCTTCGCGCGAAAGAACCGGTTAGCAGCTTTCTAACGGTTCGTCAGTTTTCAGTTGTGTCCAGAGAGGGGAATAGACACAAGACTGCTAGAAACGGGGGCGAAGACAAGGTGGGAAGCTTTGCAAGATTCGCCGCGAATGATCGCGCAGGTGACATGACTCTTACCTTCGACTTGGGCGATGTATCGACAGAGCTCGGATAAGAAGGGCCTTTGAAGGGTCCAACCATTTTCGAGTAGACTGCAAAATGAGGAGCAAGGGCCAATGAGCAGGTTGCTGAATGTAATGGAACCTTCCGGTTGTCACCAGCTGATCTGCTGGCGGAACTTCTTCCGACTTTCTGTGCTCGATTTAAGTTACTCTGAAAGTTTCTTCGACCCAACTTTTTGACGTAATTCCAACGAGACTGTTCTTCTGCAGCTACTGTAGAGCGTTTCAAAAGCTCAGAGCGTTCAAACAACGGCAGTGTCTCGGTCAGCCGATGCATCCAATCCTCCGTGGAAAAACTTTCTTGTTTTTCCTTTTTCTTCCCCCAATTTGTACTAACTTGCAATCAAGCTTGTCTGCCCGGCCCGATGCATGTTTCGACTTTCCTTGTTCTGCGTCTACCTTCCGGCAATTCTGCATCACAAACACAGGAGCACCACCAGTCTACATTCAATGTCGCACCTTCTCGCTTTCTGCACGAGCAGCACCATGATGTTGTCCGTCGTGTTCTGCGCCTGGACGAGCGCGCACAGCTGCATGTAAAACACGTTGAGCGCGTTGTTCTGCTGCTCCTCCTTGCGCGCGCGCAGCAGCTCGGCGCTCTCCTGCAACGATGATTTGGCCAGGTCCCTGCGAGGAGATTTCAAACCTAGTCAGAAGCTAACCCAGATTTGAATAAATCGAGCGCGTTGTTCTGTTGCTCCTCTTGCACGCGCGCAGCAGCTCGCCCCTCTCCTGCAGCGACGACTTGGCCAGGTCCCTGCGCGTGGGTTTCCTGGTTTAGATGCACATATCCACCCGGTCGTTCTTCAGAAAGAATGAAGGATATCTCATTGGATGTCCATTTGTCCACCCTTGCTGATCAAAACTCCTTTCATACCCTCGAATGACCTTCGTCTATTGCGATAAAACGGAGGCTCGCGTGCCTCTTGTTGAGCAGAATAGAGCTTTTTGCAAGCCCTTGTATCAGAGGTTGGTCTTTAACCGGGCGTTATTGCTGTACCTGGAACCGATCGGTTCCGCTGTACCAAACTTTTGGTCGGAACCTGGGTGCCTGGTTCGTGACCGAGGATGGATAACATACAAATCACTTGGTGCAGAGGTCAGCCCTAAGCAAACGGAAAGTTTCGGTGCTAAAATGCTGCAGGTTCGACGTGACAGGCGTCGCATTTAAAGCATATGACAGAGTCAAACTCACCAGATCCCCTCCGTGTGGATTGGATACGAGCGGCCGACGTTCCGAATTTGACTCACGAGCAGTTTCGACACCTGAACAGACCAAGAGTGCAGATCAGAACAGGTAGATCCAGCTCCGAGCGCGCGCGCAGCGGTCCGATCGTGAGAAGTTTCTGATTAAACGATAAAGCGGAAACGGAAGCCAGGGGACGAAATTCCTGCACCAATAAACAAGAAACTCTGACCATGCCCGCTTCAGCTCTACTAACCGCAAGCAAGACAAATGCGCCGCACAGTGTAGACTAACTCTTTAAGCGATGCAACCGGAAACGAACCCTCTCACCGTGTCCATGAAGTCTGGCGACTCTATGCACCGCTCTGGCCCTTCTCAGCCGTTTTATCTCGCGACAAGCATACTCACCTTAAGCCCAAAGCAAAAGCGAAGAGACCGGAAAGAAGAACCCTGGATCGGAAACGGAACCCCGCCACCGTGCCCCCATGATGCGGGGTGGTCGATAGAACCGCTCGCGCCGCGCTCGATGCGCTTCGAGCGGTTCCCCTAGCCACTTTATCCACTGAGCGGAATTGAACGGAAACGGAGGACCGGATACGGAACCCTCTCACCGTGCCAATGAAGCGGAACGATTGATTGCCCCGCTCGCGTCGCGCTCTGAGCCCTTGCAACCGCCCGCCCCGCAAAGCGACGCGCTGAATAAAGTAGAACGGTGAACGGAAGCAATTTGACCGGGAACGAAACCTTGTTACCGTGCCCATGAAGCGGGGCAACTCTATGTACCGCTCTCTGAGCGTTTCGAGCCGTTCTGCTAGTCCATCAATCCACTGGTTAGAGCGGAAACGAAAGACCAGAAACGGAACCCCTTACCATGCCCCATGAAGCGAGGCGACTCGATGCACCGCTCGCGCCGAGCCCTGACCGCTTCGAGCCGTTCCGCTACTCGATTGATCTACTTGGTTGCAAAGAGTTGAAACGAAGAACAGATAACGTAACCCACTCACCGTGCCCATGAAGCGGGGCGACTCGATACACCGCTCGCGCCGCGCTCTTAGCGCTTCGAGCCGCGCGCGCAGATCATCGCGCATGCGCTGGCGCAGCGTGTCGAACTCAGTGTGCAAGCGGGGAATCGTGGACTCGAAGGAGAGGCTGGAGAGGGACCGCTCCGCTGGGACCGGGGGTTTCTGCACCGGGGGAAGGCCAATCAAACCATCATAAATTATCTCACTTTAACGTGATTCAACAAATGGTTTGTAATCGTGCCCGAGTATTTGCACCCGGGAGGCGGGTGCTTTGGGCAAAAACTACAAGCCACTCGAACCGCAGGCTACTTAGCGCTTTTCAACATTCGACTGATTCTTGGAGTTGGGACTGAGCTTCACTTAGGAGATTCGAAAGAGTGCGGTTTCCGATCTCCTTGAGCGAAAAAGACGGGCTTCTCCCTTGTGTAGCTTCTAAGCAGTTCAAAGACAGGTCAAGTAAATTATCTTACCTGCAAAGCTGAATCCTGCAAGCTCCTTGATTGTTTACTTATGTCGTCTGGACAATACGAAAGCCGATCGCCTTCAAGAGCTTTTTCTCGACTTCGAAACTGGCGCACGGACATACTGAATGCTCAGCAAGAATCTTGCTCATAGTTGCTGTCCTTCTCTGCTAGATCATGCCCGTCGGAAGCTGCAGCCTGCAAACTTCAATGTTCCCCCTTTCTCCTCTTCTCGAATTGAATGCTCACCTTCTCGGTTACACCGTTTCCAGTCAACTCTCCCGTCTTCCTCCCAACCATCGCCGCGTGTCCCAAAAGCGACGCCTCCCTCACGAGCCTCGGCCCGGCGGCCGCGTGGCCCCCGCGCGGCGTGCGCGCGCGCTCGTGCGTGGCCGCGAAACCGAGCATGAACTGCGCGACGGGGCTGAGCGCCGCCAGCGCCGACGGCTTCGGGCTGAGCTTCGCGCCGTGCGCGCGCGCGTGCGAGAAGCGCCGCGGCGCGGCCGCGTGCGGCGAGCTGGGAGCGGAGGAGCCGCGCTTCGAGCTGCGCGTCGAGCCCTGGTGCTGCGGCGGGGGTGGCGGTAACCGGAGCGGGTCAAGGTTGATAACCAGGCGGGAGGACGGGGGGTTTAGTTGCAGGGTTAGCTGGGCGATTGCGGAACGGCTGGAGTGGGTCTTTTGCTGCGCCTCGGAGAGGGGCCCGGCGGGCGGGGGCGGCGTTTCTGAGGGGCCCCTGGTACTAGATTCTGCAAAAGGGGCCAAGACTGGTTGAGGGTTCTGTGCTTTGGAAGGTTTGTGCGGCAGAACCGATTTTGCACGTTCCATCTGCCAGACGCATCTAGTCAAGGTTCCAAGGCTTGCTTAGCCTCTGAAAGCAAGTACTTTCTCCCGAAGGTACTCGGGGTGTATGAGTGAAACGGGGGCCAATCAGTCTCGAACCTTATGTTGCCGGCAAGGTCCTCGGCCATCTTAAGATTTTAGACTATTTGCTAGAGAAAAGTCTCTTTTACCTTTCGACGTTCCAACCTCTCCTCATTATGTAAGCTAGAACCCAGTTTGAAGTTCTTCCCAGGAATAATGGATACTTGTCTTTACGATGTAGTACGAACACTCAAATGGACCCCATAGTATCGCTTACGACTGTGCTCTTACCTTCTTGTTGGCCCGCTCCGATGCCCATGACACCACCCCGAGCCTGAAGAGATAAAAACCGCCGATCAGCGCCCATACATGCCTAGTGTATTGCTTGGCTGCTGGACATTGTTTGCGCCTAGCATTTCGAAAGCTGGTGAATCTTTACTGGCGACATTGCAGAAGGAGCGTATTTAGTTTCGCGAGAACGACATCTGTTCTGCCCTTTGCCCCAACATACTCTCAGACGCATGGTTATAAGATGTTGGGGTTGACAAAAGCTCGCAAGAGGGCCTACGTACCCGCGCGCGCCGCTTGCCCTTGTCTGACACGTGGACCTGCTCGCGGGGAAAGAGGATCTCGCTGAACGGAACTGCACGGAAGCGGAAAGCCAGATGAGCAAGAATCGCCAAAGCGAACGCTCTTAGTGATGTAAAGCACTTCACCCTTTGTACCGCCCAAACTATTGCACTCTAACCTTATAGGACACTCCAGCTTAGACGGGAAAGCTTTGCATCTGTGGCAGACAGATTTAGTTTCTGCCCAGCTCGTCCAGCTGAGAAATACACAATCGGTCAAGGTTCGTCCAGCTTGTCCGGTGGCGTTTTTTCGGAGCTCCGACACCGATTCACACAGCTTCGTGCCGTCCGAAACAGCTCCGGACGTTTACAGGGCTCGGACGCATCTCGTGAAGGTGAAGTGCGGAGAGCGTGGGCTTTACAAGGACAATTCAAAACGATAATCTCCCCCCGATCGAGACTTTGTATCGAGATCTTCAGGTTGAAGGCCGCTTTTCAAAAACCTTGTCCTCTGTTAGATCGGCAACGCTGGGAAGATTGCAAGTACAACCTACCCCTGTCTCTTCGACGGCTTTTCAGCTGCGGCAACGGCTGTGATTGAGAAGTGCTGGGCCCTTCCAAGGCGGCCCCTCCCGGACCCTCTTTCGACTCGTCCCCAGAACAGCTGATTCGTCTTGAGGCGTTGTGTATCGTTTTCTGCTGACTCAGAGAAGTCTGCGAAGCACAGGGAGATATTGAGTTGGTCCACACTGCTTGAGTAAACTTGCGATAACCTGCTCAACTAGGGTAGTCGAAACGCCCTCTTCATGCGTTGATGGTCACCAAAAAACAAAGTCAAAGCGAAACTTTCAGACAACCTCCTGGACAGGGAGGAAGATTTCGCAAGTAGTTCTTATGGGTTTTCCAAACACATGTGAAAATAAATCTAGGAGAAGTTAACGTACCTCTCTTTGTCGAAGTCGACTTCGTCCCTTCCCGCCACCCCTATCCTCCAAGTTGTGCCGTTGTGACTCCTCTGCTGATTGCCTGGATAGATCTCCTCTCTTCACGGGAGGCATGTCGTTGAGAGTGACGTCAGGAGTCCCCAGGCACACATAGGACTTGCCGAAGGCGGACCAGACCCCAGCTTGCGTTCTGAGAGAAGTAGAACACACCTTCGTCATTCTGCTGCGGTCCCTTGATCCCGGCCAGCTGACTAAGAAATATATATTCTGTTTGTTTGCATGAGTGGGACAAACAACCACAGGTGTGAAGCAACACGAATCACTAATGACATAGTCTGATCTCTTGGACCATAAGAGGTGACGGTTTTACAAGCTTAGTGTGATGGTACACAGTTATGATCCGCCCCTGTCGTGATTTACAGAGGAGTTTGAGTTCCTTCCAAACAACTGGCTGAAGCATGTGACCTAAGCAACCTATAACCAGCCATTCGACTGCTGACGTACTCTTGCTTAGGGAAAACCTGGCTCACATGCGAGTGCCGGCGCCGGCCCTGACAGGATCATTTTCCAGCCCACTCAGAACTTTATGGTCTGGGTGGGCGCCGACAAATCAAGACCTAAGCCGAGCAGCATCATTGCGCCGCCCTTTCCCGCCAAAGCTGCTTGGAGCAGGAGAGCTCAATAGAAGCACAGACCTTCTAAGAAACGCGCGGAACTTTACCTGTTCTGTGCCTTGCCAGCGCGACTGATGAGCTCCAGCGTGCTCGCCATTGGCGCGTCGCTCAGCACGTGCGCTTCATGACTGCTGGTGGACTCGCTGGAGTGGCTGAACGCTGCGGTGCTGGCTTCAGCAGCAGCTTTCTGCAGATTCATTGTTTGAATCAGTCTTTCAATCAACTAGAGTTGAGTCAACATATAGTCACTGAAAGCCATGACTATGTGTATTTGATGTTTATTGAGGTTTGATTTTGGTAGGCACAGCAAGATTCCTTTTGACAGCATTGCACCGTCAGCTGTTCCCCAACTCTATAAGCAGCTCAGGGCCTTCCGGTGCTGACTTGCACGTGATGTCTACCTCTCTAGCCATGTCTGAGTCTTTTTCTGAATGCTGACGAGTGGTCCTTTCCGCAAGGAAACACTCTTCAAACCAGTAGGTCTCTCTTCTCCACTTCAACAGCGTGCAAAGGAGCTATCAAACAAGTGAATCACCTTGGTTAGAGTAGGTACAGAGCTCAAGGGTCGCTGAGCATCTCCAAGCCAAGTTACTCTCTCTGCTCACTCATTTCATCGAAGTGCAATTTGATCCTGAAAACGGAGGGGGGGAGCAAAACTGAACTGAAGCTCACCTGCTGAAACTCCTGAAAGGTGGCGTCGTAGGCCAGAGCTTTCATCTCCTGTTTCCTCTGCCCCATCATACTGACCAACGCTTTCAACCCCGCATTGGTGGACCTCCTGCGCTCAGCCCGTGAGGGGCTCTGGACTTCCGGACTAGCCGGCGCAGCATTGTCCGCATCCGGACCACTCTGGTTAATAACAAGAGAGGTCATTTGAGGCCCCATGTTTTTGAAGCAAGGCTGGGTACCTTACTTACAAATTGAAGGGCCTGCCAATGTGATGCTTCAATGTTGCACCTTCAACGTGTGGCAATGTGACTTCTACAGTGCTCTTGTGCAAATATTCATCACGGGCCAGGAGGATTAGTCTTGAGGTTGAGCGGTCAAGGTGTCATGAGAGGCTGTCTTATGTAAGAACAAAGTCTTCCCAGGAAATTGGCATTACCCAGAACTTGTGAGCTTCTTGTTAGATGTCCAATGCTGTCCTCTCTCTGGCTTTTGCTCTTCTCGCCTTAAAACTTGCTATATTGACGGCCATAGCCAGATTGCCAACGCTACATATTGCTGAAAGTGGACGCGATTTGCATTGAGAGAGGCCGACTTTAGGGCCCCGCGGGGGGGCAGTGAAGGACTTGCAAGTTGCCAGAGCAACACCGTGCGGGAAAGCTTACTACCGGCACCACTAGTACCAGTAGTTAGTAGCTGTGCCACTCTACCGTTATCGGCGGTGCAAAACAAAACTAGGTAGCCATCGGACGGCGGAAAGGGGCAATATTCTTGCCAACCTGTGCGCGAGCAGTCTTGATTTCTGCCGGCCAGTCTCCGACTTGGCGACGGCAGAGCATCGTCTGCGCAGGCAGTACAGCAGTACTATTATAGGTAGGTAGTCCAATACGTAGTTCCAATCTATCAATGACGAACGGGTTGCCCCAAACTCCTGAAATTGATGCCTACATTGATCAACTGCAGGCTGCAGTTCAATCTTCGTAATATCTGCACCTACGCGTGCATAATTCAGATACCTACTCTGAAATCATGCATGTAAAAGTGTAGTCGATTAGGACTCAGTACAGTTTGCCCGCATGGTGTCCATGTGGTCCACATGGCCGTCAGCTTCAAAGGGTGCGCCCCCCGTGCGCCCCAGCTTGCTTATGGGCTTCCCATGCTGTATCAGGCGGCGAGTCTGCTGCCTTGCTACGAATATACACTGTTCAGTAGCGACGGGTGCCGGCATTTGGACGTCGCCTTTGAGCCCCACTACACTGCAAACAGCTTCGTAACGGCCCGCCGCAGTGCATGAGTCTGAAAACGACGGTGCTTGACGTGCTGAAATACACGTACATTGCTACATAATGTTGCCCCGAGTGGCCTTCAGCTTGCGAACGTCGGCGCTGTTTATATTAGTAGAGACGAGGAGCCGCACTTTTCCCGGTTGTTGAGCCCACGTCTCATGACGGGACGGGGTAAAGCGGCGACCTCGGAGGAGTCAGACCTTAGGACCTTGTAAGAGGAGGCGGCAGCAAAGATTGCCGCAATTCGAAGGCAGGTTCCATGAAGGGCCTTCTTTAGGGTGCGAAAAAACTCTCAAGAGTACCCAACCATGGCAATCAAAAAGACGTAGATCATCAAGTTGGGCGTCACGGTGTAACTGGCTTACTGCCCGCCATCTCCGTTTTTGTACATTCTATTGGTCCGCCAGCTGTTTCTCTGTCCGAACCCATCTGCATCACGTCTTGATCGTGTCGATGAAATACAATGAGGCGTTCAGCTTTTGGCATCCAAGAGTAAGGCCGTCACTTAGTCACGCTTCTCTCAAATACTTCAAGACATCCGTCTCGTGCTTTGCCAGTATTGCCAGCGCAATCGCGTCAGCGCGTGCTGAAGGGGTCATTTAGTCAGTGAGTCCAACGTCGTAGGCTAACGTGGCACAACACCAGCTTAATGACTAGGCCCGCCACCGGGAATAGCTCTAAGTCGATCGAAGAAACCCGCCAGCCGTTTCCAATATATATAGGTACTTCCAACCTGACAACGACGTTATGAGCTAGTACGAAAACTTGTGGGTGCTTTACCGAAGTCAGTAGCGGCCCGCTGCACCAGTTCTGCATGAGGGAACAGCTCATGGGGGCGGCGCGGGCGCGCAGGTTTAGAGCGCACCGTCGAGGTTTATGCTAGCTGGGCAAATACTCGTATGCATGATAGTGCACCGGTCCTGTAGCAAACTGTGCATGCGCATCAAGCATGCGCAACTATATATCGGGCTTGTTGATTGCACGCAGATAACTTCCAACTAGCAGCTTGTATCATCATAGGTATCACTGATGCATGTTTTGAAGGCCAGTTGCTCATGATCGCAGAGAGGTTCCGCGAGCTCACATGTGCATGTGGTGAAGGCACATCGCAGTTATCGATTGTCTATAATAAGAATTCCAACTCGCATGCTCTGATTAGCTAATTCGGTTACTAATGGTCCTCTAGCCTAGAGACTCACCTCGAATTGCGAGTTTGCGGCTACCTTCTTCTGATTCATGCAAATCAGAAGCTTTGAAATGAATACAGCCACGTCAAAGCAACTTGACCTATGCACAAAACAGAGATTGTTCAACGCCCAAAGTCTAGATGGCTATAGTATCTTTTGCAAGTGGAGCAAGCTCGTTTTCGGACGGTACCAGACTTGTAGACTCTTTTACGATATCGTACAACCTAGCTACGACTAAGAACGCGGTCAAGGAAAAATGATTTGAGTTACAACATCAGGCCCGGGAGTGTACAAGCGGGCTTTACATCTAACTTTTACCGAGGATTAATCTGTGCCTAAACGTATACGTACGATGGGCGTGGTGCAGTCGATGCGGGATGCCTATCTTTTCCAACGCGAAGCAAGGCGTTTGACCCAGCTCATACGCTTTCCGATCGACCGACGTACCCTTCTGGGCCCGTCAAGGGGCAAAGAAGTCCACCGTTCCTCCCTTGTGAGCTTCCCGACCTGCATAGAACCTTCCATTTGTGAGCTGTGACTTGCGATTCCCCAAGTGAAGCGGCAACAAGAGATCTCAAAACAAACGGCGAACCAGCCCTTTCTATTCCAGCAAACTGGAGTTTTTTGCAGAAGGCAAAGTGTCGGAAGCGAGTGCTATGAGGCAGCCGCTGCAAACACGTGCTCGGCTCTTTCAGCATGCCGGCACAGTGGCAAAGTCTGTAACAACACCAGGCAAGCTCAGAATCGTTCGAATCTTTTGAAAAAACTTCTGAGTCCTCCTTTCTTTCCCAAATCGACCGCAACATTGGCGATGCAGCCCTCAGAACCTCTTTTAGTGAAGAATAGCGTCCGCCAACCGTCTGGGCCTCAAAGCGATGCTTGAAAGAGAGACAAAGAAAGGCATACCGTGGACACATCAGTCGAGTCGACCGGCTCCAGCACGGTCGGCGCTTGGCGGCGGCGCTTGGCGGCGCCGACCTGTCTGTCAGACCTTTCTCTTTCTCGCCGCAGATCGTGAACTGCACAGAAAGTTCCACGAAGTGGTCTGTTCGCCTAAGGCCTCTGCGAAAGTGAACGGATCAGATACCCTGCTTGAAGGAGCTTTATACTGAGAGTACGTGGGCCCAATACGTCGACGCCGCTCAAACCTTAGGGTCGATTACGAAGCAAGCGGCTTGATCGATATGCGGGACGATATGCATCGACATCAAACATGATCCGCCAACCCAACCATTAATGCATCGTTCGTTACCTTTGCTTCGAGGCATCGTTCCTAGGCGGCCCCGGGGATTGGCAAAATTGGAGTTATAGCTTTGGATCAGAATCTGAAGGTCAGCGACCGCAACGAGCGCTTGACAAGCTAGTCACACTGTGCTTGCAACGGCTTCCTCGCTCACCTCATTTTGGTGTTCATTTAGCACGCCAAGAACCTGCAAACAAGCAAAAGCCAGGCCTAGACCAGAAGCAAACATAAAGGAGACAGAACCTGGTCCACGCATCCCATTCCGTGCGTAGGTTCTGCTGGGCCCTCCGCTTACGTAGTAATCAGGAACCTTGACAAAATTCCGTTGCGAACGAGTTTGGAAGACCAACATGGTTGTTGGAACAGCGAGTAAGCCTGATTGATCTCCTCTGAGCCGACCTCGTCCCAGGAAAAGTTCCGCACATACTGCAGTTTGATTAAGACCTTCCTCAGATGATAGCGGTCCAGGCTGCGCTTCGTGGTGCACGCGAGGCCCAGACGAGCGACCTGCACAGTAACAAGGAGCTTGGCCGCCTGATTGGACTGCGTAAGGAGCCGCGAATCGGCTCGTAACATGGACCTGGCGGCCGCTCATGAGTCATGTCCCCATGCATATCTGCTCGTCCAATCACAGCATGTGAAAAAACAACAAATGGGGCACTGTATTTTCTAACGGTCCTCGTTGATGCGACAAAGTCCTCAGGAACCCCTGAAGGAAAAAATGGAGTGCGAACCCTCCAGTCTGCGCGTTTGGACAACGGCTGGGGTTATCTCATGCTGACGCAAAGCGACCTCGCCGAAGACGCAGCATCTAAGTTGCAAGAAGATGGGTTTTGCAACGACTCGGCAGCACTCCAAATCGCAGTGCGGGCCCGAATCACGAAGCAAAAGAACAACACGGTTCTGCTTGGAAGGACGGTCTCAGAGTCGTCAGTCTGGAGAGTCTGTAGCTGTCTGTTTGACTAACCTTAACCGCCACGGATTTCGGCCAATCCCCAGCCTCGACATCCACCGATGCCATGATCTTCTTGTGCTTCAACGCTTTGTTGACCGTGCCCACAATCCCAAGTGGTGGTAGGTTGGTGAGAAGCTGAAGGAGGACCACGCCGAAGCCGAATAGGTCCACTGCGACAAACAAGGGATTGGTCAAAAGCGGGTCTTGAAACGACCTATCAGGACTATGCCTTGCAGGTTGACGCCTGAGCTTCAAGGTGCATACTGAGCCCCGCCTTCGAAACCTGAAGCCTCAATCTACAGGGGCAGTGGACGTTTGTATTGAAGGTTGTATGACCACATTCCTGCAAGAGGATACTCAGCGGGAAAACCGAGCCGGACTGCCCGCTAAATGTCTCTTTCCGTCGTTGGTTGATTTGGCTCAATTCGCAAAGTGGTCTATTCAGATGGCATCGCGACTTGTAGGTTCGCAGGTGCAGGTCTGCTCATTAAGTCACGAAGCACGCTCCCAATGCTAAGCAGGCTAGCCGCTAACGAGCACGCACGATAACAACGCAGAACATAGACCCTTCGAAACCCGTGAACAGCTCCTTAGCGATGAAGCAAAGTGCTCGTGTGGAACAGAAGGGATTGGCAAGCGGATGAACTCGAGAACACGTGAGGCGATTTGTTGCGGTCCTCCTGACCTGCGTCCTCCTCAACAGGGCGAAACGACAACTGCGAGGGGCCGCCATCGCCGGATCCTTTCGCCGTTGGTGTGGATGACGTGACGTTGGGCGCTGCCACTGACAAGATGCTCGCATCAGCCAACCTTGCTTTGAGGTGAAGGTCCAGAAGGATGTTGGACGGCTTCACATCTTGGAAAATGGCGCCTGGAATGGTGAGTAGGAGCCTATCGGCGACCTGCAAACCAGGAAGATGCGATTATTGACCCAGAGTGTAGGAGTCCTAGACCCGTTCGGGTTGTCAGAATTGAAGATTGACCGCGTTCTTTGTGCCCCTGACGCAAGGAGGTTGGTAGGAAAGCTGCCTTGAGAAGTTGCAGGTCGCGGAATAGGAAGAATATTGGAGCAAGACTGCTCGGGTCAGAATCGTAACATTAGGTGCATAGCAGCCTTGTGGACGATTGCAAACGCACGCGTCAAAAGCAACGCTGGCGAACCACCCTACTCCTGAACGAACTTTCTAGTATGTTGCAGAACTTGCAGCCACATACTATGTTCCGAGTGAGTGAATCAAGGCGAATTGGGCACGAAAAGCCCACCTTACTGATGGACGATCTGAAAGGACAAAATCTAAGGAAGCCAAACCTAAACGTTTTTGGGCTTCAAAATTACTAGTCTGATTGAGACTGCCGCATCCAACAATCGGCATCCTTCCCTTGGGAGAGGAGCATTGGCGGTTCGCCCTTTCAAAGTCGCAATTCAGCGAAAGGGTAAAGATCTTCTTGGAGGAGCAAGATACTGCAAATTCCGGAGAAGTATACAAGAGGCTCTCCGAAAAAAAATTGGCATCGGGGGGGGGAGGTCGCATACCTGGCAGGCGATCCTGATCCTGATGAACCACGGCAACGGCGGGGAACCGCCCTTCCTGGCAAGGCGGTCTTCCAAGGACCCGTTGTGGCAGTACTCGTAGACAAGGCAGAAGTGGCCGGGGCAGTATCCCATAAACCTTACAGTGGCCCAAGGGCGCCGGCGGCCTAGGATGTCCACCTCGTGCTGAAACACGTTGCCCCCCTGCGAAAGGGGGCCGGTCAGAGTCGGTGCCCTGAGCTTGGATCGAGAGATCAAGAGACATCTTTGAGCGAGCATTTAGTCGCAAAGCAGTTTGCATTGTCGCTGCAAGTTGAATACCCATACGCCAAGGCTACCACAGAAATTCGTGTACTTGCTATTGAGAAGACAGATGCAGTCCAGCTTTGCGACATGATGTACAAGGGCTTCACCGACCGAGCAACTTCGCGCACGTCCTTAAAGGCGCCATGCGACAGACCGCGTGATGTGGAGCCTGAACGCAACTCTTTTGGTCGCGAAGACGTCGTCTTTGAAACTGCCGGCAGGGGGATCGAAGCCGGTACCTTTGCATGGAGGGCCTACGAAGCGCGATAACCGAAGAACCTGATACTACAAGGGCACCCCCTTGACACACTCGTGCGCTCTCCCTTCCTTTCGGAACCCACCTGCAAAACCTCGGGGTGTGGGACCTTGATAGCCACCGGCGTCCCGGCGAGCGTGCCGTGGTAAAGTTTTCCAACCTCGCCCTCTCCCAAGAGCCTGGCGGGGCTGAAGCTGTCGGTGGCCGCTTCTAGTTCCCGGTAGGAGTACGTGTGGTGCCTCCGTAGTAATTTAAGCTGCCAAGGAGAGTTTCAAAGCAGACAGTGTCAACATTGTGGGGTTTCTATTCAGGTCCGGTCTGATTCACCTAAGCCGCTTGTACTACAACCAACTTCCATAGGCGGCAGCAAGAAGTGATGCACTCTCTTTTCTGCACCGAAGGGTCGCTCTAAACGGCCCCTGCGAATGAAACAGGCCGCAAACACATACCTCCATATGATTCGCACCAATCAGCGGCCGCAATGGGTATGTTTCCCTGACAAGGTAGTCACACTCCGCACTCTGCTTTCGCGCTTAGCTCCCTCATTGTTCCCCCTGAGCACAGCAAAACGTCAAAGGCGGCTCTCGAAAATGAAAAGAGTGCAGGAGACGTAACCTGGTTCAGCACCCACCTCCGTGGATAGGCTTGCGCGAGCCATCATGCCCAGTAGGAGTAGATCCGATCCTTGTTGGTACTCAGGACTGGGCGGTGCCTGGGTATACTGTTCGGGACTGCTGAACTCTCGCGCAGCCGCAGCATCCTCACGAAGCCACTCCTCCCTTAGCGGCACTCCAAGATGCTCACTGAGCCTCCTGGCGGCACTCATTCTCGAACTGGCACCGCGGATGGGGCCAGGAGCGACCAGCATGTCCCCTTGTTGCACTTGCGGTGATAGACACCCCGGTAATAGAAACCGGCCGAGTGAGTCCCATGGGCGCCGTCTGTCCCCTGATGCGCCGGCTGCAGCAGGGGTGGGACCATACAAAGGAGGCGGGACGTGTTGCTCCGGGACTGACGTCTGGTCCACAGTTCCAGGAACACCCCCAGAGGACCCGGAGACGCCTGCAGTGACGTCATCCCGAGCGGTTGCGGCGCACTCCTCCTCGAAAACCTTCAGTACGGAGTCCACAGGGTCCAACTCGGAGGGCAAGTCTAGGCCCTCAACAATTTGGTGGCCGTTCTGTGCACCCTCAAACAGCCCCTGTGGTTGAGGGCCATCCTTTTGCCGCGGTTTTACTGCTGGGGGGTGACCGCCGAGGTTATTTCCTTCTAATCCGTCCCGAACCCGTTTGGGCGTCCTCTCCGTTTTGACAGTGGCATCAACCCCGTTCGCAGCCAAGTCCCGCGCTCCAGCCCCGTGGCCTATGACAGGCCCGTCGCGCAAACCCCCTGATTCACCGCCCCCTGCAGACTGGCCCCCTCCAAGGTTCTCCGGGGGGGTCCCCAAAACCCCAAGCCTGTTCTCCGCTTCGGCTGTCAGAAAGGCGAAGTACTCTGCCATGGTAGCCTGCACGGGGATGCTGAGCGTGCTCTTCTTGAAGTAGCCGTTCATGAACTCCTCCAGCGCCTTGAGCTCCTTAGCCTTGCCGCGGAAGTGCTCGAAGACCGCGTCAATCAATAGCCAGAGCTCCGATTGTTTAAGTTTCTGCACGCGTTCCCGGAACTTCGACTCCCGGTACTCGGCACGGCTCGGCTGTCTGCCGCAGCCTTTACACTCTGCATGGAGCTTGGGGTCTGCGAGACACTTTGGCGAATGGCCAATTCGCGCGTCGTTGGGGACCGGAAACATGGGGTACCACTCAGGTACCTGCAAGAGGGAAGGGTATTCTTGATTGTCTGGAATGTTCGGGCGACAGATCTAGAGCAATTGGAAACAACGTTTTACCGCTCCTTGTGAGCTTGTGAAAGGCAAGAGACTCAGATTCATAATGGATGCCAGCTAGCACACCATTTACACCAATTGACCATTTGTCGCTGAAAGACCAATAGAGCAGATACAAGGGGGTTCTGCAGCTTTCCCCTCAGGTGAACCTCAACAGAGCGAACCAGTTTCCTTGCTTCGTGGGAGATAGATGGAAGCATAATTCGCTCTGAAGCTGAATAATGTATAGCTGGGCCAGAAAAGGAAAACTATCTCCTTTGATTGCATGGACAAACAGCATCTGCTAAATCACAACAGCTGCTCGTGCTTTCATGGGCCATTCTGTGTGACATGCAAAAAGGTCATCACACCAGAACAGGATGTCTAACACACTTGTGATGACATGGTTGACTGTTTCCAGAAGATTGCAAAGATACTGGACAATATAGCTCAATGGCAATTGCTAATTCAGAAGGGGCCTTTGCTTTTTCTTGTGATGCAATCCGACAAGGAAGCCAGGAAAATAGCTTAGACTTCATTCTTTGTTGCATGTGATCATGAAATCTGCCTAGCTCTCTGCTAAGGATGCGCAAACAGCCTGTATTTCTCACAGGGTGGCCCTGGCTCACCGGGGCTTTTGTCCTTGTCGTTCCCTTGGCTTTTGTCGTCATCGTCTCCTTGTCCACCTGCTTTTGCCCATCCATGAGATTTGCACCCACTTTTACCAGCTCATTGTGGCTGACAGTTGCCAGCGTCCGGCGCGTTGAGAGGAGTTGCCCGTTGTTATTGAGGATAGAAACCCTGCTGCAGGCAAGCAGATTGCTTTGAGATTAGTGCTTGAGACTTGTTTTCGACAACAGAAGGTGCCTTGCGTGAGAAGGACATGGGGATTCTTTTGCGTGGTCTCTCTAGTGTCATGAGGCGATGCAGCTTGCACTGTCCCAATAGGTACTCCCCGTTGCAGGTGTGCATGGATACAGATTACCAGGCAACATTTTCTCCTGACTCCCCCAGAACGATTGTGCACCCTTCCTTCTTGAGAATCTATTCCAAAAGATAGCGCCGAAAGCCCCAAAGCACTTTGCATTGAGCTTCTTCAATGCACTGTACGACAATCTGCACAACTTTGAGCTGGCAGCGATTCTGAGAATATTATTGCAGTGAATCAACAATTTTTCATGTCTGGACTGCCTGACCTTCACATGCTCTTGGCTGTGTGGGGGCCACAGGAAGCGCCAAACAAGATCACTTCAGGTCCAAAACGGTGCCCAGGAATGGGAATTTTGCTTGCTTTCTTTCAAACATCTCAAAGCTCCCACCTGTGCTATGCAGCCACAAGATTGCTGGATGGTGTTAAACGACTATCTGCTCTATCATGTTTACACAAGGTAAAAAGCCATAGCAAACCCTTGTGCTCAGGAGTCAGGTGTCCAACATCAGCATTCAGCTTGCGCATTGCCAAGAAAAAAGAGGAAGGGAAAACAGCAGAGGGACTTCATGTGCCAGCAAGTATCCACTCACTTGTTTTCCTCTGCTGTCATGGCCCGCTCGAAGAAAGACTGCATTGCCGATCCAAAGGCCCTTGCTTTTGGAGAACACAGCAAGCTGCCATTGATGAAAGCTAGTTCGAACTTCTCTGACTTTTCCAGGTCCTTTTGGAGCTTAGGCAAGCTGCTCTCCTGGAATCCTGCCCCATCCCTTAAAGCAACCCCCAGGGATCCCCCCGGTTCTGCCATGGGCGTTCTTTGAGTCTCAAGCTTCCGGCGCACCTTACATGGTCCACTGAGGCGTTATGAACGCACGGATTGGTCAATGGAAAGAGGATCTCAACTTGTGTGGTAATCCAATCACTCAGGTGGTCAGCGCTTCATTCATAGGTGCATATATTTTTGCCGGACGTCAGCGAACTTCCTGCTGAGCGGAGGCACGCCCTCGGGTCTGCTTGTCAGAAGAAAATGCTGCAAGTGAACGCCTCTCACACGTCTTTGAAGGTTTCAACAAGGAGAAAGAGCGTTTTAGTACGCTGCATTGGTCTACAAGCTGCACATCTGTCACCTGATCAACAACTTCACCAAGCCAGTACTTGTTCTCTTCCCAGCGCGCTGAAAGCAATACCCAGCTAATCAGCATATGTACTGTCCACAGAACCATGTCTTTACTATCGGGAGGAAAGAATCGTAAATAGAAGGGAGTGTGAATAAGAAAATTTGTGACAATCGTCACAAATTAGTCTATTAGTCTATTAGTCTCCCGGTTAGAGTGACAAGTTGCCTTTCCATTACATTGGCATCGGAGGGTGTGCTGGAGCTCTCTTTTCAGGGGTCCCCTCATCGCACGGTCCATATCCGAGTAAGATCCTACCAGTCCAAAGCCTCCTACAGCTGACGTCAGAATGGAAGCTCCCCTGATCGAGCGGCAGGAGAGTGCAAGCAGAATCTTCCACAACGTTCCTAATTTGTCCTTCAAATGGGGTGGCTGCTGCCGCAGCAGCTGCAATAAGCTCCGCAGGAAAGCCTGCTCCTCATGACACCAACTTCTGACTCGAAGCACAGCAGGGGAGACGAAAATCTGGTTTGAGCTTGAGCTCAAAAGGCCCTCCAAGTGCTCCTGCGAGGGCGCCTCTGCAAAATCAGCTGTTGCTTTGATTGCAATCCTCTGAAACTTGACAACATGGTGCAGACCACCCCAGCATCTCAGGCTGCCAGTTCCAGCAAGGATGCCGGTGCTAAGCAGCCCTTCTATCTCCCCCCGCAAGAAGTTCCAACTGGGGCGCCTCTACAGTCAGATCTATCAATAGTAAGCTGTATCTTCAAATATGGCTGGTGAATGCAGTGCTTCTGATTTGGTCAGCATTGCACTCTTCTTGAAGCTCTATTGGAAGGATTGTGTCGACTGTCAGTTCAGAAGGTACGCTTCTAACAAGTGCAACTGATGTGAAGGCGTCTGCATGTTAAGTTGTGTAAGAAAAACCATGCAACGAATGAGCTTTTAAGAGTCCAAGGCTGCAGGTTCCTAGGGGCTGTGTGGTGTACCCAATGGAACAGGACGAGACAGAGTAGAACTTACAATGCTACAACCTTTTGAAACTTGGATCTTAAGCTTCACTGCCAAAATGGCGGTCTAGTGTCTCCACCGTTGAGCTCTTGATTCATTATTTTGTGCCCCTTCATTGTCAATATTGAAGCCATGGCTCGCAGGTCACCATTGGCAACAGCCCAACCTGCAACATTGTTAACCTGTAAAAAGCAACTTCAGGGGAGAAAGGAGTTGCAAAAAGGAACCTGTTCTTCCTTTTGCGCAGGTGCCCCCCCTCTTCCACCCCCTCAAAATAAGGGGCGTGACGCTCCACAACCGTATCGTCGTCAGCCCCATGTGCATGTACTCTGCCGACGATGGCATGCTCACCGAGTTTCACTTTGCGCACCATGCACAATTTGCGCTGCGGGGGCCGGGGGCTATCTTCATCGAGGCAACAGCGGTCACGCCGGAGGGCCGTATTTCGCCGCAGGTTAGCTTGACCGACACCATGAATTCTCTTAGCTTTCGTGTCGATTGGTTGAGGGTAAGAGCTTATTCACGGTTCTCTGCACCGATGGGGAGGCTTCACGAATAAAAACGGATCCACTAATGGATTTGTACACATTTAGCAGGGGTACTTGTACAGAAGATTGGATGCTGGATTGAGGTTTGAGATTTGAGGTTTCCTAGTGGTTACAAATACATGCAGACGAGCTTGTCAGAGTTTCTTCTTCACTGTAGATTGTTTTCCCTCCCTCTGGCCCCTCTTCTACATATACTCTGGCTTTGTGCTCCGAACCAGATGTAAACATATGCATTATGTTCCAAAGAAGATATGACTCATCGTCGCTTTGAACATCTGCTGTTTTTCTGCAGTATTGGCCTAGTCGGTCGCTGCGAAGTCGGTTCAATTCGGACAACTTCGGACGACCTCTGAGGCGTCACCTCTACAAACCGGTCACAACTTCTGAAGCCTCGAATCGAGAATCCTGGTTCCTAGAAACCCTTGAAAATTTTCAACCTCTTGAATGCCAACCTACAGGATGCCGGCATCTGGGACGACAAGCACATCGCCCCGATCCGGCGCATCGCAGACCTGGTCCACTCCCAGAAAATCCCGCTTGGTATCCAGCTGGCGCACGCGGGCCGGAAAGCGTCGACGTCGCAACCGTGGCGCGGGTACTACCGGGTGACTCCGGAAGACGGCGGGTGGTCGGACGAGCAGGTGGTGGCGCCGAGCGCGATCGCATATGATGAGAAGCATGCGGATCCGCGGGAGATCACGAAGGAGGAGATAGAGGAGATTGAGGTGAGGGTTTACTTTGTCAAGTCTTGTCCGAAGACAAGAGCATACGGCCCTAAGGTGATGCCGAAGAAGAGCTGAAAGCATCTCTTACAGTAATTGTGGCGTGCTTATTTGACACCAAGCGGGCCTTGCTTTCATCCCGAGCGCCGTGACTTCTTATCTCACTTGCCGTTTGTCGCCCGTTTGGTTGATGAAAACTGGGTAAACCCGAAAAGGACCGAGACGCAGAGAAAGGTCCGAGTTTGAGAACAGTAAGGGGGATCGACGGCGAAAGATTCAAGGATACGAAGAGGAAAAAAAAGCGAAAGTTGGAGTCATTGTGGACCACCTTGCTGAGAGGCGTTGATCAGGCGCTGGCCCATCCCCGCTCTCAGCTGCTGGTCAATCGCCTCACTCCTTTGCTTGCTTGCTTCGATCAATCAAAAAGAGAACGTCACATACCAAAGCTAAGGAGCAGTGCAACAAAAGGCGGTGTCTTTCGCAGGAGGCGTTCGTGGCTGCCGCCAAGCGGGCTCTGGCCGCGGGTGTCGACATGGTGGAGGTTCATGGCGCGCACGGGTACCTGATTCATTCGTTTCTCTCCCCACTGAGCAATCTTCGGACGGACGAGTACGGCGGTTCGCTTGAGAATCGGATGCGGTTCGCGCTTGAGGTCACGGAGAAGGTGGGCGACTTGCTCTCTCTATTTCACTTTCGTGTATCACTCTCTGGTTCCATTTTACTGGGTGGCGAAAGGACGGGTTTTTTTGTAGTCAAGGCGTCTCGAGGTGTCTAGTGCTGAAAGAGCAGAGGTGCTTTAGAGAAGATTCGCAAGGGGAGTCCCCGCTCATTCAAAACGCGACTTGGTGGCCGGATATCTCTAGATCAGGGGTTCGTCAATTTGCGGAACTTGCCAAAACATCGACAGTAGCAACGAAGCAAGAGGGATGTGCCTCTCTGAAGCGAGTCCGAATGCGGACAAGCCTTTCTGTGCGCTGGGAATAGCCAGACATCTGCAGCTATTCTGCTGCAATGGCGAAGTGCAATTTCAAAGCAGTAACTTGTCGAACATTAGAAATGATTGCTTGTTCAGCAATGGGGACGAACTTCCTCATGTGCCGATGGAAACCAAAAGTTTTGAACTGTTTGCGTAACGTGCTTCGCTTCTCAATCAAAGGTAATATCCACGAGCCGTCTGACTTACTGAGGCCTCAGCGTACAGTCGAACAGAACTACTTTGTAATTAAGGGCTTCGGGGGCGTCGTCTTTTAGCGTAGGAAGAGGCCGAAGTCGATCTGATTGGATACTTCTTGATTGCCGTTGAGTCCTGTTTCTGTCGGATCTTGGTTCTCCTTTGAATCTTGGTTCCGTCGAATCCTGGGTATGGAGGAACTCACTGAAACATTGGACTCTGCGTCCCAGGTTCGCGCGGTGTGGCCGTCGGACAAGCCGGTCTTCTTCCGCGTGTCCGGCACCGATTGGGCGCCCGGCGGGTGGGACATCGAGCAGACGATCGAGCTGGCCCGGCGGCTGCAGCGGCTGGGCGTCGACGTGCTTGACGTCAGCAGCGGTGGGAATACGCCCCAGCAGAAAATCAAGGTCGGGCCGGGGTACCAAGTACCGCTCGCGGAGAAGGTAAGGCTTGCTCGTGAGCAGGTTCTATCCACGAAGTTGTGAAAGTTTCTACTGGCATGAGCGCAGAATGACGAGTTGGGTTTGGGAGGGTATCGTAAACCGCTCGCGGTTTGAATTATCTCGAAACTGCGGGCAGATGTTGCGCTTCAAAGTAGAGATATGTTTTGTTGCGGTTCAAAGTAGAAATATGTTCTGGTTCTATCGAAAAAGGCTGATTGAGCGATTGAGCTCGAGTTAGTAGATTAGTTTTCGAGGGTACAACGTGCAAGATGCTGTCAATCTCCCGGCTTGAGGTCAGGAGTAGAGATTCCAAACGGTCATGTGTCCATATCGTAAACGCTCAGGCCTGCCTTTTCGCCGTAGTGGCTTTTTCCGCCATGGGCTAATACTTTTTGTCTGCCGTCCTGTTCAGTTCACCCTTGTATTATCCTATTGTCTCTTTCCTGCAACTTACAGAAATCAGGCCGTTCGATTCATTCCCTTCAGACGTTGATGAAGTTCTGTTTTTTAGACTGGAAGTAGAACCTTCTCTTTCTTCATTGCAGGTGAAGCAGGCCATCCCTGATTTGCTCGTCAGCACAGTTGGCCTGATTCTCAACCCGCACCAAGCAAACGAAATCATCGCGAGCGGCAAGGCGGACCTGGTCATGCTCGCGCGCGAGTTCCTGCGCGACCCCAACTTCGTGCTGCGCGCAGCGCGTGATTTAGGGGTGGATGTACAATGGCCCAACCAGTACCATAGGGCGAAGGACGCGTTCTATAAGCACCCGTAAAAACCTTTTAAAGGGGGTCTATGTGTTCTGGAAAGTGTCAGTTCGAGTAATAAAATTTGGGACTCTTGATTGGGAGGCAAGGTCTGGTTCAAAGCAAGAGACGTGTAGCGCGAGACGGAAGGATACAAGCAGTGGCGAGGCAAAGCGCTACCTCTAATCAGAAGCATAGGTTCGCAGCCGGCAAAGTCGATTGGGACACGTGCTAGTCACTTAGGAAGTTATCTGTACAATTCATCAATCATGAGTGTAGTAGGAGAAGTCAGGGCGTGCGGGCCAGCACCAATGGAATTTGGGGAGCACGCTTCTAAGGCGTAAGCGTGCACTGAGCAACGGGATAGCACTATATTATATAAAGCCATTGGAATCATACGGCCTGATTAGATTGTTGAATTCGCATTCAACTTAGCTAGGCTGCATAGTGTTCAGATTGACATAGGGCAGCTAAGATTGAATTAGAACGGCAGGCTTAGGGCAATGACGTAGGCGGACATCTTTGCCTGTTCTACTGTTTGTGGTTAGCTAGGTTTCCTGCCAGGCAAATATAACGAATTGATGGGTCCACTTACTTACTTCAGCCAATGAACGGTGTAAGTTCAATTGTGCTCCTGAATCCTGCTCTGAGTCTAGCTCAGTCTACTATCGTCTATGTCATGCATTCATACTTCCAACTTGTTAAAAGCAGCATGATATTGAGCGCCACGACTTGAAGAACTTTAATTCGTGCATCTTTTTTTTGAAGCTATATAAAGTATCCACTGTACGTAGTAACTCAATGTTGATACAGTACACGCGTTGGGATACATAAAACGTGCCATTTTCACCGGTGTCATTCAACTGCACAAGTTGCGCCAATCTTAGGAAGGCATCATGCCGGACACACATGTATGTTAGCACCAGGGCCGGGACAAGTACCGTTTCAAGGATCGTACGGTCAGGATCAAAACCGGATAAGAATTAGACTGATTTAAAAGATGAGCTAATTAAGAATCACTAAGATAGATGTTCGCAAGCCCCTCGCAAGCTAGAAGCAACTTTGCTTGCGATCAAACATTTCGACTGGAACGTCCTGTAAGCTTTTGCTTTCAGAAGCATACTTACGCTGATTTTGCGGTTGCACAGAACCATCAATCTTGCGTAGTACTGTAGAGATAATTTAACCAGGTGCATGCCAGGTAACCCGGGCAAATGGCAGGGGCAACGAGAGTCGAAGCAATCACCGGTCATGTCTACCGAGAGAACGTCGCATGGCGTGGAGGAGCAGAAGTCGCTCAGTGAGCAACGCAATCTGCAAAGCTGAAACTTGCAAAAAGTAGGTTGCGCGGCTTTTGCGAATCTGCTGGCGGCTGTGAAGACCTCAAAGGCATCAAGGGAGTTTCGTGATTAAGAAGCGCTGTCTTAAGAGAAGCGCCGCAGGCCATACGCGGCCCTCTTCTCTACCTCCTGCTTTTCAGGAAAGGATAAGCACGATGGAGAACTTGATCTGCGGGACTCTGATGCTAGAAATTGTGTCCTCTTCTAGGCGCTTGGTTTCTTAAATGGCAGGTCCTGGGTTTCTTCAAAGCTGCGTATGAAGATACTTCACTGTAAGGTTCTGCTTAGCACCAGACACGATGAGGATCAGAACCAGATTGGCAGCAAGTTTGGCAAAAGCTTCGGGGGGGCCCGAAGTCTAAAGCAAAAGGACAAGGAGCAAAAGGTGCTTCAGAAGGAGATGGTCGGTCTGACATTTCAAATGACCCCTGCATGTCACCAGCCCGCGAAGGCGTCAGGATTGCAGAAAAGGAGGAGAGAACGTTACGGAATCTTCCACATGACGTTCTGGGAATCATCCTCAGCAAGTTGGCAATGCAGGACCCCCCCTCCTTTGTAGACGCTACACAATCATGGAGAGGTTTTGAGGCTCTCGCATCTGACAGACGGCTGGACCTGTGGAGAAGGATCTGTCACAGCCATTCGGAGCTCCTTGGTGACTAACCAGAAACTAGAGCCCTCGAGAACGCCCTTGGTTGCTTTGGTGGATACGAGGGTGTGGTCAAAGCGCGCTGGGATGAGCGGATACTAGCCGACACGAATGCATCCCAAAAGACAAGGTCCTTCCTGGGGCAGACTAGGGTTCTCTTCCTCGTGAGATCGCTGAAGGGAGAACTTCTCATGTGGACAGTTGATAAGAACGTAGGCATCACAATCAGGCCACTTCACCCTTCAACCAGCCAATACACATTCAAACTAGAAGCTCCTCTGCAGCTGCTCATCCAGAGTGCGAAGATAGAGGACAGCATTGCAAAACTCATGACAGGAACTTCTGATGTTGGAATCTTCAAGGATGCACACGGAAGCGCAGTTCTCTTGGAGTCGTACGTTCTTTTGAGTGGAGCAGCAGCACCACTGTTCCTAAGAGGTCCCGATGCAATACGTCTCCAACTGTTCAGAAGTTTGGCGTATGAAGCCGACGAAGCGATACACTTCAATGGGGCCAAAACAGTCGCAGAAATTGGGGGATAAGTGAGTATCGGTTTCTTTGTCCACGCAGATCTAGACATCACAAACGAAGGGAATCTTGACACGATGCTCACCCAAGGCCAGAAGGAAGATTGTGGTACCCTGAAAGTGAAAAGCAGCGATTGGGGTGTCCAGTTCGTGGTGTGCTGCTCACTGTGTATTCCTGACAAAACCGGCCGGCGCTTTATGGAGAAAAGACTCCGCTGTGATTGGCTTTGGAAGCTGATGTCTAGTTCCAGCGGCTGGCGTGACTTCAGTATGCCAACTGTCCTGCACATGTCTGTGTGAAGGAGCTTTTCCCGGACAGAATACTTTGTTGTGCGTCAGATGAACAGACTCTGCCATGGAGAACGTAGCATTCGTTCAACATATCTTGTAGGGATACAGGAAACTCTGCAGATTTTTCTGCTGTCTCGATGCTTCAATAAATGAAGACAGTCCACAAGGCACCAGGCACCAGGGACTGAAGGGAATCTCGGACTGGATATTAGTGAAGACATCGACAATGAAAGGGCAAAGCCAATATTGGATAGGAACTGCGGGCGCACTGCGCACATTCGATTTGGCTGCACGATTTGAACACTTGATTCAATGCCTGTACTCGTAATTGTTGCACAAGCTGATCCGTCTTACGTGTGTACCATCAATCGCACTGGGCCCACTTGCAGGCCGCTGTAGACGGTCGTTTGAGAAACTTGCCGCATATGGCGAGTATAGCCCTTGTAGGATGATCTGCTCTCGTTGAGAATAGACACCGTATCATAGGCGCATGTCCTCATACGATCCTATCGCTTTACTACAAGTATTCGTCAACTGTTCCAATGATAGCAAGTTTGCAGGCTTAGTTGCCGATCAAGGTCGAGCGTTCTTGGCATTGATAGACATGTGTCAAGATTACTCGCGTCCTGTCCTCTCTTGCATACTTGCATTGGAACCAAAGGCACTAACAAAACCAATGCTGCGACTCATACGTGCAGTCCAAAGGCATGGTCAGGGTTGGTTTTTGTCGGATTCAACCTCACGAGCCGCGTCCCTAGTATTATGACAGGGACTCGGAGTCTGAGAGTCATGCAGTTTCAATTATGTGAACCGCCAGTAGTTATTGGTTGTGTGAGGATTTGTCCTCATGACCTGTATGTTAGTTGATTGTTGTTTCAAAGCGACTCTCTATCCTACCCGGGAAGGGAAGCAAGTTCCTGCCGCATTTGACAGCAAGCGTTGAACTTGGGCCGTCTGATGAGTCTAAAGTTGAGTGCTGCCATCACAGCTACGGATTGGACGCGACTGGGGCGGGGCCAGGCATGGTAACATCAGTGTCGCCATCGACTTGTTATAACACCACCAGGAAAACAAAATAATGAGACATGTTCTTGAGCTCTTAAAAACAGTGACCATTTCGAGCCCGTCAACCTACCTGTATACTCGGATCAGCTTTATACGTGTTTTTGAGCTACTCCAAGGTTTTCAGTATCTCTGAACTTACAAATCTGGTTATTACTACAGTATAAACGTAGCACGTCCTTCTTTCGGATAACAGCTGTAAGACCACAAATAAAGGACTAATCCGAGAGCGCGCACAGCATTGCGACCCCTCTCATGGTCCAGTGGCTCGCCTTCTTGTCCGTCGGCATGCGGATCTTCATCACGAAGTTGGTCGAGTGCCCGGTTGTCGCGAGCACCCCCCGGCGCTCCGCCGTCCGGTAGATCGGGCAGTCGTAGTGCGGGTACTGGCTCATCTTGCTAACCGGGGTGGGTTTCAGCCAGATAACCGGGGCGAAAGTGTGCAGCACCTTCGGCGCCGATTCACACAGTTGCTTCTTCACCGGGTCCCAGGCGCAGCCCTCCAGGTACAAGCCCCGGATGTAAACGCCCTCGGCGGGGCCCTCGGTGTATTCCCCCGGGTCCATACCTAGGAACTCGAAATCGAAACCGACTTCGTCGACCGCTACCTTTTGCACGCGCGCGTAGTTCTGCAGCGCGGCCGTCATGAACGACTGCGCGAAGAAGAACCCGCTGATCCAGTAAACCGCGGGTTTGCCCGTCTCGAACCAGGTTTGGAGCATGGTTAGCCGCTCTAACAGGTCCTTCACGTACCCGTTCAGCGGCTTGAGGCTCGGATAGCTGACACGTGCCCACATCGCAGGGACCTGGTTCACCGCGATGCTCCGATACGCGGTCTCTAGATCCGAGCTCATAACCACAAGGCCCTGGATAGCCTTTAGCATCTCCGTTAGGCTCGTCCGGATCTTCTCCGATAGCTTATTGAACCGCGTCATCTCCTGGGCCAGCGTCGTATTCATGCTCTCCTCGTATAGCACCGGGTACTTTTGCTGGCACGCTTCGATGTCGAAATTGGGCGGCAGCCGCGCGAGAATGTCGCGCACCACAGCGCCTACTGCGTCCACTTCCGCACCCCCCCCCTTTTTCCCGCCGCCGCCGCCCCCTGAATCGATAACCAGCAGGCTGCCGAGCATAAGCGATGTGTCGTTCATATCCTTTGCAATGTCGGCGTTCGGGTGCAGCCCAAACGCCTCCGGCTGCGGCACGATCGGCAGCGTCTCCACGTACTCCAGCACGCCCGATAGCGTATCCGCCTCTGGTGCGAAGTACAGCCCCGACTCCGATAGCTTATACCCCGGCCGCAGCATATCCGGACAGTACACGTTGCGCAGGATGGTGGTTAGCAGAACCCGGTCCTTGTCATCTGTAACGCGGCCCCCGTAGTTGCACTCCCCCGTTACGTAGTTCAGCGCCTCGAGTGGGAGGGAGTCGTCAGAAGGCGCTTCTTCTAAGAGCATGCGCAGCTGCCGCACGCTTATGCGTAAGTCGCCGTCGTCGAAGCCATAGGGTATGTTCCAGCCGAGCGGGCCGAAGCGGCGGCGTTCCTGTTCAGGAGGTGTGAAACAGGCTTTAAAGTCGTGCACGACGAGAAGAGCTAGGTTTCACAGCTTTTAGAGAATGAAACCAAGGAACGAGCAAAGAGCGGCAAGTAAGCCAAGAGCGGAACTGGTGCGCAGAACTTCCTTCGAGATTGGTTCGCGATTGGTTCTGACGCGGTCAAGACGAGAATCGAGCAACCGGAGAAAAGAGGCGAGTGTCGCTAACTGATTGCTTCGTAACGTATGCAAGTGATCACAGAACGTTAATCTTCGCGGTCCTAGAGAGATAGCAGGATATGCGAACAGAGAGCTAGAAAACCATGTCGCTGTACGAAGCACTGGAGCGGCCGTTGATTCTCGGGCTTCGCTGCTTTGTGCTGACCTATCGTAGGCCAGCATAACTCCAAAGAGTATGGCCCCCCGAATCTGACTGGGAGGTCCTTGAAACTTCATTTGGAGAACCGCCGAGCGTAGAAGTTCAACACCGGCTACACGAAGCCTGTTTTCAAGTGGGAAGCAGTCTATCAAACGAAAGGCAGCTGCTTCTCACCTGGATAACGCCATGGAAGAACGACAGCCCGAAGAGCAACCGGTGGAACGGCCCGGGGCGCTTCGACCCGCCAAAGAAGTCCTCGTTCGCGATCGGGTCCAGCCCGTACGACCGGCGGATGTTCGCCTTGAGCCCCTTCGGCGGCTCGTTAGTCATCTTAACCCCGTTCTGCAGGATGCTAACCGGGAACTTCGGGCTAGGGTAGCTGGTCATCCATAACCGGAACGCCGGGTTAACCTCGCCCTTGGTGGAAATATCCTCGCAGATCTTTTCGAGCGCGGGCATCCAGGAAGGCGCCAGGTGGCAGTTCTGGAGCAGCACCCACGCGCCGGCCGCGGCCGCGTCGGCGATCATCGCGGCCGCCTTCGGGCCCTGGCCCTGGCCCAACGAGATCGGGTAGATTTTGTCGGCCATCTCTTTATCGGCCGCGAACTTCAGCAGCGCGGCCGTCGGGTCGCTCCCCGCGCTCAGGACGAAGATGAGCGGACACGTGGCGGAGCTGTCGGCGTAACACGCGGCGAGATCGAAGAGCGGCGGCTCGACGAATCGACGGCCCATGATCGACGCGACGAAGTCTTGGACGGCTGGAACGACTTTGTCCGGGCGGAGGCAGCGGGTTAGGAGTAACCGGTGGAAGAGGGGAAGCCCGGAGAGGGAACCGGGGGGAGTCACCGTGTGCGGCTCGGGGGAGTCGTAGATGGCGCGCCAGCTGCGGGGGTTTTCAAGCGCCAAGTCAGAGAAGAGGTGGAAGAAGCCCGGGAAGTTGCAGATATGTTTGCAACGTTTCAGGCAGTCAAGGATGAAGAACGAGCAGACGGAAGACTGACGATGGAGAGCAAGCGAGAAAGGTGGAAAGAGAAAAGTCAGCCGTTGAAAACGTCAAGATGAACGGCTGTATAGACGCCATCAAAACTTGGTTTGGAAAAGATTAATGAATCAAACTGTATGCCACCTAGACGAAAATTTGTTGGCAATCTGGTTCGGATGTTCAGGCTTTGGGCACTGGATAAGGACTGGACCGTGCAACAGCGGACAGGAGGCCCAATTCTCCCAAGACATCCTTTCTGTCTTCGGACATGGACATGCATGCAAATCAGCAGGCTTCTCAAATTTGATCGTAGACGAAGCTCGAGACCTATTCAGAACGGTGTTGCTCGGTATCTATGCCGACTCGGAAGAATGTAGATGCATTAAACCTCAGGACCGACCGGTAACACCTGGCACCAGAAAGATTTTACGGTCGTGATTCGAATGACCAGATTCCGTGAGGCCTTTCTCACCCGTCCGGCGACTCCTTCACGGACGCCGGCACGTCCGCGAACGCCGGCAGGCGCGCGAGCGTGCACAGCTCGCCCCAGGCCTTCTCCTGCAGCCACGCGGGCGCGGGGTTCTCGCCGGCCGCCGGCGTGCCCGCGGCCGCGGCCGCGACGCCGCACGTGCCCGTCATCAGGAACATGAGCTCCGCGCCGTCGACCTCGCCGCGCGCGCCCATGATGCGCGACGTCAGCAGGAACGCGAACAATAGCTTATCCTTCTCGAACAAACTCCGGCAGACGTTGCAGTAGAGCGCGTACGTGAAGTGCGCGTGGATGGATTCCAGGCGCGCGCTGACGTCGTCCGCGCGCGCGCTCGCGGCGATCGAGCCGACGAATAGGTTGACGAACCAGGGGAGGCTGTACTGGTACATGGGCTCGATGTTGGCGAGATCGGTGATGCAGAAGAAGAGCGTCGCGCCGTAGTCGCCGCAGGGTTTGTACGCGCGCCGCGCGCTGTCGATGTTCTTCTCCGTCTGCTCTGCGAGCACCTGGAAAGGAAAAAACAACCGTTCAGCAGGTTCCTCCTTAACACAGCTTCTTGGACATACTCTAATGGAGGAACGCATTGCTTTCCACGTTTAAGTGACCTTTTGAAGTGTCCTCTACCAAAGATACAGAAAAGTAGAGAACGGTGCAAGAAGACCCACGATAGAAAAAGATAAAGATTGAAAACGCCCATTCTACGTGAAACAGTTGCCACGATCTTATCTGCAGTCACGTCAAACCTCTGAACACGGTACAGATGTGAAACCAAAAACAGCCGAACAGACAAAGGGTTCAAAAGGTTGTCGATAATATCACGAAAGCAAAAAGCTGGAGCCTCACTTTCCAGGACCACAGCCAAAATACGATAAATCAACCCACCTGCTTCTCCGCAATGTCGTTCCCCACAGCCTTCGCCTCACTAATTACCCGGATCGCCGTCTCGTCCTCCAGAATATTGCCCTCCGAACTGGACAACACTTCCAGAATCTGATCCTCCAACTCTTTCAACTTCCGCTTGTTTTCCGCCCCTTGAACCACCAACTCGTTCTTCTGGGCTTCCAAATCCGGCCGTTCTTTCGCGACTACCACGCCTAAGAGTTGATCGCTCAGCCCCTCTTTCGTGATCATAAAGTTAAGTAGCGTCACTTTGACGGCGGTTTCCGGCAGGTAGTGCGGGTTCCGCAGCTTGGTGGTGATGTAGAAGCGGAAGTCGGAGGAGTACTCGATCGTCGAGTCGCCCAGCCGGATGCACGGAACGCCGCCCACCTTGAAAACCTGAACGGAATTGAAACGGGTCCTTGTTGAGCGGAGAGGGCTGGCTACTTGTTTGACAGGAGGTTCACGAGTGACTTTTCGCGCTTGAAGAAACAGACTGTGTCCCCGAAGAACGTCCTTCATGAATCTCACTTCGGAGGAATTGGGTGACGGATGAGCGGCCGCGGGATCTGGGCAGCTTTACTCTGACCAATTCGCCTCTTGCACATCGTGGCATGATTGAAGAAGCTTTGCAAGGCTGGAGACGGGGTTCGAAATGACGAAAGGTCCGACGAATGATCAGACACACACCGAAGTTTGAGAGACGGGAGAGGTAGACAAGACGTTGGGGTTTGATCTTTTCAATTACCAAGCCAAGATTGAAGCGACGGAGGGGTGATCAAGGACTTCCAGAAGTCCCACTTCCATCAACACATTCAGAAGAACTTGGATAGCGCACCTGCTTCAGAAGAAGCGGCTCCAGCGAAGGGTCCAGTTCCTCTCCCACGTTTTCCAGCAGCACCGGCAGACCGAACTGGATGGCATTCTCCAGCGTGCGCATGTACTCCCCGCCCTCGGTCAGCTTGATGACCTGCGGGTTAGTAGTAACCGTAGAGTTAACCGCACTACTCAAAAAGCTCGTTTCTGGCCATGAGAAAGAGGCTCTGAAGGATGCAAACCCGTCACCCCAATGTTTCAAAATCACTGGAATTTGATCATGGAGACATCAATACAAGGTACGATGATCAATAGTTCTTTGGAGAGCACCAGAAGCTCTCTGATCGAATACAGATTGAAAATCATGGGTGTCATTTTGGGAGCTCAATCACTAGGACGCCGAATGGGTGACGAATCCTTACCTGCAAGTTATTGTTTTTCTCCATGTTCTTGACCCACTTATTGGCCTGCCCCTGCGGATCGATCATGAGTGGCCACTTGCGCGCGTTCGCAACAACGATCCCGTTCTCGATCGAAAAGGAATCGTTCGGCAATCCAGCGATGAGCCACTCCCGCGTCTTGACGGCGTCACCAAGAACCGACGTAAGGGAGAAGGTGGGAGACCTGGGAATCTGCTCCGAGGCGCAGAGCGCCACCCACTTCTCAACTATCTCCTGCCGATACCTGCACAATTGGGAAGTCATGGATGAAAAATAGCTCCCATAGCAGGACAATCACCATCGGCCGAGCCCTTAAAGTAGGATGAACCAAGTTGGCTTTGGAAGTCAGCATTCCTTTTCCGTGGCTCCCTTCCTAGTTCACGCTATCTACTTCGCCGTTTCTTGGTCAAGCCTTTGAGCAGTGACTTAAATCTACGGCCTACACGACAATCTTCCACTTGATCCCCAATGTTGATATGTCGATTGAAGCCAGTCAAAGCACAACGTGAGTTGTTGGATTGCAGCACTTTGAAGCTGCCAGTAACCCCAGTCCAAGATTCACTGAATGAGACTGTAAAAGACCCCCCATCCTTAGAACGGGGTAGCCCGGTGCACTCACCCGGCCGTGAACGCCCCCAGGTACGACACCACCCCTGCCGCGACGAGCATGTCCCCGGTCAGGTTGTCGTACTCCGCGCCCAGCTCCTCCGCGGCCGCGGTCCAGCGCGTCTTCTCGCCGCCCAGCCCGCCGATCAGCTGCTCCGCCCGCTCTAGTTTCACCGTGCACTGCTCCACCTCGTGCTGAGGGTAGGAGTTGAGAAAAAAATGATGTGAGCATACTGGAATGTGAAAGGTTCTGGAGGGTCACGAGGTGTCTCAATGGTGACACTTTCCAATTGACGCTTGATCGGAGCTTCGGTACCGACTCTTAAACAGGCTTGTGCTTGGAGATTTGCCCCTTACTTCTTTATCGCTTGTACTTGGTTAGATACATAAACTCAGGTCTTTGGGTTATCGTGCAACTAGTTGTCTGGAACAGAGCTGGCGCATCGGCGTCTTCTTCAGCCCCACAATCTCTAGGTGAATAACAGCGCAGAACCAATAACCCGTCAGAAAGCATCAAAAGACTTGACGAACGTGTTGCGCCTTGATGGAACGGCCGCCCGTCATCTTACCTGCAGCTGCTCCTTTTTGCGCATGTTGACCTCCAGTTCCGCTTCCATTCCGGCCAGCTTGTCCAGGATCGCCTTCAGTTCCGCCTGCTTCGCGCGGAGCCCCACCATGACCGTCTCGTACTTGTCCTCCGCGATCTGGAGCGCGGCCTTCTTGGGCGCTACCACCTGAAACGAATAAGTATAGATTTAGCGCTTGGAGGACGGAAGGTCTACGTACGCTAGATTTGAGTTGAATTCCGGTTTTTGCGCTTTTTCCGTTCAAATCTAACAAAGCGCCTTGTAGTTTCGTTGCGGAAACGCTCGTCAGCTTCTTGTGCCTGAATCTGGGTTGCGAAGAGGTTTCAAGAGCTCTGATGTAGGACCCTGCAACCTGAGACGTTCAGGCGGCTCATCGACTGACCCGAGTAAGTTGAATGAAGCTGGTCAACCCAATATTCGAAGTGAATTTCAATTCAAGCCGCCCTGAACAGCTTACTCTAGAGAAATTACTGGAAACAACAAAATGCTTCTTTCCAGCAAAGAGCCAAAGGCAACTCGCGCGCGCGCACCTTCGCTCCGGCGTCGTACTTGTCCACGGCCGTCACCCACTTGCACAGCCCCTCCGCAAAGTCCACAACACTAATGGCGGGACTCACTCTGAAACCTCTCTATTGAGGATAACTACCCGACACGTTTTTCCCAGCAAAAGCAAATCAAGCTCGTGCGCGCGCACCTTTGCGACGGCGTCGTACTTGTCCATGGCCGTCACCCACTTGCACAGCCCCTCCGCGGCCGCGCTCGCGTTCGCCGCGCGCTCCGGCGTGAATTCCGGATTGCTCGTGTACTCTTTTCGGATGCGCGCGATGATTTTGGGGTTGATGTTGTCCTTGTCGTACGTCTTGAGGTTGCCCAAAAAGTCCTTGTCGTTCAGAAGCGCGACGCTGGGCTTCCAGTAGTCGAGCACGGAGCCGCCCTTGCCGTCGGGGATCTGCGCGCGCGCGAGACGTACGCAATCGAAAACGGGTTCTAGGAATCCGCGAAAAGGGACTCAAGAAAGTAAGTACAAGCAAGTCGAGAAAAGCTGTCGCTTTCGGAAAGATGGCATCTAGACGCGCTTGCCTGTGCACCCTGATGCTGGACGTAAGATTGCCGTATTTCTTTAAAGGTTGAATGCAAGGGGTGGAACGAAAAGGCAACAGTAGACCCAAATGGCCGTTGTGATAGGCATCAGAATCTGTTTAGATGGGCAAACAGTTTCGTTCTGATATGCCACAAATGTCGATTATCGTGGCTGATTTCTTGAGAAAACAAATGTTCAATAGCTGTATGTGCACAGTACACTGCGTATGTGCGGAATAGTCTACTACTTCAACGGCCATACCCTGCGGTTATCTTCACGGTTTTCTCCACGGATAGTTGAAACCTCTCTCACCTTCGCCGGTTTCACATCCAGGATGACGCACACCGCCTCCATCACCAGCTTCACCGCTCCGGGGGGGTTGCTCAGCTTCTTCACGTAATTAATATCGTTCGGGCTGAGCGTATCTAGAGCGGCGAGCGCTTCCTCCAGGATCGGCATCGCGAGCGCGAGCGCGCCCTCGCACTCGTCCTTGATCGCCTTCGCGTCCGCGGCCTGCGCGCTCGCGTCTTCCTCGTCGCGCTGCACGATCGCTTTTGTGGGCTCGACCACTTCGCGCTTTTCTTTCTCGACGCGCGCCATCAGCTCCTCGACTTCCGCGACCTGCGCGCGCAATCCGGCTTGAACGACCGGTTAAAATAAGGGCTTGGGTGCGCGGTATTTAGGATTCCTGTACGAAGTGAGAGTGCGCGGCCTGCGCGCTCGCGTCTTCCTCGTCGCGCTGCACGATCGCTTTTGTGGGCTCTACTACTTCGCGCTTCTCTTTCTCGACGCGCGCCATAAGTTCTTCGACTTCTGCCACCTGCAGATTGAAAACAAGTTCTATGTTTATATTATTTCTGCCAGGACTTTGCGTATGCGTCTTCCTCGTCGCGCTGCACAATCGCTTTCTTCGGCTCAAGTACTATTTCGCGCTTCTCTTTCTCGACGCGCGATATCAGCTCCTCGAATTCCGCGACCTGCGAGCATATTCAAGATCTTTTAAGCGAGCTCGATCAGAACTGATGCGCGCATATTCGGGTTATCAAAATGCCCGGCCTGCTCGCTCGCGTCTTCCTCGTCGCGCTGGGACACTTGCCCCGCGACCTGCGAGCCAGATTAGGGTTCATTATGATTAGAAATGTCGCAGCACTGTGATGAATTGAGCCCGTGCGCACACGTCCTCCTCGTCGCGCTGCTCACTTGCCCCGGTGATTCTCACACTTTCGCGTTGCTCTCCTGGACGAGGTTTCAGTTAAAGACCTTCGCGAGCTTTACGATTCCCGAAATTGGTCTGGAATTGAACCCCTTGCAACTGAGAACCTGCACAAGCAGATGGTAATTTCAATGAAAAGCTTTCGTTTCCGGCTTCCTAAGCTCAAGAACCACAGACGTCACCCTTGACAAGGTTATGCGGGGTCTGAGGTGCTCAAGACGCCTTCATGTTTGAATGCGCTTGGGGCTACAGTCCTTTCAGGGCTTCTGCGAAATTGCATCACAGAAAGTGCAGTGATCTCAATAACCTCCAAGGAAACCGAAATGCTCAAGTCGACGCACCGTTTGGATGAGCTTGGGCTTGAGGTCCGTGAGCTCGCCCTGCATCTGCGCCACCTGGACCGCGCTGCTGCTTAGCTTCTCCAGGCCCACCTCGTACCGCCCCTTGAGCTTCAGCTTCTCCGCTTGCTTCGCCTGAAGAATGGATGGAAGACCCAGGCTTGCTTCTTGACTCTTCTTATCATTGATCTCAAAGTTGTTTTGCAGATTGTGGTGAAAATCGGGTAAAGCAACTCAGGGCGGTCGCGGCCAAATCGCAGAAGAAAACGGTTTCTCCTCAGGATTCCTGGTTGCAAGGGCTTTTATTGCTGCACAGAATTCCTGCTCCAGGGATCGTTTTGTCGTGTACGTAAGCGAAGTGAATAAAAAGTGGAGGGTTTTCGAGGGTCTGATTGATGCAACGCTTTCTGTGGATACCGTTTCAGACTACTCAGGAAAGTCCCCTTGGAAGCATAATGAATCAACTCTTGACCGCTTTTAATCACCGACCAGTTGTGCGAAGACTAAAGGAAGGGCGACCCTTTACCTGCAGCAGGCTCTGGAAGGTCGCCAGCAGCTCCAGGTAACTGGTGGGCGTCAGATAGTTGTGCCGGCCCAGGTCCTGCTTAAACTTCTCGCTGTAGATCCGGACGCTCTCGTGGAAGGCCTTGCAGATGCGGACGATCGCCGGACGCATCTTCTGGTCCAGCCCCGACGTCTCGCCCAAAAACTTGTGCGCGACGGCCTCGAGCGCGTCTTCGGGCCAGGCCTGCGGGGTTAAGCGAGGGTTAAGGAGACGTTATGGAGGGTCACGGAAAGGTTGAAAGTAAGTTTATGGAGGGTTTTGAAGGAATCCAATCTGGCTTCTGAAGGGCTGGCTTGTAAAGGCGAGCGCGTCTGCTCGATAGATCTGTTGGTTTGATAGGTAGGGAGCTTATAGGGATGTCGTTACGGTTCTAGAGTTTTGATCCCGTTAATAGTGGTGATGTCAGCGCTATTCTGCGCGCGATTAATCGCTGGAAATCGTCAGGAGTAAAGCCTACCTAATTGGGCAAGAAAGCGGTAGGAGGGAGCAAGTTACACTGAAACAAGACCCATGAAATAGGGAAAAGATTCAACCCTCAAAGCCGACGTTGATGATTTCAGACAAGACAAGACAAGAGTAAAACTTTACAGGGCGAAGCTTTCAAGAGGCAGAAGCCCATAAAGAGCCCTTTGGCTGGCGGGATTTACGGACCTGGAACCAGTCGATGGTGCAGCAGTTGACGAGGCTCGGGTACTGCCTCAACCGGTCGCGGAAGGCGTCTCCGACCGGGCTCATGCACAGCATGATGTGCAGCTTCTGCTGGCACTGGGCGGTGAAGAACGCCCACAGCTCGGTCGGGGTTTCCAGGGTTTTGCCGAGCGCGGCCGCGATCGGGCGCACCGCCTCGAGCACCTGGGCCTTCTCGTCGTTGGGGAACATGTTGGGCACCTGGGAGGAAGGCAAGGTACTGAAAAATTGAGCTTTGAGTGTGCGCTGTTCCGAAAAGATTCAAGGTAAAGCATGTAAGTCCTTGGCTCTTAAGTTACGCGTTATACTGTTCCATACAGCCATATCCTTGCAGCTTCTTTCTGATACCCCATTGATCATAGCTCTACGGATGTAGAACTCACCTCCAATCTCCTCACACCATCTCAAGATGGGAGAATGGCCAAACAAAGCGTCGAAGCTTAGCGCACTGAACCAACATAAGCAAGAAGAACCAGGCTATGTCAGCCGCAGAAATCGCAAACCTGCAGGCTTCGAAAAACGCATCATCTCTAAAGTTTTGCACACGGCTTTTGCGCCAATACCGTGTATTGGTTTTCTGCTCGCCACATGACTGATCTCTTTGAAACATTCTCACCTCTCCCGAGTTGAGGATGTTATTGATGTCCTCCACGAACGCCTCGTCCTTGATCTGCGTGTCGCTGAAGAGGAACACCCCGGGGTGGCCCTCCGCGCCCGCGCGCCGCAGCATCTTCTTCAGGTCCTCGCGCCACTCCACGCGCGTGTAGCTCTTGCTAATCTCTACCTGTCAATTCAAACTCCAGTTTGAGTTCCTGAGCAAGTGAGTGGAACAGGCAGCTTCCTGATCCGACTCACGTGTAGCTCTTGCTGATCTCCACCTGTGTCAATGTGGACTTGCAATTCGACTCTTTTAGATAGTGGAGGATTTGGGTAGCTTTAGTGATGCAACTCACCTGTAGCTGATCTCCACCAAGACGTATGGATCTCGCCTTAAGCAAGCGCTGAAAAACCTCTTGTTTGCCTTCATACTCTGCATTGACTCAAAGGGCTTTTGATTTTAGCCTGTTCGGCAGCCGCAAATGGATGATTGAATACACCCAAAGAGCTTCCGATCCTCTGGTTAACTTGAGCCGTCCTTGATTAGGAATTTCAGAATGTCCAGAAACGTTGAGATGGAAATCTCAAAGCTGAACCTTCTTTGTGATGACAAATACGGCAGCTGTACAGAAGGACTCTTAAGAAAACTCTAAAAACACTCAGTTCGGCCATTGCTGGAAATTCAAGGCCCCTTGGAAGCGCAAAATAACAGAAAGCCCGCAAAGCGAACAAGCCGCCTCAACACCGCGGCCGCAAGCGCCTTAAACCCCCCAAACCCTCACCTGGTGCACCTCCATGCCCGCGATGTGCGCCGCGAGCCGCGTCAGGCTCTGCCGCCCCGACCCCCCCACTCCCACCAGCAGCATATGCCCCCCCGGCTGCTTCAGGAGCCGGCATATGCGCGAAATGTGCTCCACCGCAAACAGGAAGATCGCGAGGTTCATCGGCCGCTTGCTGGTACCGTTGAAATCCATGAGATACTCTTCCATGGTGGTCAGCAGTTTGGGGACGTCGGACACTTCCTGGTACTGCCGGGCTTCGGGCTCGGCGGTCGAGTCGGCGTAGTCGCCGAAGAAGCACCTGCGCGCGCGCAGAGAGTGTGAGCGCGTGCACCTTTTTGGGTCATCGACTGGGGCATAATTCAGCTTGAGTTGAGCCTCTGACACTGCGGACTAGGCGCTGGAGTTTCTTTTATCGGTTGATATCAGGAAAGAGGGCATGTCTTTTGCGATGATATCAGCTACAAAAGGAGTTGAGAAGGGATTGTCCCACCGTAACCGCCTAAACTTACAGCTACGGAATCACAGAGGAATCACAAGGAGACCAAACAATATCTGTTGAAGACTTGTTCAAGCATGTACGGCAAGTTCGCAATGCCGTCCGAGGTATAGCCCTTCCTAACGTCCACGATCAAGTGAGAGTCCGCTCAAAGTCTCACCTCCGCATCTCTTGCGCGCCAATCTCCCCGCCCTCCCCTTGCCTGAGGTGCCCAAAGAGGTCCTCAAACCCGAACCCAAAGTGATTCTTGACCATCTCCTTCATGTGCGTCAGCAGCCACGTGCGGTCCACGTCATCTACCAGGCGGTCGTAGAAGACGCGCAAAACCTCGTGCGCCCACAGCCGCACGTGCGACTTGGCGGCCGGCGGGCCGGCCGCGGGGAGCGACGCGGCCGGCTGGAGCATGATACCCTGGAGAGACAGGTGGCGGAGATTCGGTTTCCGCCAGAAACAATCGAGCACGGCACTAATGAAAATCCAAGTGAGAGCAAAAGGACTTCATGCCACTGGAAAACTGAAGGATTTTTGTTTGTGAGGTTGAGCCAACTGAAAATTAGGAAGCTCTCTACGTGGAAGGGCTTTTGATGAAGAATCTTCAATTTAGCAATAGTAAGCTTTAGCAATAGTAAGCTCACCAGCCTGGGACGGGTAGGGTTAGTTTGGGGGTTAGGGTGGGTTCGGGTGCGGAGCGGGTGTTTTTGTAGGTTAGGTTTTTAGTGTTAGTGCCGGAGCTTACTATTGCTAGGGCTTACTATTGCTAAATTGAAGAGACATCTTTTGATGATCTAAGTTCAAAACGGTCGAAACCCGAACCCTTGCACCAACTAGAGGGCAATGGGCACTTTCAATTTGGCATCTGCTTACTCTTGAAAGTCAACCTCGACCTTCATACTCAAAGTCGACATTCAGTCTCAATTGCTGGAAAATCATTCTCGGTTGAAAGCGATGGAGTGCAAAAATCCCGCGTATACGTACCTGGATAACGCGCGCAAAGTCGCGCAGGTTGAAAGTGTAGTGGCTCTTGGTGGGCGTGGGGAGCAGCGACGCCATGGCTGCGTTGTACACGTCCATGGTCGCCGCGATTACGGACGGGCACAGCTTGCGGACGTCCGTTGGGAAGGGCGCGCGCGTGAGGTGCCACGTCAGAATGGACGAGAAGATGGCGCTCAGCGACGAGTCGGCCACCTGAAAAGCGAAACGATAACCTCAATTCTTGAAGTCTGGCCTGGCTGGACTCAAAGGATTGGATCTTAATCTGAGCGAAGCATCGGGAAAAGGATCCTTCAAGTAGCTTTCACGGGAGCCGCAAGATGCCCCCAGAAAATTGTAACGTTGAAAGGATGAGTCGGCTATGGAGTTCTACATTATTCTGTTCTGATGTGAGCATCTTCAACACAACCGAGCCCGCTTCTTTGCGCTGCTGTCAAATATCGGCCCCCTTTCTGGAATCTTGAAAGATTTGCAAAAACTCAAGTAGGCAACAGAACCTTACCTGCGCCATTCCGACGGTGTTGAAGTGTCGCAGGTAGCGCACGGTGACGGGATTGCGGCCGCCGCCCGCGGGCCCCATGGCCGCAACGAACTGGACATCCACCATGTCGCGGAACACATTATCGCGGCCGTACCATCCGTCTGCCAGGAGCAGGGAACCAGGGTTTTAGGGATTTTTCCTCTGGGTTCAACACCATTTGAAAATGATAGTTGGAGAAAGCTTGGGGAAATTGTATTCTTCGAAAAGAAGGGTGAGAGAGACGAGGAGAAGCACCCCAAACATGTTACGTGTACGAAAAACGGCGGGATCGTGTGAGCAGCGCTTTCCGAGCTTAGTTTTTGGAGTGAGATCCTCACTCGATATGTAGCAAGACCTAAGTATAGGCAGGAGAGAAGCGCTACCTGTCGGTGCCGGTTCAAAGCCGACGCAACGAATCCAGCATGCAAAATGTTCTCCGCCTTTGTGAGCGTTTCTGGGACAGATCTCTGTAATCTTGCCGTAGATATCTTATGAATTGTAAACCATCAGCAAACCTGAGAAAGCGTGAATCCCACAAAAGCCGAAAAGAAGAAGCAGAGAACACGAAGTGGATCCTGATCTATCCAACCCTTGGAAACAGCGGTACGTACCGTGATCCATGAACTGCCGCAGCAGCTCAATCGGCGGCTGCGCGCCGTAGACCTCCAGCTGCGGCATGTTCAGATCGTCCACAAAGATCGCGCACCGCTTCCCAAACGGCGGCCCAAACACCCCTTTCTTCCGCTTGTCAAGTCGCCCATCAATCTGCGCTTGCACCATGTTCGCCGTTGTGCGCGCGCTGAAGCATACGTTCATCGTCGTATACTTGTCTTTGGCCAGGCCGCTCATAAGGTGGCGGTTGACGTATACGCTTTTGCCCGTCCCCGTAGGGCCCACTAAAATGATCGGGTACCCGGCTTGGATCGCAGTATCGAGCAGGAACGTATAGCGGGCGCTGTCAGCGGTCGGGATGATGATCTCGCTAAATTGCGCGTTGTCCGGAATCTCTTCCTTCAGAATCGTGGCCGTCCAAAGTTTCCACTTGCACGTTTCCTTTTCAAACATGTAATCAAAGATGAGCTCCCCCCGTTCCGCCGGTATCACCGGACACTGGAACGGAACGTGCACCGCCGGAACGTAGCTCTCGTACCCGACCGGAACGCCTCCCCCGACCAGTTCGCGAATGAACCTATCAAATCCGACCCGCCCCTCGTTATTCCCAGTACACGCAACTGACCACGTCAGCGAGAATAAAAACAGCCCGTCGACCCACTGCGCGAGCTTCTCGGGGTTTAGGGTTTTGGCCGCGCCCTCGTCGCGCAGCTCGCGCACGAGCGCGTCGAAAGTGCGCATGAGCGCGCGCACCACGTTCGCGTCGCTCGTCGGGCTTATCTCGCGCACCGACTTGCGCAGGAATCTTAGACACGGCGGTACCAGCCAGTCGAACAGCCCCTGGAGGTGTGCGCGCGTTTCCGGGTTAAGCAGAGGGTTAGGGAGGTTTGGGAGCCACGACGCCACTAGCGGCTGCCAGCCCAATTGGTGCGGTTCCAGGTAAACCATGCCGCAGCGCGACACGGTCGCGGGCGACGCGACCGCGAGATCGCCCACTTCGAAGATCATGTTCATGGATGACGACATCTGGATGATCTCGCTGTTGGGCAGGCACAGCTTCTTGTTGTCGTCCAGCACCTGCAGAGGAGGAAGTTGAGATTGGATCAGAGTTTTGATTTCACCTTCAGAAGAGGGTTTGACTAGGGGTTTGAATCTCAGAGTTTTGACACTGTAGTGTTGAGGCGCAATCTGGATGAATTCGCTGTTGGGCAGGCACAGAATCTTGTAGTCGTCCAGCACCTGCGGAGGCGCGAAGGTGGTTTAAAGTCCCGAAGAATCGCGGTTTAATCTCTGGGCTTCTGGGTGCAACCATTCTTTAAGACGGTTGAATGAGCGGGCTATCGTGCTAGCAGCTTTTCTATTGGTCTTTCGTTCAAGGGCGGAAGGTTTACCGATGATCATCAAAGAACGTGTACTGGATCGAGCTTTCGAAGTTGTGGCCGATTAAGGCGACATCCGACCCGCTGATTTTGCTTTCCGACTCTAGAAAGAAGTTATCGTGTGTAGGCAGGAAAATCACAAGTTTCCGTCCGGAGAGCAGTCAAATCGCTCAGTGTGTTTTAACTGCTACCTGCCTTCCCAAAATTACATGGGCACCGCAAGACGGGCTGGAGTCACAGCTTCATTTGTTGGTCCCACTGCGAGATTCACCTATTCAGATGTGATCGCTAACAAGCACTTAAATCCAGCGTATTAGAAAGCGGTACTTACCGTGTTCATGTTCTCAATCCAGATGGCGTCCACCGGCCCGTCCAGCACCAGCCACTTCCGGTCCGTCGACTGTTCCGCCGACTGCTGCCGGAACTTGACGGCCAGAATGCCGTCCGTCCATTCCTGCGTCACGGGATCCGTCTGACCGTACAGCTGTCCCATCGTGACCGCTTTGGGGTTTATGGTCGCCACCTGGACCTTGGTTTCGGCCTGCCCCGCGGCCGCCATGTCGCTTAGCGCGCCGGCGAGCACGCGGATCGCGGAGGTTTTGCCGGAGAACGGCTGGCCCACTGCGAAGATAACGGTTTGGTCATAAGTGTGGGTTTCGAATTTCATACTGTTAGGGTTTCTGGAAGCTTTTAAATCAGTGGAAGGGATTACAGGTTCAGCGTTACGGCTGAAGCGATTCTATCGCTTTCTCCAGCAAGCGCGATCAAACTGTAGTGCTTCAAACAGCTAAGAACGTGGAGGCTGGAGGCGAATGGGCTTTAACCAGGATCGCACGTCCTCAAGGCCAGGAAACAGCCTGGAATCTTTTCGTACAAAGAATTTGATTTGTTAAGATCTTCCATTCTGGAGGTTTCACGACTCGGACACGCTGAGACTATCACCGAGCTGGAGTACTGCCGATGATATTATCATCTTTTGCCCTACTTGACTTACTCTCAAACCCTCTCGTTTGCCAGAAGTTGCGAAGCATCAAAAAGGGGTATCCGCAGCTCCGGACGCTTTTGGACGCTTTCGGACGCTTTCGGACGCTTTCGGCGCTCTCAGACTGATTCGGACACTCTCGGACGCTGTCGGACGAATTCGAACGCTCACCCAGCATGAGTCCGTGCCGGACGATGATCATCTCGTACAGCTGCACCACCTTCGTCAAGAAGTACTCCTTGGGCTGCAGCCCCAGCCGCGCGCAGTTCTCGCGCATCGCGAAGTCTAGCGCGGTGTAATCGGGTTTGGGCAAAACCACCCCCGGGAACAGGTCGCTAACTATGCCGTTAAAGAGCGGCACGTCGTGGCTCAGGAACTTGCACAGGTTGACGTCGATGATGGAGCGCAGCATGAGCACGAACTCGTCCTCGTCCGGGAAGCGCCGCTTCAGGTTGGACGCCGCGCGTAGAACCGCCATCACCGCGCGCATTCCTGGGAGCCATAGAAAGCGGAGTCAGGAAGGCCAGTAGGGCAAGGGATTATGAACACGCACACTATTAACGCGATAGGCATCGGAGATAGGGAAAGAAGACGGGCGAGAATTTTCCCGAAGGTTTTTTTTGAAAACTTTCGCAAAGTAAGAAGAACAACTATCAAGACAACGAACCACTCTCTCCTTGAATGACTACCAGAAAACCTCATTTTCACTACAAAGCGATATGACGAATGCACTTCAACGTCGCTGCCATAATCCGCCTTCGTATTTACTTCCGTACGCGCTTGAACGAATGAGAAAGCGCGCGCGCGCGCTTACCGTAGTCGTAATGATCCTGGCTGCTCAGCTGCTCGCTACACAGCCTATACGTCGCCACGATCTTGCGCGCGCAGTCGCGCGCTTTCAGATACCCGTTGGAGAACAGCATGATTTCCGAGATCATTGCGTAGTCCGGAACCATCATTGCGACCGTACGGAAGAGCGCTTTCAGGTTGTCCGGAAGCTCGGACCGTCCGGCGTAACCAGGGTTCATGGTGATGAACACGTTGCAGGTCGGCTTGAGGGTTAGCTCGCTGCCCTCGAAAACGAAGGTCTTAACCTGCGGTTACGAGAAGGATTGGGGTTAGACTCGAAAATAAGGCTATCAAAGTGAGGGAAAGTGAGAGCAGTTTCCGTTGGCGGCTGCAGCAGGAGAGGGTTTTCGGCGTTAGTTGGAGGAGGAACGAGTTGAACCGTGCGTCGAAAGCAGAAACTTGGAAGGGGTTTTCTATACGAAATTTTGGGCAAAGGTCTATGACTCCTGCACTCCTCTGCTGGTTGCATTTATATCAAGATGCGAGAGGGCTGTCTCACTAAAAATGGTGTGGTTCGGAAGTGGCTTTGCTCGATGGTTGAAATCGATAAACTTTCCTTATAAACACAGAGTCTAACCAAATTGACCACGCAGGGCAGTTCGAAACAAGTCCCAGCCCGTTTGGACAATGCTTAGCGCCACAGACAACTTTGACACTATGTTCCTACATTGCCTGCTATGCGAGAAGGATCTCGGAATCGAAGTGAAAACCGCCGCCTCACTTTGTTTTGCACGGCCAGTTGGATCTCCAGCACTTGTTGCGCGACAACGGATAGCACTTCCAGGTCGATACGGTTGAACTCGTCGAAGCACGCCCACGCGCCGGAGGCTGCGAGCCCCTTGAAGAACTTGGCCATCGCGAGGTAGTCCAGGGAGTCGCTGCAGTTGAACACGACGCACTGCCGGGCCAGGGCCTGGGGGCGGAAACGGAACGGTTTGAGGTTAGGAGCGGAACGAGGTTAGTAAGATGAGATTAAGAGAAGAAAGCTTTGGGGGACCATCCAGAATTATACGACGGCTTTTTAACCATGTACGTGTGCGATCAGATGAGGAGTTGCTGTAGTTGAATATCACGCACTGCCGGGCGAGGGCCTGGGGCTGGAAACGGAACGGAATGAGGTTCACAACGGATTTCGATAAGGAATAATTAGGAGAAAGGTCTATGAGGACCATCCAGAAGTATGAACGGGCTTTGATCAGCTAAGTGTGCGAGAAGGTGAGGATTCGGTGCAGTTGGACACCACGCACTGCCGGGAGAGGTCCTGGAGCGGAAACGGAAAGTTGATTAACGCAACGGAACGAAAAGGGGTTTGGAGGATTGTCCAGTAGCAGGAACAGTTCTTGAGAAAGCAGAGGTGCGATCAGAAAATGAGAAAAGAGTAGCAGTGACCGTTATATTCTCTGGCACGGTGCCGAGATAGAAGAAGAGGCTGCGACTGTTACAAACAAACCCATCCTCCGATAATTGAACAATCCCAGATCAATTTCAGGCGGTGCGGCGCCAGAGCTTTTGATGAGCTTCTTCGAGGGAAAAGGCTGATCTTGGTCGGAAGGCCTACGTTGGCCTGCCCGGCGTAAAGAACGGTTATATTCTGACATCTTCTACCCTGTTATTCTCCTTCTTACACTGTTAATTGAATGTATCTGCTTGGTGCGTTTCCAGCGCACCATAGACCCGTTCAACTATGCACCAAAATCGGCAAACGCTTTGGGTGAGACAGTCACGCACCTTAGCCAGATCCTTGGTGGTCTCCGTCTTTCCGGTTCCGGCCGGCCCTTCCGGCGCTCCGCCCAGGTTCAGATGAATCGCGCCCATCAGCGTCCGGTAACACCTGTCCGTCAGTGGCGTAATCACCAGCCTCGAACTGTTCCCCAAATACTCGTACCCATATTCCACTGACGCGTTCATCATGCGCACTTGACACGTGTCGTCCTCCCAGTAGTAGCGCAGCTGAGACTGCCACGTGAAATTCGATTCGGAGTCCACTCCCTCGCGCGCCATCATTGCGACGGTGTCGCGCGCGTGCACATCCATGACTACGAGCGCGCTCAGGGTCGCGCGGTTCAGCTTGGTCAGGTTGCCGCGCACCTGCGGGTTTTTGCAGAGATTCAGAGTCTTTGACTACGGAATTTTGGTTTCAATTGCGCAACGAAAAGAATGGGGATGAGGAAGCCGCTTCAAAGACGGAAACCCAAATCAGTAGCAGAAAGATGACGCAGCGGGTGCATCGGAGAGATCATCCGGGGGGGTAGAAATGAGAGATTGTCGAGAAGATTGGCGAGTGGTTTTGGGAGCTAAGCCGCAGGAGTTTTGGTCGCTCGGGTTGAGAGGTAATAAAGAGCCTTCTTTGAATAACCCCAAGACCCCCCCATTTCTCTCAAGTTTCATCAAAACTTACCCCCGCAAGTCTCCTTCTCCCTTTGAAACGAAGAACGGCTTCGTCTTCTTTGAAAATTTTGAGATTGAGATGGAAACGAAGCCCCCAACTGCTTGGCACACCTCTCTCACGCCCTGTAACTCTCTTGCTTTAACAAACTTCCACTCACCAGAGACACGATCTGGCTCAGTTGCTGCGTGCACGTCTTCTCATACTCTCCCACCGCCGCGGGGCCGGCCGCGATCGCGTCGGTGCAGTGCTTGGTCCAGTAGATAGCGCTAACCACCAAAACCACTTGGCCCGGCCACTCCAGAACCCAGCGCTCGCGCGCGGTTTCCGCGTACGCGAGCACGCTCCGGCGGCAGTGGTCGCGCACGGAGTCGACCATCTGGTTCTCGACCTGTGAAGAAAGCGTCGCGGTTTGATGGTAGCTTTCACTTTTCAATGTCAAAGCGTTACTGCAAGGATTTACTCAGTTCGATCACAAGTTGAACTGATGTTCCCAACCGCTTGCAGCAATCTGTCCTGCGGGAAGTAACACCTTCTGCCCGGCTCAAGTTATGCCTCAGAGGTAAAAGCAGTGCGTTTCAGTTAGTACCTGCTCCGTCCGTGGAACGAATCAAAGAATATGGGGCGCGAATATGTAAACGATAGAACCCTAAATAATCGTTGTTATGTTGGTGGACCGGAAATCTCTCCCGATAGATAACTAAACAAAACATTCCATCCTTTGCGCACAGTAACCTTCGAAACGGCATGTCTTCATTCGGCTCAAAATCTCCAAATCCTTTTCCATATCAAAAGCAAGAAAGATTGCTATCCACAATCCCACGAACCCTATGATCGTCAAACTCCAAGTTTTGAATTCCCTCACCTGCAGCAGCCACTTTTCGACCGCGCCGTTGGCCGCGACCGGGTTGATCGTTTCCGCCAGCGCGACCACTTCCGATTCCGCGCTGCACATTCCGCTGATCTCCAGGTTGTCCTGGAACTCCAACGTGGAGATGCCCTCGAAGCACTTCTTGAGATGCGGCTGAACTCGTAATGGGTCCTTTGTTTCGGACAGGATCTCGAGCATTTCGTCGTTGGAGAGGAAGAAGAAACGCGGGAAGGCGACCCGCTTGACCTGCGCGGATGAGCGAGCAAAGGCGTCAGATGTCGCCCTTTAGATGGTCACTAACTGAGTCAGACGAGGGCCTGATAAGCGGTCTGTGAGGCTACGCACAATCGTTCTTCATGTAATAGCTCTTACTTGGAATTTGATGAAACGTTCGTGGTTACCGGACCAAAAACAAACGCTACAAGGTGTTGGAAGGAGGAGGTCTTCCAAATAATTCCAACTTTACCTGTTCGGTTGAAACTAACAAGTTCAAAGGTAACAATTCCATTCAAAAAAGGAGGATTCCACCAAAAACCAATCAATCCCATGTTAGATTGAGAAACATTTTGCCAAGACCGATCCAAGCCCCAAGTCAAACAGGAGCCTGTCTTACCTCCAGATACGACGCCAGCCCCTTCTGAATAGCATCCAGCAGCTTATTCGCCTCCTCCAGTCGCGCGAGGCGCTCCTTGTCCCGAGCGATCCCGAGGCAGCCCGGCGCGGCGACAGTGCGCTTCATCATGTCGCGCCACATCTGATCGACGGTCTTAAACTTCTCGCCCTCCTCGGGCATCTGCTTCATGATGTCTTCGCTCCCGAAGATGGGCTCCAAGTACTGCCACGTGCCCTGCGGAGATTGGCCGGGATATACCAATCAGGCACCAAGCGCTTTTGAAGTTTGTGAAGCGACTGGGGAGTGTGAAGAAAGGAACGAGTAGCCGGAAGTGAGAATGCAAACGTGCATGGAAGACTTTCCAAAGATCGCCTTCTCCAAGTTCGGGGTCTCTAGAATCATTAAGGCAGAGACTCATACCTGTGACAGTCAACTGAGAGCTGAACTCATTCATTTAGGTATCCGGAGGTGAGATATTTCGGAGGTGAACGGAATCTATCAAGGTTTCCCCAGATCCACTTGCATCACCTTGCTCATTTTGTCAAGAGCGCCCAACACGTTACACAGAGATGCTCAACAACCGCGGGATGAGTCCAGGACCAATCCTCACCTGACACGTCAGCCAGTTGTCCAGCAGGTCCTGCAGCGTGCTCAGCGTGTCCTGCCACTCGCTTGCGCGCGCCTCGAACGGCCGGATGAACGGGCTCGCGCGCATACTCTGGATCTTCACGATTTGATCGTCCAAAATCGCCTGGATTTCATCCACACCCCCGACTATAAACGTCCCCGTGTCCTTATACGCGACCGTCCGGAACTCTAACCCGTCCCAATCCGTAACCATCTTGGTTAGGCTCTTCTCCAGCGAGTGCTCCTTGCTGGCGTTGGTGCTGACGCGGCTTACGTCATCCATCTTGGAGAGGATGTCGTGCGCGAGCAGGTCGTCGATGGAGAAGGGCGCGTCGGGCGATATGCGCGCGCCGATCGCGGTGAAAATTGCCTCCCAATGGCGGGGTTTAAGGGCCTCGTTCGCAAGCTCCTCGATCAGCGGCATGATCTGCGCGGCGCGGGTTTAGGATTTGGGGTTGGGCTTCGGACGATAGGAGTGCGCGCGCCAATCGCGGCGAAAGTTGCTGCTTAATAATGGGGCTGAAGACCTCTTATACGAGGTCCGCTACTAGGGGCATAACTTTATGACACGCACTATTAGTTGAAAAGAGCGTGGTTTTCGGATTCGCCGAAGACGTGGCGTGCTATTTGTCCAGTTGACAGCGGCGTTGGAACCACAATGAAGCGCTTATGTTTGAAAGCTTGCGAGAGTCATTCGACCTGGCATCGACTCGTGTTGGAAGTCGCAGTCCGCGCGAGAACGTCGAACGAGGTTCTCAGGGGATTTTCAAGCTTTTTCCAGGGTAAAACTCGCTGTTGATCAAAGAGCTTTTGTGAAGCAGCATGCGAATCAGCTGATTGTGACCCAACCAAATTATATAGACTAGGAAAGCCTCTCAACGCTAAGGCATGCTGGTGACAGATTTGAGAACAAACCCTGCCGACTGAAACGAGAGCGAGACCATTATTTCCTACCTTTTTGAATTCGTCGATGCTGTCTTTGAGGCGGTAGACCACCCGGTCCTCCTTGTTTGCTTTTCCCATCTTGAACGCCTCCTTATTGTTCTCCTCCACGGCTGCCGAGATCTCCGCCACGTGGAGGGCCTGGATTGGGCCACCCCGCCACTGCTGCGTCTTGCACTCCCAGTCGTACAGCGACTTCCAAACAGCATACCTGGAGGTAGACAACATGTTATTCCATGTGCCTCTGAGATACGATCACTTCCGCACTTTGCAGAAACCCAAGAGCTGCGAAGCGTCTCCAGACTTCGCTTTTTACGAGTTGTGCAAAGTGACTCAACTTCCGACACGTTTCGAGTCACTTCTGAACCCCAGAGTGGCAGTCTGCCGGAATCTCGACACGCTGAACAACATTTGCATGGCCAATCGACTTTCTCGAACCAGATGGAGCGAATTCTGAAAGAGATCCGCTCTAACCTGAGCTCGAAAGTTAACCGCCTCCAATCCTCGCAGAAATCGTCGTGTTCTTACCTCCCGTTACACTCCTTCTCCGTCTCCTTCAGATTCCCGAAGTCGTCCACCGTCATCAGGAACAGCTTCTGGTACCCCTGGAACGTCTCCGCCTTCGCGCGCGCGGCCGCGAGCGCGGCGCGGCTCGCCTCCAGCTCGGTCACAATCTCGGTCGCGTCTCCCTCAGGGTCCACAAACCGCGCGCCGTGCAGGGTTCCGAGCAAGGTTAGGGCCTCGTCGCTGAGGAAACCGATTTGCTGCTCGAGGTCGGCCATCATTCCGTTCTTCCGCTCCTCGATGAAGGATTCCGCGGCGGAAAGGCCGTCCTGGTAGGCCGTGACGGCCTCGTGCAGGTCGTCGAGCTTGACGGAGTCGCCGGTGGGGACCTTCATCTCGTAGGCGCTCAAGAGGGTGTACAGGTCGTCCACGACGGCGGCCTGCGCGCAAAACCCGCTAGGTTTTACGGTCTGATTTCGGAAGGTCAGCCCCAACATATTGAGCCTCCTTAACCCGGACCCCGGTAGCTCCAAGAACTCGACTTGCTCTCGCCGTGATCCAGGATGTCCAATCTAATGAAAAACTAGTGCGAAGAAAATTCCGCAGAGAATATGGTTCTCTACAAGGATGGACCAAAACAAAGGCCGGCGCCAAGAAAACGAAACGACCAGTCACGATATTCCGGAGCGATGTCGAGGAACTCAAAGAGGACTGACCGCAGAAATTGGTTGAATCACATATCTACAGAGAAGATAATCAAGATCAAGACGAACGAAAGAAATGGCCGAAGCGCCACAATCTCAAAAGTCCTCTTTTAACGTTTGGGCCAAAGTCGAAGCGCCCACCTCGGCCAGAGCCGCCTTCCTCGCGTCGCCCATCTCCTCGAGCTGCTTCATAAAGTCGACGAAGTTGTCTAGCTGATCCGGCCGGTCCTGCAGCGCGCGGATCCGCTGCTGGAAGCTCATCAGAACGGTAACGGTCTCCTCGCGCGCGGCCGCGAGCAGCACGACCTTTACAGCGTCCAGGGTGCGCGCGGTAACGGGTAGCAGGCTGTTGCGCAGCGACTTCGAGTCGATATGGAGCACGCCGATGCTGTTGCCGACTTTCATCCGCTCTAGTTCGGCGCGCCACTCGCGCTGGCGCGCGAGGTCCTCGCGGAACTGCTTCGCGGAGTGGCGCTCCGCGCCGTACGCGTCGGGGCTCCACGTGGCCTCCCACGTGTAGATCTGACGGTGCTCCTCGAAGATCTGCGCACATGTTGGCAGTGAGATTAGAAAGCCGTTCTGTTCTTGTGTCCATATTCGTTTCCTGACAGAAGAGGAGTCGAACATACAGGGCCCTTAAGATCTGGCGGCTATGAGAAAGGCATCCTGAATCAGAGCAAACGTGAATGAGATCAGGCTTGCTTCCAACCGTTTCGAAGAGCGAGCTTCCTCTCGAGCAAGATGGTTCTGTGTATGACTTCGTGCGGCGGCAAATGACGCTCGTGGGTATTAACCTCGAGCGCCTGAACCATTCATTCTCGTACGCATTTGATCATGCTAAAGCTCACCCCCTTCGTTAGTGATTACTCAACCACGTTTGACGAAACTGAACGCTCCCAATGAGTCCTCCACATACAATGCCAGGGGCATCAAGAAACGATGTCATTATTTTTCACAATGCTTTTTGGACCTCGATCGCAAAAGTATGGACACGTGGCAGAATGCGTCTCTTACCTGGACGTACTGGTTCGCCTCTGCAAAGTCCTGCCGGATGACGCCGTCGATCTTGGCCCGCAGCTCCAAAAACCGGTCCGTCTCCTTGATGATTGCAACCGGGTTAAGCCCGGTTAGCTTCTCCTCAAAGTGCTGCCCAAACGACCTCATAAACAGCAAGCGGGGGGCTGCTTGCACCAGCGAAATGACCCCCTCGAGCACGGTCGAATCCACCACTTGCAGGATCTCCCCTTCGCTCGGCGTAAACTCGAGGCTGGTTTCCGAGAACGAGACCGTGGTCAGGAAAACCCCCTTGGAGGTTTTGTCAGACCCGGTGCGCGGAAGCTCGAGCATCGAGAGGAGCTCGTCGGTCGTTGAGATCGTGCGATCGACGAGGCCTTCTACGAGCATGTAATCCGCGAGCCGGATGAAGTCGCCGAGTTGCTTCGCTTCCTCGATCACGCGGCGGTACGTCTTGGCGCGCTCAATCTTTTCTTGCTTGATGCTGACCTGAGAAAGGCCAGTTTGGGGCTGGTTGAGGATGAAATTTGGAGTGTGTTGAGTTCGATCAAGGTAATGTTATTGGCCGGCTCGGTATATTGTAACACAAACAGGACAAGCAACTGAAAATGTGCGGCCGCTTTTTACAAGGCTGGGCCTAAACAAGGAACGTTTTCCTTGCAGACTCCCTTCACGGAGCTTCGAATCAACTCTTGAATTTCTGGTTTGCAGGAATGATAGGAGACAAGCCGCTCATATTTCACTTTCGAACATGCCGATTTAGAGGATCCCCTGCGGCTCTCTGAACCCCTGATTCTTACGACCTCCAGTTGAGACCTCGACTTTCAAACACAGGGAAAGATACAGTCACGAGCTATTACGGAAGCCAACCTTTCCCAGGCTAGCGAATCAGCCGCTCCTTTCCCAGCCGCAAACATTTCAAGACCCGTCTTCTCATGCCATCCAATACACCACGTGTACTACAAATGCAGGAGAACAGATTCCGACGACCCTATTGAAGAACACTTTAAGCCAGTAAAACATAGCTCTCCCTCACCATGCTTCGGATCTTCTCGGACCCCCGGCTCGGATACAAGTTCACGCCGGACAAGTCATCCAGCTCGCCCTCGTCCTTGATGCTGTCCTGGAACAGCTGCACCTGTTTCGTGACGTCCTTGCACACCCGCTCCAGGCACTGCTGCACTTTCTCGACGCACGCCTCGAGCGCGGGCGTCGCCTTTTGGACCCTCTGCTGGAGTTGCGCGTCCGAAAACTCGTCCAAAGTGTACAAATGTCCGGGGCTGAGCGCGACCATCGCGATCTGACTCAGCTCGTGCATGTGCGCGCGCACCTCCAGGAGCGCGCCGACGAACGTCGGCTTTGCGAGGAAGAGCTTGGAGTGGAGCGTGGCGCGCACTTTGCTGTACAGCTTGCGGCGCACCGCGTGCCGCCAGAAGTTGAACGCCTTGTAGATGAGGTAGTACCGGAAGAAGCTCATCTTGCGGAGGATGCCGAAGACCGTCTTCTCCCGGACCCAGTCCCCGAGCGACGTGAACTCCGTCTTGGTGTTCGCGCCGGGGCCAATTTTCACCACCCCGGTTGCTGACATGGTAAAATACTCCGGGGCCACTTCCTCTCTCGGAACAACGACCAAGTCATAGGGCCGGAAATCGAACACGGTCTCCGGCGCGCGATTGCAGTAGAAGAAGCGCGCCTCCGTGTCCTGCCCGTGCCGCGCGTAGAATGCAATGACGTCATCCCCAGTCGCCACGCTTGCGAGCTCCTCCTCAATAACCGCTGCTTTGGTTTCCGCTTTAAGCGGCAGCTGGCTAGTGGATTTGGACTTTACCCCTGGAAGCGGTGTGGCGCCGCTCCTCCCAGTCAGCTTTGCCGACTGCTCCCCCCCCAGTTTACCCCTGGATTCACCTCCCTGGTAGAGAGGATCCGCCACTTTGAGCTTTTTCCCAGGGCCCTGCAAGCTGTCCAGCTTGCCCCCGCTTTTCCGCCTCAAACTGTCCAGGTTAGCCAAACCTTGGTCAACTCTAACCCCACCCCAGCCCGGGCTCTGCGGTTTCTCCAGCGGGGGTAGTAACCGGTGCGCTAACCCACTTTCCAAATTACCCAAACCCCTGCCAAGCGTGCCCCCCCGCAGGAGGCTGCTCGTGCCCAGCTCAGAACCTCCCGGGTTAGCATTAACCCGCTGCAGGGTTGCCATTCCAGGCACCCACGCATTCGGCCGTGCAATGGCCTCGTTATCGCCGCCATCGATCTCCATCTCTTCGCTTTGGGGCAGCCGTTTAGAATCAGGTCCGTGGGACAGAGACAGCTCGTCATGGATGCGGGTGTTGTTTCCAAACAGGGTGGATGCCGCTGGGTAGATTGACTGGGGGTTCAGAGTGTGCCTCCCCGGGTTGGGGGAGGCGCCCTTTCGAGGGGGCCCCATTGCCCCTTCTTACAGCTTCTCCCCGCTCTCAGCAGTTGTCAGGTGCATGCTGCCCTTGTGCTGCTCCTTACAGCCTATTAACTTTGTCTTAACACAGCATTGACTCTGAGCATGCCTCTCCTTGCATATATTCTAGAGCAGACTGCCTGTATGAAAGCTACAGCGGCCTTGCAATGTTTCACAACACATTCCCGATGCCTCCGTACATATGGTCTCTGCTCTTTCTTTTACCAGGAGCTGGTCACGAGCTACACCCTAGTGATATCGTGATTAGGCTTCTAGTGCAACGCATGTAGGTATCTTCAACTTCAGGGTTGGGCAGGAGTTCAAGCTAGCATCTCAGGTCGAACCGTGGGCCCATCTTTGAGTCCATCCAGTTCCTTTGTCTTGGCCCCTGTCTCCAAGTATCCGTTCATCTGGATCAGGATCAATCTTCAGTACGCATGATGACCCGCTATATGCAGCTGCCAGCACTGTTGCTGGAGACCTGATTCCCTGAGATTATTGCAGGTGGCTGCTCATAGGTACAATGTTGATTGCCCGACAGCCGCGCGTAATTGTGCTTCGCGCGCGTAATCCAATTTGCTTACAGGTGATTCGCCGAACGCTTGTTCCGAGGGTATTCACACATGACAAGGTCAGTTGCGCAGCTACCCCGGCCGGCGGTTGCGGCCAGAGCCGACGGCGACAGCCCGGTTCAATGTGAATACATCTGCGGCCGCGGTTTCCGCAAACTTGATCTCACTCTGTACGAATTTGAGTACTTCCTCCACTGCATGTGAAAGCGAGTTCCCAAGAGGGCGCTACAAATAGGTACGTTCAGGTACCTACAGCTTTGGCATGTGCCCGTATCAGCAGCATTTGCATGTTCTTGGCAGCGGCCATTTTCGGCAGCCGGGAGATCTATGCTGTCTCTCTGGCCGCATATACGGTAGTAGCTTGATAAAATGGCATATCTTGTTGTGTGTCAGCTTGGGGCATCAACCACAAGGAAGCCTGTATTGCAGAGCCTTCAGGTCCTGTTTAGGTATCGGCATTGTTCAATAAAAAGAGGAAGCTGCTTCAGAGGAAGTAGGTTGTCTGCTAGTCACAGCCGGTTCCGCGTCCTTGCTGCGACTGTGAGTTGAGGGGCGATCACCACGAACAATCTATGAAGCACATTGAAAAAGTGGAGCATCAGAGGGGCATCAGACAGTAGCCCGGATTTGATGATTTCTTTGCGAGCAGTATACAGACCCAAGAGTTTGAATGTCATGCAGATTGGATTCAGGGGAGACCTAGACGGCGGAGTTTTACAGGCTCCCAGCCAGCAAAGATGGGCCTGCCCGAGGGTTTCAGACAGGGAAACTTGGATGCTGGACTCTGCGCAGGTCCAAAGGAAGAGCACAGGGGCACTCCAACAAAGTGGCTGAAGGTGGCTGCTTGTCAGCGAGTGTTCTCAGACCAGTATTCACTTCTAGTCATCTTGTCGTTGCTTCTTTTAGTGGACTTTGGACGTGTGGAGGCGCGCCAGTGGTACGAGTCCAGGGCGTCCGCCAACATGTCGGTGGCGGTGTATGAGAGCTTTCACCAGACAGGACACAATTGCGTGCACGACAGTCACATGGTCCCCAGGATCATTGAGATCCACAGGAGGCGGCACAGGAGTCAGGAAGTCAGGTATGCGCGTCAGCAATTCCTGACCTTTTCTGTCTTCACACACTTTCAAATGTTACAAGACAGTAAGCGTAGGAAGAAACCCTGCTGTACGCGTCGCAGATGACAGTCCAGAGGTAATTGTGCTGCCAAGCTTGATATAGCAGCTTGAAGAAGCCTCTGAGCCGCAGCATCTGGAAGCCCCTAGGCGATTTTCAGTGACTTTGAACTCTTGAGTCGTTTCTGGAAGATCTAAGCGGGAGGGGCCGCCTCTAGTAATGTCGTGATAAGTTACTTTTGCAGTTGAAGCTCAGATTATGCGCCAGCGGCCATGCAACAGCTGAAACTCTTTCCAGGAAGAGTGGGGCTGATATTTGTGGCCTACCGGTCTGCAGGAACATCATGCAACAGGGGGATCAGGGGCAGCCTAAGAGGCGGCTGCTGGCAGAACCCAAGCCAGCTCCCATTCGGATTGTTCCGGTGAGAATCACGATTCACGAGTGTAGCAGAGGAGCGGTCATGAGTTTGCCCTTCTCAACAGACTTTCTTTTGAAGTCTGCTGAAGGCAACGGAAATATACGTGCGCTCAAGCTTAGTTGAAGTGCTTCATTTCCGCAACAACAAATTGTTGGGCCAGGAGACTGACGGATGTTGCTGTGGAAGCTCTCGGCTGGAGCCCAAACCTACAACAGTTGACACAAAGCGCTTTTCATTGCTCGGCGCAGAGTTTCAACCTGTCTGGTCTAATGACGGAGCACGCAGACTACATCCAGTACAACCTTGTTCCGACCGCCATCAGGTGCGCACCCGCTTTCCGATTGCACATATTGTTGTTCCTTTGCATATTCCGGAGACATGTCTCAGCAGCCATGGGCTCAATCAGCAGCGTAAACGAGGTGGTGTCAAAAGGTGTTCCGTCAATGACGCACAGCATACGAGGCCAGGCCCGAATCGATGAGAGAACCTGCTGGCACTGATACAGAAGCCACAGAACGCCGATTTAAACTTGTCGAACCCACTTTTTGGGCTTAAATGCAACAAGTTCAAAGTGAGTTCCTACGTTAAATAGCACGTACTTGTGAGTAGACCTCCTCCCAAGGCTGGTGACAAACTCACAGTTCCTTTGGTCAGGATGAGTTCCAGACAACACCATCCACGGTTCCAAAGCACTTCAAGAAGGCATAGGCGGACACGTTCGCAGTAACGTCAGAAGCGGACACAAGGCACAGAACAGCGCCCTCTTTGTCGCCAAAGATTGACGACCACTTGGTTTGCTTTGGCGACCGAACACCAGCCTTCTTCGACTTGTTGTTGCCGCTTCTTTTATAATCGCCACGCCCTCTTTTGAAACGTCCTTTTAGCTGAGGGCCTGCATTGGCTGCGCGCAGGTGGCTGGAACGTGCCATCAAAGTGAAGCGCCCGGTGGTCGGCCCGCTCAAGCTGGAGCTCGAGTGCCAGCAATGGCAACGGTGGAACATGCAAGGCCTGCCCGTGTACGAGTGTCCCGAACGCGTCTCCCCCACGTGTCTCGTAAGTCGAGCCCTTCTTCTACGAGTCTACCAGCCAACACATAGCTCACTATTTGAGGGATCCTGCCGCCACTGACAAGTTGTGGAAACTACAGGTGGAACACGACTCATCCGGCGAGGAACGGAGTCTAAGCCGGTTGGGATCACATCAACCAAGGGCAACTTGGTTGGTCGGTTGGCGGGATACCCATGATCATATGGCAACCCGCCAAAGCCCCGCTTTCAGAAAGACCTCGATAGTTTTCCTTCACTGTTGCAATTGACAGGTCTGGGTATTCGAGCTCCGGTAACACTGTCCTGCATCGTTTGGAAAGTAACAATCCGACTTTTTTTTTTTCTATCATGTCGTGAATCTGAATGGACTGGCAAACTTCTCATACAATACTTTTCCGCTGTTCAAAAGCTCTTTCAGCCATTTTTGACCGCCTCATCTAGCCTGAGACTCTTCGGATGTCGGATCTTTTCGGGTCCAAATCTCCTTGTAATTTGGGTCTCTCCTGAGCTCGTCCCTGGTCTGCTTGCTTCTCACGTAAGGGGTGGGTAGGCGCCTTCTCAGCTCGCACAGATTCAGCATTGTTCTTGGCAGCGAACAGTGCAGATGAGCCGCTTCCAAACTCCCTCTTGACTCCATCCCCACCGTCCGATGCTCCTCTAATTCCCTCTCCACCGTCCGATCCCAGGACGCCGTTATCGACCCCGCGCACCTCAACAACGTGACCACCTGCGACCGGTCCGATGCGTTCCACTGCGTCACCACTCCGTCAGGCCCCGGAGTCAAGAACGCCGACCTGATTGTGTACATAACTTCGAAGGCCACCCCCGAATGCGGGGCCTCGACGGCGGCGCACGCGGGCGCGTGCATGTTTGATCCCGATACTGACCGACCGCTCGCGGGGAACATCAATTTTTGCCCGGGGTACTTCTCGGAGACGGATAGCAACAACCCGGATGGCGAGGTAAGAACATGGAAAGACATTTGGACTGATGAGACCAAATTAAATGTGTCTTGAATGCGCACGCGGGCGTGTGCATGTTCGATCTCGATACCGATCGGCGGCTCGCGGGCAACATCAAGTTTTGCCCGGGATACTTCTCGGAGACGGATAGCAACAACCCGGATGGAGAGGTAAAAGATTGAAAGTGGCAGGCCTGGAGTTTTTAAATTCAGCTTGCAGTCCCTTCTTCACTCCTCTCGAACGAAAGGAGTCAATCTTCAAGAAAATGCAAACCTCGATTCACGGTTCTCGCATATCTTTATGCTTCATTTCTTCCAAAGGACTTGTTCTCTAGTTCGCGCATTTAGTCTCCAATCCAACGCCAGTCAGCTCATAAGACGCCTTTTACCCGGTGTTTTTTTGAAACTCGATACGTTTCGCTTGTCCAAACTGCGTCCTTCAATTTCCAAAATCAAAACCTTCTCTCCCAACTGATAACCAAACTCCACAAGGCGGCAGACGTTCTGGCCTTCCAGGGGCAATCTTTTTTTGCAATGACCTTCAAAACGAGGTCGAAGAAGGATTCCCTTCTCGCGGAGAGAACATCTTGATATCCGCAACTTCTCTTGCAGTTGATATCACGCTCCACGTCCTGGCCTTCAGCGACAGTTTGTTTCCACATTTTTGCGACGAGAGCGTCGACCCGGGTTCGCTTTTCGCAAAGAATAGATCTTGACAACCATTTTCACCCACTTCTCTTGCAGTTGATGATAACTCTCCACGAGATGACGCACGTCCTGGCCTTCAGCGACAGTTTGTTCCCGTACTTCCGCGACGAGAACGGCGACCCGCGCGTCCCGCGCGCGGACAGCGGCTGGCCCGACAGCTCGCGCTACTTCTCGGAGCAGGGGCCGGACGTCCGCGCCGTGGTGGGGACGTTCCAAGAGCGGGGGACGACCGTGCGCAAGATCGTGACGCCACAGGTAAGGCCGGTGACGTCACCAGATTGGTGGAAACCGTCAGACCCAAGTCTGGCCGAAAGTCTTCACAGTGACCCTGCTTGACTTCCATTGATCTCCGGACTTTTGGACCTGGGACCCGGCCCCGTATCTGCTTTGGCACACGAAGCTGCTCGGTGGCTCAGAGAACGGCTCCTCAGACCGATACAACATTCTTCAACCGTGCTCTCCCACAAAACGCTCCTCTCCTGTCTTCCTGAAATGTTAATCTGTCCCTTTGCGTGCCACAGGTGATCGCCATGGGCAGGGCACACTTCGGGTGCAGCAAGCTGAACGGAGTCGAGCTCGAGAACGGAGGCGGGCCTAGCACGGCGGGGAGCCATTGGGAAGCGCGAATCCTGCACGGAGAGATCATGGTCAGGAGCCTGTCGTCTTCATTGCCACCTCTGTGTTCCAATGCCCGTTCCAGGCTCGTCTGGATGGATCACTTTACCAGCTCAGCGCAATCTGGAGCTGGCTCTTCAGCAGTTAGACACTCGCGATACCTGAACCCTGAACTAACACCCATACACAGGATGGGGCGTCGGCCGCGAACAAGTTCAGGAATTGCGCTGCTGGATCAGACGAACTTGCTAAATCAGGCGTAGAGTTGTACCTCGGACGCCCTTCTGACACGATTCCACGCGTCCGCAGGAGGGCGCGTCGCAGGTGAACACGCAGGCGTACTCCAACATCACGCTCGCGCATTACCGACGACAAAGACAACTTTTGGGTCAATTTGCACAAGAATCCCTTAACCCTATCGACAGAACACTAAGCTGAACGTCCACGTCTCCGCAGGAGGGCGCGTCGCAGGTGAACACGCAGGCGTACTCCAACGTCACGCTCGCGCTGCTGGACGACAGCGGGTGGTACGCACCGGACTACGGACTGGGCATGTTCCTGCGGTTCGGCCGCCTCAAGGGCTGCGACTTTGCCTACAAGTCGTGCTCCTCTTCGGGTGAGAGCGGCAGGTTTTTAGTCACGATTTCGCGAGCGCGGAGGCGCTAGATTCGAGGTATGGGCGCTGAATGAGAACAGAAATATGAGCAGAACAATTGCAAAACGAGAAACCAACGAAAACGATTGCATCGGTAGGAGGCCATATCAGGAAGCTGAGCTACTTCAAACCATTTCGCATTCCAGTCAAACCAAGCACATAAGGACATTGGCTTTGTCGCCTCCCCAGCCTACTTCTTCTTCAAATTGACCCAAACAGACTCACCAAAGTCATCCTCTTTCAGAATATCCTCAATCCTGAACCCTTCCTAAACCCCCTGCAGCGGGGCAGGCCGTCTTCTCCGAGTACCAGTGCGCGGCCGGCGGCTCCGGCGCGGCCGGCTACCAGTGCACGTACGACGCGATTGCGGTCGGCTATTGCGACGGGTGCGGCGATTCGCCGACGGACTCGGGGTCGTGTACGGACGACGGGTGTCAGCGCGTGATTGGATGGAATAACTACGGCTGTACGGCGCCGTTGTTAGGGCAGATGCAGACGGACGCAGTCTCCGTTGGGATGCAGTTTGGGCCGGCGTCGAGGTGAGCACATTGTAATCTGCTTGAAAGGTTTTGTAAGGTCTTCTGTGAGGTTGTCAAAATCGACTTAGGTGGATCTCTTTCATGCACGCTCTCTCTTTGAATCAGGACAGTTGCTCGTGAGAAGCGGTACCGAGCAGTGATAGCTGCAACGTTGCGCGAACGGGAAAAGGGGGCGCCCTTTTCCGGCGAAGTTTTTCATCGGGTCGCGTGTCAATCACGACTGCCATTTCGAACAAGTCGGGCCACGCATCCAACTTCGTGGAGACGGGGGTTACCCTACACGAGCTGCCTTAATTATCTTCGCAAGTTTGGGAAGCTTCAATCCAGCTTTATGAACGGTAGCCACGACTGATAAAGCGCGAGAAGCTGCCAAAAGAAGGTTCCGGCGGTGGCGCTCGCGGTTTGGCTTTTGGTCTACTTTTTTAAGTCTCGTCCAGAGAGATTTCCAGAGGCAATGAGAAAGCAATTACATCCTCGCAAGCCCTCTTTTGACCGGTACGTACCTTTCCCCGGGCAGGTGTTTCCAGCACGGCTCCGACCCCTGGATCAAAAAAGTCGGCAACAGCAACGCGCAGTCGGCGGGTTGCTACCCCCAGCGGTGCGTACCGGGGAAACGCGGAGCGCCGCCGTCCCTGTACGTCGAAGTCGCACCGGGGGCCTGGTTGCAGTGTGTAGATAATGTGGTGAGATCCCGTAGCGATTTTAAGATTTTTGGTCCTAAATTTTGAGTTCTTAGGGTTTTAGGGATTGCGTGCGGACTCTTCTGCACCTTCGTTGCTACGTGACCATTTTGACGGCGATCTGATGTACTTTAAGCCACATCTCAGCAAATTCTACAAATGTATTTGTATTGCCTGTGCTGTTGACGACTGCAAAAGGGCTCGTCGATTTGCACGTTTCTCGTAATCGAACCAAGCAGAAGACGCAGGCGCTCCGCTTAATTTCTTCAAAACAACCACCGTCTTTAGCGGCTCGTAGTCCGGTTGCTTTTGATGCAATACCCTGGTAAGAAGATGAATTTCCAAAAGGTGTCACAACTCCTTCGGAGCCCACTTATCGTCCCCATAGGAAAGCCTCCTCTCAAGAACTTGAATATGCTCCGAATTGCTAGAATTGCTAAAAACTGTGTTATTTTCGTCTTCGCAGGAGGTTGAGCTGCCCCGCAAGTACTTCGCCCGGGGCACCATCGGGCCCTGCCCCGCCGCGGCGGACTTTTGCATGTACAATATGTGCCCCGATGATTGCAGCGGCAAAGGTGAGAGCCAAGTAAAGTATGATCTTTCCACTATTTCACCCACGCGCGCGCGTATATCAGTGCTTAAAGGCTCGTGCTAGTCTTCTGTTACAATACACGCCCCAATACTGCAGCGGCAAAGGTGAGAAGCACGCAGTCCGTCTCCGATTCTTTTCTAGTCACTGCGCGCGCGTAAGCCAGTGCTCGATATGCACGTGCTAATCTTCTGTACAATATGTGCCTCGATGACTGCAGCGTCAAAGGTGAGAAGCGTGCAGACTGACTTTGGTCCCCCTCTTGGATCACCCGGTGAATAGCCCCCACGCGGCGCGTCGAAAACCCTTTCTTGGCTTGCATGTGGAACTTTCTTTCTCTTACTACGCTCCCTTCGCCTCCTTCCCCCATAACGTATGCTCCTTATCGCGAGGCCGCCGTTTTGATGCACGCCCCTGCTTCTGGCCCTTTCATAATCACTTAAGAGTCCCCTCTTGGGCGCGTGGACAAGAATCTGCTTCAGAAGCGTGTGACCATCTCTTCTCCCCAACCCATAGCTTATCAACCCCTCGCGCGCGCGCGCAGGCCACTGCTACAACGGCACGTGCCACTGCTTCCCGAGCTACGCCGGGTACAACTGCGGCCAGCCGGCGTGCGTTCCGTCCGACTGCGCCAACGGAACCGTCTGCGACTCCCGTTCCGGCCTCTGCAAAGTGCCCGGAACGACCGGAGAAGCGGACTCCCCGGCCCAGCCCCCGATCACCGCCCCGGTTGTCAGTAACAGCGGCGGAGAGTCGATGCTTATGCAGGTTACCAGCACGGTGCGGTTCTCCGGGGGAATGGCGAGCACTCAGCAGCAGTACACGACGTTCCAGGTGGGTGGTAACGCGCGGGGGCGTGCGAGCGGGGAGCGTTTCGTCGCGGGTCGAACGTTGCTTCGAGATTTTCATTGAAGATGCTAGGAAGTTTCCTCGTCGGATCGAAGACTCAAACTCTCATCCGCATTCTGAGCGCTCTCCAATGAACTAGGAGACGCTTCCGGGGATAGCGGCCCTCTAACAATGATAATGCATAGCGTATAGTGATTGTGGAAAGGTTTGAACAGCTTGATCGCTAAAAAGGCCGCAAAGATCACATTTTGCCCCCTCCGGTCATCTCCTTCGTTGGTCACGTTACGCAAACGAGGGTACTTTTTAGAAGGGTGGACTTGGAGGACCAGGACACTTGGAATACGTTGCTAACAAGGTAATTATCTGGCCTATGCAGAACAACTTTGACGCCACGATGACGCAAGCGGCTCATGCCACCGGCTACGGCGGCAAGATCACGGTAAGCCGCGTCGCTTTGCAGCTTCTAGCTTTTATTGTCTCGGAAAACGCGGCAAAAGGTTCAAAGTTACAAGCATCCGCTTCATCAATTTGAGCCGTCGCAGCTTTTTGAGATGAGCGCCGCAATTTTCGTTTCAAGTAGAACGTGTAAAGGGAGAAATTTCATGTATCTCTTCTTCCTTCCTCTGCAATCTTATCTCAGCGTTTCGCTTTTCGCCCAGTCCGTGCGCATCACAATGAATGAACGGATCCACCACAGGAACACCTTTGCCCGATTAGTCACACGTCCCCTCGTTCTGATGAACAGCTTGGCATCCTGCGACTGATCTGACGTCACCCTTCTCTCAAGTCCTGACGTCACCTTTCTCTCCCAGGTCACGGTCAACGGCATCAACCAGGGCAGCGGCGTGTCCGTCGATTCTACCGTTGCGTTCGGCCCCGCGAGCGGCGCGAATCTCCAAGCCGCGCGCGACGCCGCGGCCGCGTTCGCGAACACGCTGAGGTGAGAGACGCGACGGAGAATGAGTTCGCTGGGGATCAGGTTCAAAGAAGTAATGACGCTCAAAAGAGCCCAATTGACTTTGCGGTTGTAGTTTCTCCTATAGGAAGAGGCGCCAAGGAAACCACCTTGCTTCAGTGATACTATGGTATGCGTGCCCGAAGCGTAGTTGCGTCACACGGCAAAATGCTAACGTCATCGGCCGCCTGATGCGTGACAGTAAGCGTTCTGCCTTCCAAGATTTCTAGGTTTCTCCAGAAGAGATGACATTTGAATGTTTATATCAAGGTCAAAGGAAAGGGACTCCTTGTATGCACACTGATAAACCTGTCTTCCAATCCTCAACCCTTCAGCTCTCTTTCTTGGCAGCAATGACCCCGCATCCATCTTCGCGAAAAATACCTTCTTCGACTCCTTTGGTGACGTCACCTCTTCCAAGATCCGGATCCTGGAGGCCAACGCGGGCACGGACACCTGGACGGCCAAGATTCCGCGGACGGTCCTCGGGGTGTCTATCAAGTACTGGTTTATAGCGCTGGGCGTGCTGTGCCTGCTGATCGGGGCGACCGTCTCCTGCTGGCGATGCTGTGAGTAGTCGCCCGTTGCGTACTCTATCGCTTGATTTTGTATGTTGGGTCGACTGTTGTTGAACAGGGACGTTTTTACTGGGTAATTTGGGACTTCTCAAGTTTTGTTTGAGCGGAGCGGGCAACAGATCTGTGTCCAGCGCGTTTTTCTTTGTGGTGATGATCGCGATTTTACCTACCTTCAAAGTTGCGAGTGCCTGCATTTTCTCGGCTCTGGCGGTATGAGGCAAATGACATATTCTTTTGTGAGGCGAAAAACTGCAAACGGCATCGCCCGTTTCCTTGCGCACGAGCGGCGCTGCTGTTTGAATGTAAAGTCTGCTTCCAGGAACTTCCTCCAACTAATCGCGGCTTACTCAGTCGACATCACTGACGTCATCTTTCAATCCTTCAGGTAGCCCAAAACGACGTCAGCCCCACGTGTCGGTAGCCCACGTGGTACACAGCCCGGGGATCCAAAGCCCGGTGCTCGGGCAGCCGGTCAGCCCTGTGTAAGTACCGGTACCTTTTTCTAAGTCCCTTTGTCTTGCTTCGAAGAACAGAATCGATGAACCCGGCTCGCTATAAAAGTTGATTGTCTTCTCAGAAGGTTTGCCGCTCGACTGGGAGAGCTGGGGAGGAGACACTTCGGTTCTGACTGCGAATTGCTTCAAAAACCGTTTTGGTTGACGGGGTTTCCGCTCGACCCTGAAAGCTAGGATAGTGCACTGGGTCGAATCATCTTTGTTGCTGAAACAGCTTCTTCTGTCACGGCCGACGCTTGCAAGCCGTACTGAAACTGCTGCGCGTTAAGTCTTCGCGTCCTCGTTCGTGACAGCATCAAAAGTTGACCTGACCAGCCAACCGCCGTCGCTCTTATACTCCCAAGATTTAGGACGTAGGATATCTCCTATGTTATTCAGTAACAGTCCCCGGGTGAAACAAAACTAAAAACCTAAACCGACAAATAAACCCGCTCCGCACGTGTACCCACCCTACCCTCCAACTAACCCCACCCGTTCGCCGGGCCATGCCCTTCTCCTACATAGAACTATCCTACCTAAACTAAAGGTCTATGTCGTTCTTGCAGTGCTGGGAGACCCGTTCAGTATCCGCCGCCTCACATGCTGAGCCCCGCGCATCAGGACCAGTCCTTCCAATACATCCGTGGAGATCAGTACTTTTCTAGGAATTAAAGTCGAATTTCTCGCCTTGCCCGCTTTGAAAGCTCGGAGAATGGAGACGCGTCTGCAGAGACAACGGTGCACGATTGTGCACGAGAGGTAGATAGAGAGGGGTATCGATATTTATTGCGCGCGCTTAAATTATAGGTGGTCGGTTTGTGAAGGTGGATGACAGATGGGAGAACAGTCAAGAACGCGGAGGGTGCACGATCTCTATGGAGGTTAATTGGCTCGACTAGGTAGAACGGCGACACGTGTTGTTACGGCAGAGAACTCTGAATAATGTAGGACTAATCAGCGACTTGGAAGCACGCTCGCACGTGCATGATACTCAACAACACTAGTGACCAATATATAAAGGGCCTAGAGATCGGCTGCACAACCAAAGTAACTACAAGCCCTCCTAGGGACCGATCAAAATATGTTGAAGCTTCATAGCGGCTCAGTCAAACCTGCATGAGGGGGCACGTCTTCACCGTACGCGGGTTTGCCAGCATGTCAATGATCGAACTCCGATAACTCTCGTGTGACCTAAGAGCCGTGTGACCTAAGATAGGCACCCGGGGGACGGGTGGGGTTGGTATGGTGGTTAGGGTGGGTTGGGGTGCGGAGCGAGTGTTTATCTGGGTTAGGTTTTTAGTTTGAAGTGCCCGGTTGACTCGTATTTTAGGTCACACGCCCGTTAGGTCACACGAGGGTTATCGGTATAATGATCGACGTCCATTATTGATTATGTACAGATACCGCACGTACGCGCGGGGATTGCATTTCCCGAAGCGCTCAATGTGAGCAACGGTTCAATTGGAGCGCTAGGGCGGACGTACTAACCTCCAATTTCTTAGACCCCGTTGACGTCTGACGGTTGCACCGCCGGCGCTCGGGACGGTGCTCTGGACGTAAAGATCAGATAGCTCAGTAACTGCATGTGAACAGGCTAACCGCTGAGTGCTTTATATGTGCCGCCGCTTAAGCGTCGCTACCAACTGATCGAACTTATACCAAGCATATATCAATTAGTACCGTAAAATCATCCATCTTTCGGATTCCTTGCAAGGAACCGTCTCACATTAATTGCATATTGCTTCGATCTGTACGTGATTGAATTGAAAAGAAACGGGCAAGCTCAATGACAATGACTCAACGTATAAGCGCACAACTTTGATTTTATGAACATCGTATGTGAAGCCATATGCACACCGTGTGCATGCCGCCGTCATGCCTTGCCTAATAGAGGCGGCACCAAACCACATCTCAGGTATCGTCACGGGCATAAGTTTGTGGGGAATCAGGTGAAGCCGCTGCTGCGGCTTGTCGGACGGTGTGAATTCAAATTGAGAAAGTTGCGGCGGTAACGACGGCACAGCCTGCGGCGCTCGCAGTAGATCTTGGAGGTGCTGGACACCATTTTTGTCAAAAGAGGACGCTTCATCGATCGAGCGCTTTTTACGGCGGTTGCCGGCGCGTCCGGCCAGCACTACAATCGCAATTCTGCACAAGGTTCTGCTTTGTCCTGGCCGACGTCGCGTCTCGTTACTGTGACTTTCCCGTGTGAGTGCCAGCACTACGATAAGCACGACGCCAAACCCTGCTTCACACCAATAAACTTGATCGTTACATGTCTTTTTTCCAGCGCAGGATGACCTTGAACTGTCAGAAAGGAGTTCGTTCAATACAGCTTCTTTGAAGCCCAGGTCTTTTGGTTGTATCGACCTTTTTGAAACGTAGTATTCGCAACTCGCACGGCAAGGACGTAAGAAGTCGGCACGCTAGACATCAGAAGCTGATAGCTGCTCCGGAACCGTGATGGAGAATCATCAACCATCGGCCGTCGTGCCACTCGAAGAGGTTCGTAGCCACAACTCTGCATGAAAACATAAAAGCGCGTTGAATTGCTGAAATCAAGTAGTCGGTCAAGAGAGAGAAGTGTCGAGGGCCAACTCGTCCAGGTCGTGCAGATTATACACCACAGATTACATCCAGATAAAAGCCTTCTTCGCCGCTAATGGGAGCTGCAATGACATCGCGTGAAGCCGGTATTACCTCAGCTCTACTTAAAGACAAAGCAGTTGACTACCGCAAATCTCAGCGCTGACACAAGTTGCTTCGACCTTGCATGAAGTGGGGACTCACGGGGACTCACGAATGCTTGGAACCACGAGTTCTAAAGACCTCGTTCGACCTTTGCTATCAATCAGTGCGTGCAATGTGCAAGTCGTCCAGTCCGACTCTGACAAAAAGCAAAAGACCTTTGCAGCCGACAGGCAGAACGCAGCTACGACTAAAGACAGTGCTGTGGCGCTCATAGACTCGTCACCAAAGGCCTGGTGGCCTGGAATCGACACAAATCGGCCCCTTATTCTTATTCTGAAGGAAGATCCATCACCAAAATCTAATAAAAAGGCGCACGCAGATAAAGACTTACCGGCCCCCCACTCGATCCCCGCTCATGACTTCGATGCAGTTTACGAGGGCCGTCCGCCCATTTACGTGCACCTGGATGTTTTCCAGGTCGATGACTACCCGCACCGTCCGAAAGCTCTCGAGTATGAGGTCCCAGCTGGCCATAACCTGCACCAAACAGGCATAGCGTATCTTGTCATAAGACATAAGCTTTCGATTGCGGTGGAAGATCCCCTCGACGTGGCAAGATCGCCGCCCTCATGAGTCCTTGCTTCTTACAACAGGCAGAGTCTGGACGCATGGCAGACCCCGAGAAATGCGGCTGAAAATTGACGAAAGGAAAGAATAAACAATCGGAACGAGCAAAACAGAAGGAGAGCAAAAGAACGAAGAACTCGGTCCGGTCGACCCTGTCAGGTAGAGGACCCTACCCTACGAAGAGAGGAATTGAAGGGAGCAGCGATATAAGCGGAACCTGTCTTCTTCATATCAGTGTGCTGAGATTCGTAAGGAAAGCTATGGTGCAGACGGGTGGTGAGCAAAAAGAATTCGAGGGACTCGAAGCCTCTTCCTTCTGCACCGCAGGTGTGCCAAACCGGTTCTCGGTGAACGGTGTCAATCAAAGCGGGGACAACGACCCTTGGCATCTCTCTGAAAAAGGCTGTAAGCACTGCTCCTTTTGTCGGTCTCTGTGAAGGCCAGAACGGACCCTTGCACGGATTGTTAAGATCAAACTGACACCGTAACCCCGAGGCTCGTTGTTGCAGAAAGTTCGACCAACAGGCGCCCCCGACCACTTCAAATGTCCGTCAGAAAGTGCCCTTTCTGCGGTTAAGGCACTGACCGTAATCATCACCTCCCAATCCATTTTGCGAAACGAGCTGACAGAGACCCACCAAAACGTCCGATCGGATACACTGGTCTTCAGGTGGTTCCGCGCAGCGAAAAATTGCACGTTTCAGGTAATTGGCGCGCTTACGTCATCCCGCCCACTGATGAGATTGGCCCCCGGATGCACCACCCCGATGTGGTCCCCCTTCGCCCAGATGCGCGCCATCCCCTTAGCGTCCCCCTGCTGAAAACACCGGTAAAACAGCTTGTTGGCAGCCACCACAGCTGCCACGTGGTCCTCTTGCATCACTCTGCACGAGAAAAAGGCACGCCTCGTTTCGGCTTTCTTTTGCTGTGAACTTTCAATACTTCGTCTGTAACGTGCACCTTCTGTCTCTTGGAACGGTTGCCTACATTTCTCAAACTGTTAGCTGCCGAAGCGGCCATGTGATCCTGTCGTGTCACTGTGCACGACAAGACACCACGCACAGTTACGGCTTTCTCGTGTATTCCTGAAATGTGTATCGTCTGTGAGGTGCTCGATTTCGTCTTGACCAAGTTGTGTCAAAGTGATAGAGAGGATAACTGCAAACACTGGGCTGGATTCTCATGAGCTGCACGAGGGAGTAAAATTGATCATCGCTTCCTTGCTCTCCGCGTAACCACTTCTTGGTCATTTGGATAATGATCTTGCATCTTTTGTCGGCAGTTACATAACGTGTGCTCCTTTTGCACGCCTTTCACAGATGTCATAGAGGCTCCTGGTATTAATCCCTCCTGATATCATTGGAAGACTGACTCTTCATACCAATTGGAATCCACATTCTTGTCATTCTTTTCTGATGGGAGACCGTTCTGACAGGAAACTATTGAACCAAGAAATTTACCAATATTGCACACCATCGCATGCCCTTCATGGAAAGTCCCAAAGACAAGTGAGCATGACATTATCTATTTGAAGGGCAATCAAATGGTCCCTGCGCCAAATCGGCTCTTCTTATGTTTGAGAAACAAATGACCCCAGGTGTGTGGCTTCAGATAAGCACCAACAGGACTTACAGCCGCCTTGGGCTCTCGTCAGGCCAACTGTCAAAGTTCTAAAAAGCGCTCAGTATACGGAGACGCTACTATGCCCCTTAGACAGAGACACCAGTACATTGAAGCTGAAACAATATGTGATTTTTGGGGAAGAACTTGTGAAGGGTATTGAGGTTTCAGTATAAAAGTGGAGCGTCATTTTTTTGCCTCACTTGAGTTGATCCCTCAACCGCGCCGCTGTTGCATAGTCTTCGTTCTCAATGGCATAATCCCGTTCTCGTTCCAATCTTTCAATCTGCAATGACAGGCTTTCAGCCTGCAAAACAAGGAGAGTATATCAAGTCTACTGAACTGAGTTGTACTTATTCTACGTGACAATGATTGGCCAAATGTCACACCAGGAAAGACTGCCACCCTCCTCCTAAATTCTCGAAAGTTCAGTTTCTACTAATGAAGTTCATGTCCTACGACTCCTACTTCGTCGGAGTCGTATTGAATGTCTGCTTGAATTGTTCAGCAAGTTACAGCAAGAGCTCGGTGGGCAGCGCCAAAAGCATGTCCTGCTTAGAAGCCAACGGATCAGAACCGAAACCGAAATCCTTCTTGATTCTGGCCTGTACACAGCTGGCGAAACATTGGCCCAAGGGGTAAACTCGATGAATGAGCTGGACTTGCAATTGCAAGCCGTCTTACCCGCTCAAATGTACAAATGTTCCTGAAAAGGATCCGGAACACGCAAATCATAAACTGGAGTCCTTGCAGGGTGGCCGAAAAAGCTGCATAACTCAAAGCAGGTCTTGCTTCTGCACAACTTCGTTGTTCATTACGCTGGCGGATACAGGTATGCCTGAAACAAAAGGTTTTTGCAGGCTCTTCTCCTTCCAGTCTTGACGCTTTGCTGTTAGGGTCAAATAGAAGGGGACTGCAATGTGACCAGCACAAAGGTGAGTACCACTCACATCCTCTGCTTCTAGATTTCTTGCCTCCCGTGACGGCCCGGGCATGTCTGGCTGCAAGCCAGCGCAGCAGCACACGTTGTTCTGCCGTCTTCTCTCTTTCCTAGATCTTACCAACTCTGCTTTCTGTGATACATGGTTGCGCAAATGGTTTACCGATTGTGGCCGGAGTTCTCTTGCATTCAGCTGAATCCCACAGCCATTCCGCTCACCGCAATTAGCTGTTTGGGGGCGTGACTGGGAGAGAAGTTGCGGCTCTGTGAATGAGGACAGACGGCTCGCACTCTTCAATGCCATTGCAGAGAACTTGATAAGGTTGCAACCCTCGTAATTGGTGGAGCGCCAGCGCACGCCCTGAATCGCTTACCACCAGGATTCGGGGTCAGCGACTTCGTTGCTGCTGATTGCGAGAGAGAGGCATTGGCCTGTACAGTGCTCCCAAAGATGGACAGGTATGCCAAAATGTGGCGCTTTCGCTAGCTGCCACTGGACCCAGACAGGACCTCTCTCCTCCTCCGACACAGTTGAGAGTCGGACGGCTGCTCAAGCCGCAATGCAGCCTCCTAAATTCTTCGTGGAACTCGCACAACCGACAAGCTAAGGTATGCCGGATGTACAGCCCCTTATATAGTACATTCGAAGCAAGATTTCACCATAAATACTTCAAGTTTATCGGAGACAGCCTTTGCGACCGAGACTTCATAAATCAAATTCTTACAGAAGCTGACGAGAATATGTCCAAGTTTTGAACGGCCCGACGCAATTTGGGTAGCTGAAAGCCAGCGCCTGAAGGGAACTCGCAGATGATCTTTGGCAGAACGACAAGTCTAGCTAGAGGCTAGAGCGCAGCTGGCTGCCAGTGCTGGTTGTCCTTCGCCCTGCTTGGACCGTTCTTTTGGCTGGGAGCACTTATTGGGAAGGAAAGATCTCTAGTGCAGGGTCTTTGAATGTGGCACTGGTAGACTCAGCGCAAGTGCGGCCTTCCATTTCTGCAAAGATTGGTGGAGGAAGGCGGGAACAAGTGATCGGCGCATGGCATCAATGCCGCCAGCACGGCGCATCTTTCAAAGCATTGGCAGGCAGGGAAAGCTGCTCGATGCCGCGTGGTGGAAAGGGACACAGGTGCCAGTCATTGCAGAAAGTTTTGGAGGTGTGTCCGACAGTGGTGCGCCCTTGAGATGGCCACTTTCCACTCACTCGTGTGAGGCCGCTCAGTTGCCAAAGGTTTTCTTCACATCAGCGCCGCAGGTGGTTCACCAGGAGGGCAGGTTTGGATTTGCAGAAGCGCCGCCAAGAAGCGGCGCTGTGGTTCAGAGGAACTTTTCAGGCAGCACCAGCGGTTCAGTGGACGAAAGAGGCGGCGCTGGTGGTGGATCAGATGCTCTGCGTGGCGACGCTGCTGCCACTCAACCCCTTGAAGCGGTCCAAGCAGAGAGTTCGACTGGTGGTGCTCTAAGTGGAGATGCACCTCAGACGGCAGAGCACAGCTCTGCAGATTCCAAGGGTGCTGAGGAGGCGAGCGAGACACGGGGCGCAGAGGCAGCTGATCTGGCCGCAGATGCAACGTCAACTTCAGGTTCTGTTTCTGAGAGTGCGATTGGATCACTGAGCGCAAAGAGGGAAGAAGCGGAAGTGAAGGAAGGTCCCGGGGACCAGGCGATCGGTGCTTCGGTAGCATCAGGGAGCAGTTCAAAGGAGCAGCAGCCGGATGCTGGCGCTTCTCAAGTTGGGACAAGCGAAAAGGGTCTAAAGAAGGAAGCGGATGGGAGCTCTGGAGGAGGGCGGCCTCCAAATGAGGGGGAGGAGGCGGAGGCAACGGAAGTGCTGACGAGGCCCGAACCGAACATCCTGTCCTATGTGGCGGACCTCTTTGCGGAGGCCAGGGTGAGTAATTTCAAGATTGAATGGAACTGGCAATCGAGAGAAAGTAGAAGCGGTCAAAATCCAACCGCGTTGGCACAGATCTAAATCAGGGCATCAAGAAACATTCATCCGATGATCACTCTGTGCTTCTGCGGTGCTGTCAAAGATAGTTTTGTCATAGAACGATGAGATAGTGGTGAGCATAGGAGTGCTGGATTGGCGCAGAATGTGAGAGCTTGTGGAAGCAACGGAGTGTGGTGGTGCAATCATAAGTTTTTCATCTTAATGCTCTGGTACTGTTGTGAGTTCTTCAACGTGCCTGTGCTCCAGGGCTTACTAGTCAGCCTCTGTCAGCAGACCTTGCCTGCAGCTGAGGTCAATCTGCATGTGTTGAACAGGTTGCACTCACAATGATGGCCCTGAAACGCGGAATAGAGAGGGGCTTCGACCTGGACGACTTCAAGCGAGGGGCGGAAGTGGCGTTCAGAGCATGTGAGGATTTATGATTACCCTCTCTTCTGCGCGTATGCTTGGAACTGGTAAATTAAGAAGCAAGCTGTTTCTAACTCTGACAGGAGGGCACAGCCTCAAAGTTCTTTCACCTTAAAAAAAAACCCGTCATAGATACGTTGCGCATCCCGTTAGCAACAGTAAGAATTTGAGGGAGTCAATTCAAAAAGTGCGGTCAACAGACATCTGAATTGTCCCCGAACGAAGTAGAAGGTAGGGCAACAGGACAACGAGGTGGAACAATCCTGTTCATGGCTAATCAGATGCTGGTCGTTGATCTGACTGCCTTTACTGGTTTCCTCAAAATTTTGCAATATGTTGCTTTTCCACGATCATATGCTCCCAGTCGTTCGTTACATCAATCAGTTGTTTCTTCGAAAAAGATTGGAGGGCCAAGACGGGCTGGTGCAGGCTCTCTTAAAGTTTTCGTGGGAAAAGTTAAGGCCCGACTCGACAGCCCCCTTGGTGCAGTCATGGAGTATTATCCAAAGGGCGACTTCCAGACTCTGCGGAATATGGTGTCACCAACGCTGCTGAAGCATCTTCAGGTGCGCTTCCCCTCCTCACAATAGCAGTCACAATCACAACTTTATAACATGTTGTGCGAAGCGAGAATATTGCTGTTTCTGGTCAACCTCTTCTCTCGTCGTTGTTGACTTCAACAAACTTCTAAAGCTTAGCTAGTATTTCGACCCTGCCTGACTGGCCAGATTTTTTGGGACCCCCCCCCCTGGCTGATCAGCAGGCCTGGCATTCTGTACGAATACTTACCCAATCCTTGTACGATTGCCCGCCTCCTTGCAAAGCATTTGCAAAGTCAGTATCAATGACACGGACTCTCGTAAGCGATAATCTGCGTCACTTTTCATCACACGCTGCTTCGCAGGACGTATGGGACGAATTCAAGGAGCAGGGGAAAGTCATGGAGTGTACCTTGGAGGATCTCCAAGGCGTTCAAGTCACCGAGATGGACATCTACATGCGGGTACGTTCCTTGGTTTACATAGACGGTTAACCGGTTCATTACAGCATTTACAACAGGGACGAACGACGCCCCTCCCTATTTGAAAAGGAGATGGGGGTCTTCGAATAGATTCTGCCAAGCCTGTTTCTGATTTGGATGGCCTGCTTCTTTCATTGTTTGACGAATCCCTATCAATCTCCCGCAGAGTCCCCCCTTTTGCGACGGCGTTCCTCCTGTAGAAGGGTATGATGCCAACAAATGGTTAGCAGTTTCGGTTCGTTTCGACAGCACAGAAAATTACAGGATGCGAGGTCCAGAAGGAAAGTTGCTCAGCTCATGCATCGATAAACGAGGTCACGTGTTGAAGTTCGTACGCCAGTTGCCGCGGTTTGATAAGGTTCCCATGGACGAACTCGAGTCGCCGTGGTACATCGTCAACATCTAGCTTGCCAACCTACAAGTAGCACCAGACATCGGAAGACCTAGTTCTGAGGGGATAGATCTGCAGCCGCTAGGCTGGATTGTGAGCGCAATCCGAAGGGGATACGTGAACAAACATGTTGTAATGAAAAGGGCCGCTTCTTCTACAGCTTGAGTGTTCAGTCTGGAGCTATATGCTACATTTAACATCTTCCATAAGGAATCACATCATGCGCATTTACAAAGGGGGGATCGTGATTTAGATCATCGGATGATTCAAATCTCCTGGCGTTGCCTTGCCTCTGAGTTATGAGGAGGTAACGCCAAGCGGAATTTGGCGACGTCTCAGTTGTGCAACTTACGTCACAAAAGGTCATCTCGATGTCCGGTGCTCAATGAACGTGGCGTGTGGCATCTTCTTAATTGCGTACATACAATGATGCACGGTGGCGTTGCATGCGACCTCGATTTGATATAGCACGAGACAAACTTACTCACACGAGCGGCATATGAGCAAGTCGCGAGAGAAACCGGAAAGCCGGCCACCCACTAGCCCGCTTCAACATGTTAACTTCGCGTGTACACATGCGACGAAATTCTAGAGATGTTTCAAGAAGATGGTTTGAAATACCTAGAGAAATAGATCACTACACAACTCCGCATATTAACCGTTAATTTAACGATGATCAAGATTTCAAATGGAGCCAGTCAATGCGACACCGGGTGACCGGGACTCCTCGCGTTCTCAAAGCTCGCAGCCATATGCTCGATCAGGTGCGACGGCCGGTTGATCGTAATTCGTGTCAAGACTCAAGACTCAGAACATGTAGGATGCGGTATGCAGGGGCGTCACATTCCCAAGTTTGGACTCTTGAGAGGAAGGCGCTCAACTGGCGCTCTTGCTTGCAAGCAGCTCTTGACGCAGGGGGTCTTCACGGCTCAGCCTAGTAGCAGGTATGTAGCTCTTTTTGCCGCCATAACCATTCTGTTGGCATGCATCCT